ACTTTGCTTTAAATGAAGAAATTCTTCCTCCCATTGACTGGTCTTGTCCATCCTGTTCCCAAACTCCTGCTCAAAAACCAGGGTAGGTCTGCTCACCATCAAGGTGTCTTTTCAGCTGGTATTGTGGCATAACAGGTAAGGCTTCTATCTGTAATGCCAGCATCCTGTATGGCCACTATTTCCTGTTCCGGCTGCTCCATTTCCCATCCAGCTTCCTGTTCATGGCCTGGGAAAAGCAGCAGAAGACGACCCAAGTGCTTGGGTTCCTGCCCCCCACATGGGAGACTCAGATGAAGTTCCGGGTTACTGACTTTGGCTAGGTCGAGCTTGGCCTTTGCAGTCATGTGGGGAGTGAGCCAGCAGATCGAAGATCTCTTTTTCTCTCATTAAAATAAATAAGTCAACAAATATTTTAGAAAGATTTTTTTATTTGAAAAGCAGACTTAGAAAAAGAGACAGAGAGAGGGAGACAGAGACGACAGGGAGAGGGAGAACTATGATCCACTGGTTCACTTCCCAAATGGTCACAGTGGCTGTAGATGAGCAGATCTGAAGTCAGGAGTTTTGACTTTGGCTCCTACAAAGGTGCAGGAGCCCTAGGACGTGAGCCGCCATCTGCTGCTTTCCCAGGTCAAAAGCTGGAAGCTGCATCGGAAGTGGAGCCAGTTGGGACATAAAGTGCCATCTATATGGGATGCCAACACTGCAGGTGCAAAATCAACCTGATATGTTACCGTGCCAGCTCCAATAAATAAATTAAAAAAAAAAACAGATTTAAAGAAGATGAAACTCAAAGGTATAAAGCAATGTAATGTACAATTTTCTTTTGAAGTCTGGGGATGTTTTTATTGTGCTAAAAAAATTCTGATCCAGGGAAATAAATTCTTTTACAGTTATTTAACAAATTGGAATTGGGATAAATTTACAGAACTGGGGTCTGGCACGATGGTTCAGTGGCTAAATCCTCACCTTGCAAGTGCTGGGATCTCATATGGGTACTGGTTCATATCCCGGCTGTTCCACTTCCCATCCAGCTCCCTGCTTATGGCTCCTGGTTTTGGATCAGCTCAGCTCTGCTGCTGCGGCCACTTGGGGAGTGAACCAGTGGTGAAGATCTTTGTCTCTCTGTAAATATGATCTGCCTTTCCAATAAAAATAAATCTTAATTTTTTTTAATCGAGATTAAGGCTTCTATAAAAGGGTCCCTTTTCATGCCTGCCCTCACAGGTGAACTGGTTCTGTTGATTTTTTCCCATTGGGCTCAAACATTTCTCTACTTCATGATTCAGAGTAGCTATAGAAGGTGGTTGAAGCCACAGCGTCTGCTAAGGGGCAGGAACTTGATGTTTAAGGCCGCGTCAAAGCAGGAGCCTGTCAGTACACATTACGTTCCAATCAGAAAAGGGCTGGTGTGAGAAAACATTAGTAATTTAGCAAAGGGAGCAGGAATCTGTTTCCTCTTTGATATTTATGGCCAATATGACTCAATCCAGGCCACTGATATCTTAATATTTGGTGACTATGTTGAGAAGAAAGGACATCTTTAAAAAGAGACACAATAGAAAGCAGGTATGTTTTAATGATTTTTTAAAAAAGCAAATCATTCTCCTAAGAAAAAGTACATTTTATGTTTGTGTTGCTCTCATCAGGTTTGTACTGAATAAAAAAGGGGAAAGGGCTGAATAAACAACAGTGACATCAAACCCCAAAGAAGTGAGTCTCACCATAGATGAGGTGGAATCGGTGCTAGACAAGGAGCGTGCAGCTCAGAAACTGGCCCATGCACTGCAGAGCGTCTCATTCTAACAGACTCCACAGAACTGTCCCAGGAGCCCCCTTCCCTTTGAAGTCCCAGTGTGTCAGCCGGCAGAGGACAGGCTCTAAATTGCTGTTCAAAGTGTTTGCCTTTGAAACCATTTTGCACAAAGTAAATAAGGTAAGAAATGTTTGCAAGAATAGCAGATTGTGCAGAGTTGAATGGTCCCAAGCTGTCTTCAAGGGAATACGTGGAGCAGATGTGTTCGGGATATGCATGGAATGTGGTGGTCCCAGAAACCAATTTTATGACGAGTCACACACTTTCAAATGCATCTTGACTTTTATACTGAATAAAATTGCTTTCTGGGACATATTGGCTTTCAACTTGAGGGAAGATCCTTGTAAAACATCATTACATGATCTTTCAGATCTCTGGGCTGGATCTAATTTCATAAATATGCTTTCTAAACTAATTACATAATCTTTTGTTAGATTTTTGTTGTTGTTGTTCAAACGTTTGTGGGAAGGGGAGCCAGCCCTGAGTACAGAAGCTAGGGAGTTTGTGTGTCACATCAGGCGTCCAGATCGCATTGCCAGCTCTGGCTTCTGACCCAGCTTCCTGCCTCGGGGAGCTCTGCTAGTTGGGACAGCGATGGCTCAAGTAGTTCCCGCTGGCCATGTGGGAAGCCTGGAGTGTGTTCCCACTTCATCCTTGGCCACTGCAGCCAGAAGGACTGAACCAGCAGAAGGGAGTTCACTCTATCTATCAATTAAATGCAATCAATGATTACTTTTTTTAAAAAAAATTTCTGAAGCGTTTGTTGAATGGTCATGAATTTGAGAGTCAACTAGAAAAATACTCATGTCAACTTGATCCTGAAATTTTTTTTTTCCTTGCCATTACACCCTGCAACTACTGTGCTTAAATGAAAACATTCATCAGTGGACTAGAAAAAAAAAAATCATAAAATATTTGGATCAACCAGTGTTTCTTTGAACATTAAAAGTGGATTTAAGTTACACCAAAAAGTATCTCTAATGGAGGGGGAAAAAAACCTCTTATTTTGTCACAGGCAATAAAAAAAAAACATAAAAATTCTCATTAGTTTATGCAAGCAACTCTCATCTTTCCAGGGATTAGTTAATTCAAGTAAAGAATATCATGTGTTTATGGGAAAAAAAGTTAGGGTAGGGAAGTGAAAATACTTTTGTAAACAAAAGCCATCTGGGCTTCTGTTCTGTTCAGAAGCACATGGCTCAGATGTGAGCTGTGCAGTCGGTGGTGACGACGGGGCAAGGGCTGTGGCTTCCAGCACGACGCGATAGAATTCCTTAAAGAAGGGGGAAGGAAGGAACATGCAGACGGCATCTGCCTTAGTCACATTTGGATTCAGTTCTAACTGATAAGCAGAACTACAGTGGAGTGCTTTGGCTTTTGGGTCCTTTTCCATGATACTGGATGATTTAAATGATGACTTACACAGCTTTAGGACTTGGAGATGAAGGCTGCAGAAGAGTGTTCGTCAAGCATCATACATCCAGATTGTGTCACATCCATCGGAAACAAGCTTTAAGCGACAGTTGGGGATTACAGATGTGAGCTTGGTATCTCGTTTGCAGTGCTGGTTTGATATATATAAAATGATTTTCTGGGGGAGTCCATGGACTGAGCCACTACACCTTCAGGTAATCAAGGGAGCTGAGATGGGGGTACAAATCAGAAGGCAGAATCCAGAGGGCTTCCCTGGATCAAGGGCTTGCCTGTGTCTGTAAGAGCCAGGGCTGGGGGCGGATCGGGCTATCCAAGTGGCAGCACCCTCTGGCACCCCCAAGAGCTGTGTTTGGGGGAGGGTCTGGAGAGGTTCTTTGGAGTCATTCTGACTAGACCACATCACTCAACAGTCATTCCAGTGGATGCAAGATATCTGCCTTTCCTTCTCTTTCTGTAATGCTATATTTCAAATAAATAAAATTTAAAAATGTATACACAGGGCCCAGTGCGTTAGCCTAGTGGCTATAGGCCTCTCCTTGCATGCACCAGGATCCCATATGGGCACTGGTTCCAATCACAGTGGCCCCACTTACCACTCAGCTCCCTGCTTGTGACCTGGGAAAGCAGTTAAGGACAGCCAAAGCCTTGGTCCCCTGTACCTGCATGGAAGACCAGAAAGAAACCGCACTGGCTCAGCTCTGGCCATTGTGGTCACTTGGGGAGTGAATCAATGGATGGAAGATCTTCCTCTCTGTCTTTCCCCCTCTCTGTATATATGACTTTGCAGTAAAAATAAATAAATCTTTAAAAAAATGTATACACAAAAGATAGCAATATCAAATATGTACATCATGTGTTCCAGAAACGCAAGATTTAAGATACAAATGAAGGAACTATAGACACTTAAAAAATAACCAAGGAAGATGAAAAAAAGTTGGAGATCTTAATGAATAAAGAATGTACTTTCATCATATAGCTTAGACCTGTTGAATACAAAGGGTGAAACCAGAAGCATCGGAAATCTCACAATTACTAGGCTTGATTTTACAGTTATTCCTAAAGCTATAGGGAAAAGAAAAACAATAAAAACACATGTTATTTTTCAGAAATTTCAAAGCCTTTAATCTTGGTCCCTGCTGCAGGATTTACCCCGAATCTTTTTTCTTTAATTGCAAAGACTTTCATTAAAATTTAAGTTTCATGTTTTAGAACTCTTCCTTAGAAGATTTGTATTTGTTCATTTGTTTTTCTATCCTACTCTCTGCTGCATTTTTATAGATTAAAAGATTTAACAGAGGTATGCTGTAATCTTATTCCCTCAGCATCTTTAACCCATCAGCTATTCTATAGCCTAATATGATAATGTAGGTGAAAGTCAAATAGCGTTGTTATTAACCAGCTTAACATCTATAAGTAGCTCCAAATTTAACTGAATTATCTAAACGAGAAACCTACCATAGCTTCGTGCACCTAACTAGATTGAAAGGACAAATGGAAAGTTGCATGATAAAAGTCCCAGGGAAAGCAACTATCAAGGCCTCTTCAGAGAAGCACCAGAAGCTGATCTAGGAAGTGTGCTGTATGTACAGAAGAGTGGGAAGGCCTGGGTGGTGATCCATGATTCGCGAAAGAACTTCAAACTTCACAGAAGTTTTTATTCTCATCTTCATAGCTGCTGAAGTAATACAGCACAGATTCCACATGTGGCAATGATGTTAAGAGCTGCCGAGCATGCTTTCAACCAGGTACAATTTGTAGGAAACATTTTTAAGATCAGCATGCAACTTAGAGGACAAACTTAAGCAGCACCAAAGTGTGTCATGCATCAAGGAAAGAAGGGCCAATGAATGAGAAGAGACATGCTTTAATTACCCTTTCTTCTTCCTGCTTTGGCAGCATTTGTACAGGCAGGTGCCACATGCTACAATCCCAGCAACTGCAAGAAATTAGGAAACAAATCCCATGTGACTCCGAACAAGGATTACCAAGATTCAAATCTATCAGAAACAAGCATTGTAGGTTCTAGTTCAGAGGTCTAGTTCAGTTCTAGTTACTTTACTTAAGCACTGACACATTTAAATTTCACCCAAACTCGTCATTACCTAAATCACTCGCAGTCCACGGGAAGTCAGAGAAGCCATGCTTAGTCCCGAGAATGATTAAAAGCATATTTGAGAAGTAAACTAGTCATGCTAAGGGTCTTGAGGAAACGTGTCTCAGGGCTTCTTTCTAAATGGCTACATAGAATACAAAGGGATGGCAGACTACCAACCCAAGGTCGGAAATTCTTAAGAGATTGGTTTACTTAAACTATGAAAAACATAGGAACTGAAGAAATGGTTCAGACACACAAGGAGAGTGGGCCTTTAGCCTAGTGGTGAATGCATTTGAGTCCCACATCCCAGTGTCCTGGCTCTTGATTCTCAGGCAGTGGTGCTGGTTCAAGTCCCTGGCTTCCTGTCCCTCCCGTGGGAGACCAGATTCAGTTTCAGGTTCTTGGCTTCGACCTGGCACAGCCGGTGGCCAATGAAAGCATTTAGGGACTGAAGAAGCAGAGAAGGACATCTCTCTTTCTCAATATATACAAAATGATAGTTAGAAATTCCAATTCTTTACAGTAGCATTTTGATTTAAATGATTCAAATATTGGGATACTCACTTGCAGTAACAACAATCAGAGCAATGAGCCATGCATCTATAAGAAGCAATAGAAAAATTGAGGATAATGAGCATATAAAGATCTCCAGATAGCAGCTGCATTTTCATGTACATTAGATCCCCTAAGCCTCACAGCAAAGTAAAGGTCATCTAGTGTTACCATAATGACTGATGGCTAGTGTGCCTGAGTGATTCTGGTCACAGAATCCTCCTACAACTTCTGGGTTTAGGACCCAATTTGTGAAATTCTTCATAGGAATCTCTTTCTTTACTATTTTCTTCTGTAGCTTCCTCCTCAATTTACATAATAAAGGTTTTTAGAATTCACTAGAGAAAAGTAATGAAAAATATCCCAAAAGTGGATCTGTAGAATAAGTCATAAACTTGTAATGCTCATTCACACAGGTACTATGTGCAGGGTCTTTATAAATAATAAATACTTCATCCCTCCCACCTCCCCCTCCAGTGTCAAGGAGATTTCCTCTGGAAATGTAAATAAAGCACTAGGATACAGGGACAACAATTTTGCAGAGAAACATCACCATACGTTGTGAACTACTTAGAAAACGCCAAATCATCCTACAAAATCCTAAACCTTAGAGTGCAGTCTGCAGTGCCTTTGCTTCTAAATTGTCATTATTTTTATATTTAGCTGTTGCAAGTCAAAGCATAAAGTACTGCATTTAATGCTGCCCATTTCATCTCACAGTTATCCAGTGTTTAACAGCTGAAGACAGCACTGACCAGAGTTGGAAGGAAAAGCATCCAAGTTGATAACCCCAACACTGGATGGCTCAGCTTGGCATTTTTTTTTTTTTTTGGCCTACCATGGCACCAAAGTGAATCGCGTTTGGTATTAACTGCACTTCAGATTTTGAATTTTGACCTTTTCCTGGTCTAGAAACAAGTGGCATGTTATTATGTCAAGCTGGGCGTAGAGGAAGCCACAGCTCCCAGCCAGCACGTGGTACTATGCAGCTAAGTTAGGATGCGGAGTGGATCAGGTATAGTTGGTGCACTCTTGGCTTATGATCAGTTCACCAGAAGCAACCCCATCATGTTAAGGAGCATTTGTAAAGTTGTACCCTTGGTCCACAGGTTTCACAATATCCTTCAACAGTTTATTTAATGTATTAATGTGTTGTATGCAGTGTATAAAACTAAAATAGGTGTGCCAAACTAGCTCTTTAAAAAAAAAACATAGTCCAACTCATATAAAACATAATTTATCTACAAATTGCCATCATATACTGTCCTGTAAAACTGTGTTTTCTATATTTTTTACTTATGCATAACAATAATATTCAGGATTATCTCCCCTTTCCGCTATAACTAGGAATCCTATATTGGGTCACCTCTTAAAACCACAATTTTCAATATTTTCCACACATCTTACCACCTATATTTGCAATGGGATCAATACCACTAAGATAAGTATGAATGTTAGTTATCACTAACAGTTTTTGACATGTTTCTTTTTTCATAGCTGATAGCTGGGTGTAATATTTCCATATACACTCTGAGAAAGGGATGGGGAATATCTGGTCTCTGGCCCATAGAAGGCCCACAAAACATTCTGGTCTGGTTTTGCCAAGGCAACTTCAGACAGGACCGACAGAATTCAAAAAATCGACAGCAGGCTGATTTGTTGGTTGATAATTTTGTATGACCATCAGATGATGTTATAAGTATCCAAATGGTCCATGGCAGAAAAAACATTCCCCATCCCTACTCTAACATCTTAAATGCAGTAGTAATAACCAAAACCAATAACCTAGATTTTCGTTAAAGAATTCACGGGGCTCAGGATATCCTAGGGGGAAAAAGAAACATGGAGTAAATATGACCACATTAATAGTAAAGCGAAAGAGTAAAACTTAAAATCCACAGGTTAATTTTGTCTTTGTATAAGATCTATTGAAATGTAATGTCTTATAAACTGAAATAATGTTTCTCACTTAAAGTGGTATCAGAAAATTTTGCAAATTTATATTTAATAGGGCCTGGCGCAGTAGCACGTGCCAGATCCCATATGGGTGCCAGTAGGTGTCCCAGCTGCTCCACTTCCCAGCTAGCTCTCTGCTTATGGCCTGGGAAAGCAGGTGAGGATGGCCCAAAGCCTTGGGACTCTGCACCTGCATGGGAGACCTGAAAGAAGCTCCCAGCTCCTGGCTTTGGATCAGCTCAGCTCTGGCCATTGCAGCCATGTGGGAAGTGAACCAGAGGATGGAAGATCTTCCTCTCTGTCTCTCCTCTCTGTAGCTCTGACTTTACAATAAAAATAAGTAAATAGTTTAATAATTATATTTAATGCTATTAGATAATATTCTGTGGTATAGCATGCAAATTTAGTGTTTTCTCAAAATTAGTCTGAATTCAAGGTGATTTTCAGTAAAATGTAAAGAAAAATATTTTAGAAATTGATCTGGAATTGAAGGAAACGAATTCAACACAATAAAGAACATCAACAAAAATCTCACAGCTGACATGATACTCAGTGATAATTGACTAAAGGCCAGAGCAAAGCAGGAGACTCACATTTGCTAATCTGTTCATGAAAGTATTGGCAGTTCTAGCCCAAATAATTAGGCAAGATAGATAAAACGGATGCAAATTGGGAACGAAGTAGTAAAATTACCTTTGTTCATAGATGACATGGTCTTTTATATAGAAAACCTGAAGAATTCCATATATACACATTCAAACATCTATTAATACTAGTAAATGAATCCAGCGAAATTGCAGGATTCAAATGCAACACACAAATATGAAATATTAGTTATTTTTTTAAAAGATGTGCTTATTTTTATTGGAAAGGCAGAGTAAGAGAGGAAATACAGATCCATACAAATACAAATCCACCCACTAGTTCACTCCCTAAGTCGCAATGGCCAGAGCTGAGCTGTTCTGAAGCCAGGAGCCAGGAGCTTCTTCCTGTTTTCCACATGGGTGCAATGGTCCAAGGACTCAGCCCATCCTCTGTTGCTATCCTACACTGTAAGCAGGGAGCTGCTTTGGAAGCAAAACAGCCAGGACTAGCAGTGGCACCTATATGGGATGTCAGCACCATAGGCATGAACATGCTATGTTACTGCATTGGCCCCTCAGTTATATTTCTGCACACTAAGAATGAATATTCAAATAGGAAATGAGGACAGTTATTCAGCTTATAATAGTAGTAAAAAGAATAACATGTAGGAATAAACTTTATCATAGAAGTGAACGAGTTGTACACTGAAAACTAAAGGACACTATTTACTAAAATTAAAGAAGACCTAAATAAATAGGAAGACTTCCTGTGTTCATTGACTAGCAGATTTCATATTTTTAAGCTACAAAAAAAAATAATCGAAAGATTAAGTGTAAACCCTATCCAAAGCTTGATCATGCTTTTTACAGAAATAGGGAAATCCGCCCCCAAATTCATATGAAATCTCAAAGAAACCCCAAAAGCCAAAGCAAGCCTAGAAAAGAAGAACAGAGTTAATAGAGATCTCACTTCTTGATTTCGAAACCTACTACAAAATACAATAATCAAAACAGAATGGTAGTGACACAATGATAGGCATGGAAATGATAGGCAGATTGGAAAACTCAGCAGTTAAACCCTACAGAATAGGGTCAAATGATTTTCAGCAAGAATACCAATGGCAATCAACATCAGAGGTCAGTTTCCCCAACAAATGTTGTTGGTAAGATTGGGTATCCACAGGCAAAAGAAAAAAAAAAAAGAAGAAATTGGACTGCTACCACATGCACAAGTTTTCATGGACCAAAGGCCTAAATATGAGATAAAATTCTGAAACTTAAAAACTTCCTGGCACTAGATATGGCAGTGATTTCTGGACTGTGACACCGCACAGGCAGCAATAACAAAAAATAGTGAAATTCATAAACATTACAAATTTGTACTCCAAAGGCCACAAAAAATAGTGAAAAGGCATTCACAGAATGGGAGCAAATATTTGCAAAACATAGATGTGATAAGAGATTATGTAAAAGTCAAAATGATAATGGACCTTGCGGCCTCCTGAAATGTGAGAAATACTGTTTTTTCTGCTCATCATAGGTTATCTTGTCTGTGGTGTTCCTCTTCTAGCAGCTCAAAGAATGAAGACAGGTGTCTGTTATTTTTTAAACATTCAAATACAGCAAGTGTTAAAGACAGAGACACTCACTGGAATACGTACACACTTTCAGTGAGAATGTGAAATGATGAAGTTGCTGTGGAAGAGGATGCGCCAATTCTTTCCAAAACTTAGATTGCTGTGCTCCAGAAATTCTACTCCTAGAATCCAAAAGACAGCCTTTTATGATATGTGTGCTCTCAATAACAGCACCACGCACAAGAATCACAAACTGGAAACAAACCAACTCATGTATCAAGCAACAGATGAATAGATAAACAAAATGTGCTATATACATGTTAATAAACTATCATTTGGCCATAAAAAAGGAATAGAGTTTTCATTGCATATTGCAAGAGAAATGAACCAATATTATGCTCAGTGAACTAAGCCAGGCATAAAAAGCCAAATGTGGTATGTATTCTATGTATTTAAAGTCTCTAGAATGGGAAAATTTGTAGAGACAAAAAAAAATAGATTAGTAGTTTCCAGGTACTAAGGAGAGAGAAAAATGAAAAATTATTGCTTCTAGAGTGCTGTTTCAGCTTGGTGTGATGGAAAAAATTCTGGAGATGGGGTACATAGTGGTGGCTGCACACAATTCCAGTGGCCCTAACGCCATTGAGCTGCACATTTAAAGCAAGTAAAATGGTTAAAAAATATTTATGATTGGAAAAATTAGCATAAGACTAGCTTGGAGATTTTTTTAAAATGACAGTATTTTTGCCAGGTAGTATGACATACAGAACTCCAACAGGCAGAAAAAGGAAAGGAGAGGCTGGAGGTCCCAGTGACGTGGACCCAGTGATGTACAAGTTAAGCCACTTGCATCCCATATCAGCATGCCAGTTTGAATCCTAGCTGCTCTACTTCCAACCTAGCTCCCTGCTAATGCACCTCAGGAGGCAGCAGAATGATGGCCCAAGTGCTCGGGACCCTGCCCCCATGTGGGATGAATCTTCCTGATCTTGGCATGGGCCTCGTGCAGATCTGGCTACTGCAGTTGCCCATGGGGAGCAAACAAGCAAATGAAAGATTCTATCTCTCTCGCTTCCTTGTCACTCTGTCTTTTGGGTAAATGGATGAATGAATGAGTCTTCTGGCACAGGAATGGACAGTTCACAAAAGGAAGGGAAGCTTCAATGTGTGATGGTGAGTAGCAATACAGACTCTGGAGAAAGGAAATGATGCTCTTAATTGTTGGATGAGATGGGTGTGGTGGGGGGAAACCATCCCGTTCTATACACTGTAATGAATTTCAAATGTATCAATAATTTCTAATGCAAAGAATAAAGTCAGAGCACATGGCTGAGATTTTTTACCCAGTTCTAGCATGGAGAAGAAATGAAGCTTTCACAAGAAAGACACGAAAACTGAGTCATTAGGATAAAAGCTGGTACATCCACCTGCCTGTTAGCATGAAATTTCTGAACACATCAATGACTACCTAGATGAAGATAGCGAAATAAAATATGGTATGTATTCAAGTCCCAATTGCAAAAGCCTGGCAATCCAAATAGAATCCCAATCCAAGACACAAAGCGGAAAATGTGCAGATTATAGATAGTATAATTTTTGTTTAAGAAGATGGAAAAAATGCCAAATTACATGTGTAATTACTCACAAGACGATGTTTAAATACAGAACCAATGACAGTAATATACTCAGAGAATAACTGGATGGAGAAATAATTACTACTCTTTACTTTTATGATGTCTGAAATTGTACCAAAAATTCATATACCATTCATGTTGGCAAAAGTAAAGAAAAAAAAATAGCAATCTAATTAAAAAAAAAAAAACCCCAACCTTAAAACTGACCAGTAAAAACAGAAATGAGTAAACTAAGAAAATAAATATTCATTATACAAGGATTTTAATGTTCTTGAAAATGATCAACAAACGAATTTTCAAAATCTAATAGAAAATTGGCAAAAGGCCATGAATACAGATCCCCCAAAGTTCAGCCTTACTGAGAGTTAAAGTAATCCAAGACATCACTTCTAATACATCTCCTATGAAGCTATTAACAATATCAGCAGGATATCTGACCTGGATAATTATAGACTGGAGGCTTGGTGGGATGAGTAGGCCTAGGACCTAGAAAGACAGATGTGATTGTATCAGTTCGTCAGCCTTATCAATATATTATTATGTATTTAAATTTGATCATTGGTTTGCAGAAAGACTATTAAAATGAAAAACACACATCTGTGAATGCTGCAGTTCTTTTGGGGAGTTAACTTACATGTATATCTGCACAAGTGTGGATGCATATATGCACAAAAATACTCAATACAGCATTGTAGTTACCCAATAACAAAATCATAAAAGTCATGTGTTTGAGGTAAACACATATTTTTAAAATAAAAAATCCTAGTGGCATCATACTACATCATTTACAAGTAACTTTTTCTGCTTGGTATTTTTTGGGGGGCATCTCTTTTCATATTCACACACTGATGCGTGTTACCACCGTTACAAATTGTTATGGACAGTTTTCATACCTTCTTTCACTAATAATGATAAAAAGTGATTGACAATCCTGTTCAAAATTTTATTTTGAGCTTTCAAAACATTCCTATAGTTTCTCTTCTTTATAAAGATTTTCTAATTCTTTCAAATCTACACAGGTAAATCAGTGTTTTACAAATTCTTTATGAAATGCTTGTCATCAACTCTTTGGAAAGAGAGTTTCAACAAACTTAGTATACTACACACCTGTTGGGCACATGTGAGTAAACATACATGACTCAATGGATATAGACTTCTAATGTTATCTTAGTTCTGTTTGTGTATCAGTCCACAAAAAAATTATCACTTCCCTTCCCTAAACCATTCAGCCTCAATTAAGTTACTCAAGTAGGTTACTAGGTACCAAGTTCTACAGAATTATAAAAAGGTATTCTAATTACCATGTTACATGTGCAATTCACCCTTCAACTTTTACATTATTAGAAATAGAAATTATGAACGTACACCGAATCTTCAAAAAAAAGAATGGAAAATGTGTATCATGAAAAAACTACACATGGATTTCCAGCTTTTTAGCACAAAAATCTTGGAATTTCATTTTCCACAACCGTTTCAAAGTCTCTTCCTGGGAACAAATTAGGATCCAGGACTTGGGAATTGTTTGACATCGAGATCCTTCTTAAACCAAAGGAGATCTAAAGCCCACAGAAATGATGTTAGCTGAGTAAAGCAGAGCTCAACTAGGAACCTGTGTGCACCTGCCCAGGCTAAGCCTCTTTCCACTGCTCCTTTTGTGTCTGTCTTCTGCTGCAACCAGTGTGGAGCCAGAGACAGCAGCGCCGAAGCCAGGGCGATGATTCCTTACATCATTTTGGAATAACCTCTCGAGCCTGAAGCCCAAGAGGTGATGAGTAATATCTGCAAGAAATTCTCCTTCCTTTTCCATAAATAAGCACTATTCCTTCAAATATAGCTGCCCAGTGTGTGTGTGTGTAGCTGGGGGAGGGGGAATAAATTATATGAGGTGGAGAAAAGGGCAAGGAAGAGATGGAAAACCAGTCTTGTTCAGGAGAAAGCAATTTTCTACAGCACAAAGGAAACTGTGCTGGTTACATTCCAGGAAGCGGAACATGGTCCTTCCTGGGAGGATCGCCCCGGGGAAAGTGTTAGCAGATCACACCTCCCCCTCAAAAAAAGAGTAAAATAGCAAAGCTGAGGATGCGGCAAACACATATTAACAGAGACAAGTCATGGATCCTCTTCATCAATGTTGACTCAGTAGGGACAAGCATAATATAAGCTACTTGTAAGAGTTTCCTCCCTACCCAGCAGTGTGCTATACATGCTTTAAACATGTCCCACTTACCTTCTTATCAGCAGTAACAAAGATACCATGTACTTTATGTGAGTAAACACATTCAAAATTTATATAACTTGCCCATGTTCCTGTTTCCCAAGTTTCTTTTTCATCTCTGTGGACAATGGCACATAAAACTTTAGATCCCATGTATAGTAACTAAAATAGCTGTAAAAACATGCTTCCTCCTTTCATTCCTAAAGCATGAGACGAGTGGACAGTGCCATTCATTTATGGTATATTTGAAAAAAAAATCTCCAGGAATGAGAAAGAAAAATACTCCCAGGAATGACTAAATCTCAGATAGCAGAATGTGCAGCTTTCGTACTGGGAGTGGTCACTACAGGAAAAGAAAGCAATGTAGACTGGATTAAATACCTGGGAGTTATTGTTGGCATTTCCAACAGGAATTTTAAAAGAGGCTTGAAAACTGTAAGCAGAAATGAATAGCCGGAGACAACGGAATGTGGAGGTTTTATAGTGGGAGTGGTCACCACTAGAAAGAAGATAATAAGGACTGGATCAACCACTTGGGAATTAATGCTCACATTTCACTCCCATGAACTACACCTTGCATTCTTGACTTATGCAGATGAAAGTGTTCATGCTTCAGTTTATTTTGGAAATGTTTTATAATCCCTCTTTTTTAGAGATAGAAAGTATTCAACGAGACACATGAAACACATGAGGTGGAAAAACACACAAAATCACAACAGAGTTCTCTATGAAACTTAGGTCATACATCTAGCATAAAAACGAGTGCAAGTCAGAGGTAAGAGCTATAACTTTTTTTTCCGATTGTTCTGTAAAAGGTTCTATTTAATGCCAAATCCATAAACTCAAAGACAAAAATGAACACCGCCCCCCACAACTTTGTACCTTTCACACATGTTGGAATTGGGGGCTCCCATGTGTTATTACTGTTACAGACCACGGTCTCACTCCCTTGAAGATGATAGCCGACGTTGCAGTCAAACATAATCGTTGCTTGGTAGTAATATTTCTTTCTAAATCCTGTTACCTGTCTTCCATTTTTGAGTTCTGGAAATGGACACCTGATCACTGAAAAATCAAGAAACCCCAGCATAAATAGGAATACATTTTTACAATGGTCTCACCCACTTTCCTTGACACTTCCCACCCTAATCAACTATGTAAACATCATCAAAAAGAAAAAACGAAAGAGAAAAAAAATGTTTTTAAAACATAGGGCCAGAGAAAAAAAATAGGAAGCAATTATATGTAGTAGGAAGAAAGAGACAAGTCATGGGATGCAAGACATTAAAAAAAAAAAGGAACCTTTATGTTAAAATTGTTGGGGTTTTGGTTGGGATCAGAGTTGTGGCACAGTGGATAAAGCTGTTGCCTGAGACCAGTCTCTTCTTCCCATCCTGTTCCCTGCTAGTAGCCTGAGAAAAATACCTCAAGATGTCCTAAGTATGTGGGCCTCTGCCACCCATGTGGGAAGCCTGGAAGAAACTCCTGGCTCCTAGCTTCAGCCTGGCTCATTCTCAGCCATTGTAGTCTTTTGGGGAGCGAACACGTGGGTGGACAATCTCTGTCTCCCTCTTTCGCTGACTCTGACTTAAAAAAAAATCAATGTAAAACATTGACTTATAGATAGAGAAATCTAATAATTCTTTTACACACACACACAAACCCTAGAATGCCATTATAGTTTATTAGTCTTTCTCTTTCCTGTTGCTGACAAGTTTTAAGACCTGACTATAAATTTGCCACAAGTTCCAAAACAAATTTGTTTTCAAGGTCATGTTATCATTAATAACAGTGTGCTGCTTTTTGAAAAGGTAGGAAAGATCTTTCTGATAATGTAATAATTTAGCTCAAAATTTTTTTTAAATGAGTCATGTAAAGATATGCCAAAAGAAGAAAAAAAATGTTTCAGGTAAAAACAACATATGCAAGCTGTGACATTCAAAGAATACAACAAACTAGTGCACAAGCATACAGGCCTGAGACACAAATTAAACCAATGCCTGGCTTTCAAAGCAATGTGTGCCGATATTTCCCATTTTACTCTCATTGCTTAAGAAGCAAAATGTGGCTATGACCTACTAGATTACTTGCAAGATCTCAATAAAAGCCTTGGTGGAATTGGGGAAACAGAACAAAAAAGGTTGTGCTGGACACAGTTGGAACAAGAGAATATTCCATGAGATTAAATCTGAGCCTTAGGAAAGGGACTATATACAATACAGCCTGCTAAGCCAGGCTAGTGCCCTTCCTTGTTGATATATATATATTTTTTCCTGTAGATCTGCATTTCCATCTGGTATCATCTCCTTCCAGGCTGAAGAACTTCTTTCAGCAGTTCTTGTAGCACAGTTTGATTAGTGCTTAGCTTTTGTTTATCTGAAAATGTGTTCAGTTATTTCACTTTTGGTTTTGAAGAATTCTGCCTTGATATTGAAGTCTGTGTGTAAATGTTTTCTCTTTTAGCACCTTAACACACATGCTTGTATTCTAACTGCAATAGGCATTTCTATGATTTATTTGAAAGGCAGAGAGAGGAGGAGGAGAGAGAGAGAGAAAGACAGAGAGAGATCTTTTATCTGCTGATTGACTCCCCAAGCCAAGCTCTGGGCCAGGCCAAACCAGGTGTCAGGAACTCCACCAGGTCTCCCACATGTGTGCAGGGGTTCAAGTACTTGGGCCATCTTCTGCTGCTTTTCCAGGCACATTAGCAGGGGGCTGGATTAGAAGTGGAGCACCCAGGACTCCCATAAGGGTTGCTAGAACTGTAAGTTGCAGCTAAACTCTCTGGACCACAACTTTGAGAGAACTCAGTTGTTATTCTAACTTGGCCCCACCTTCTCAAATGTAGTGTGGTTTTCATCCCTCTTACTGCTTGCTTTTTCTCCTATTTTTGGTTTTCAATGACTCAAATATCCATACCCCTTAAAAAATTGTTTTTGATACTGCAGTTATATGTATGTTTGTTAATGCTCTCTCATATGTCTGCATGGCTCGCATTTTAAATCTTTCTTCTCACATCATATTGGATGTCCACTGCCCTGTCTGAAGCCAGAAATGGTGTCTTGTTGTTGTGCTGGTGGTGGTGACAACAATTTGCACCTAATTTTTTTTTTTAATTAGAACCATTGGATATTGTTGACAAACAGTAAAGCTCATTCTGAAGTGCACAGTGGTATGGGTTTCCATAAATGCAAATAATCATCACACAACTAACACCAAATAAACATACAGAAAAGTTTCATCACTTCTAATAGGCATGTAGTGGTATTTCACTGTAAACAGACCATTTTGTTTCTTTATTACTTTATTCTGCTTATTGTACTGGGTACAACTCCTCCCAAGACTATGTGAATAGAGTGGTGAGAGTAACCATCTTCACTTGGTCTATTTTTAATCTGTTTCTTTTTAAAAAGTTTGTATAAAAGAGGGAGAGAGAATATCTTCCATATCCACTGGTTCACTCCCCAGATGCTCACAACAGCTGGGGCTGGGCCAGGCTGAAGCCCAGAAACTCAAACTGCATCTGGGTTTCCCATGTGGCTGTCAGAAACCCAGACCCTTGAGCCACCTCTGCTGCCTTTCCCACACGTGTTGACCTTCCTTTGGTCACTAACCAGTGCCTCAACGTTTAAATGTTTGCCCAGCATTTATCATTCTCATCAGCGAGGGAGCTAGTCTATTAGGATCTCTGCTTCTCAATCTATAGCATACCTCCATGTGTCTTGCAATACAAAATAAAACTTCTTGCTTTTAAGCCAGTGGGTATTGCATTTTTTTTTTGTTCTTTCAAACAAAGAAATCCCAACTCCTGCACACACGGAATAATACAACGATTTATACAAAGAGATGCCAGGAATACAATGAGGCGAGAGATCAGGCTCTATACTAGAAATATTGCTTGGTTTATATTAAATAACAAGTTAATTCTACAATAGGAGGAAGCACATAGCCTTAGACAAAATATTTACAAAATGTAAATGTATTGACAGGTTACAAATAAAGGTGAAATAAATTGAAAGATTACCTCTACATTCAGGAGCACCACTACTCCATACTCCATTGGCAACACAATAAAGTGATTTTTCCCCGACAAGTGAAAATTCATCATCTTTGTGTGATGGATCACAGCTGTAAGTTACTGATTCTGAGTACTCGAATATCTCAACATCACTAAAAGTGTGTTTTCCGTTTTTTATTTTTGGAGGTGGTGAACACAAAATCTCTTAAAAGAGAAAAACAGGAATGTGAAGGCCAAAAGGAAGGCAAAAAATATCAAGACATTATTAATGTACTATGAAAGCATCTTTCAAATAAATTATCAATATAGGATTTCTCTAGCTAGTTAGGAATCCAGTAGCAATTTATAAGAGAGTTTTTATGAAAAAAGTCTAATCCTAAATTCAAAGTATTCACATAGAAATAAACTTTCGGAACAAGGCTTATTTTATTAAGCAGCAGAACATCTATATTTATTTGCAAGGCCATGATGAGTTTTGATTTAGTGACAGTAAGAAATGCTGACAATCTGTTTGTGATTGAGAAATGCTTTACAGATATAACCCACATTAAGCAAAGCTCTTTAGGGTCTTTGTTCATGTAAAAATCATAAATGAACCCTGAGGCCAGATTGTTTGAGAACTATTGGTCCAGTGCAAATATAATTTACTTACTTTCACATCGTGGGACACCATGGCTCCAGTGTGTTGTTGATCCTTTAAGTAGACAGGTTACAAATTTTCTACCGACTAGATAATAGCTAAATAAAAAGTAAAAGTTACTTTTTTATTTAGCCACTAATAAAACACACATAATAAGGAAAGGGGTTTTCTATACTGCCTAGTTAAAGGGAAACGTTTCTTTAACAATATGTAAAGAAAACACTAAATAAACTGGTGTTTAATTCAAAGAAGAGTCTCCTTGCTGAGACGGAAGATGTTTAAATAGGTCTGTTGTGCCTGCCAGTCTGGCTGCTCTGCCGCCACAGGACAGGTTCACATGTCTGCCTTTGCACACAAACTCTGCTTCGTAAGGACAGGGACTGGATGGAGGGATGAGGCCCTGGAGCTGGGCTGCCAGGAGTCCAACCCTGGCCCCAGTCCTGACCTGCTACTGCAGCTTGGACAAATAATTTCAAGCCTGTCTTGCCCTTTCCCTCTCTCCCTCATTAAAAAGGGGATGCTAGCACCTACCATGGAAGCATGAGGTCGCTGGGCGTAGCACATCCCAGGAGCCTGGTCTGTGTGAGTTCTTAGCAATAACATTCTTATCAGAATCCCATCCTGGGAATAGCTCAGCAGTGCTGCCACTCGATGATCCTTTATGCGCTTGAGAATCCAGCTGCTGGGCTCTCACTGTCATTATCATGTATTATTCTCCTTTGGTGGGACTTCTTCACTGTTTTGCTTGGGTAGCTCTCTTTATACAGTTTGTTTCTCAAGAGGGCTACCACTGTATGAATGGATGCATGTCTTAAACTTTGGGTTTCCTAAAGTTTCAAGCAAGCCCTCTGCAACCATTAGCAGAATGTTCAATATTTTTGCTTGATCAAGTTAAAAAAGCAGAAAGTGAACCTGCTTGTACATTGTCATAGCTGATATTTCTCCCAAGGCTCACGCATCTACTGTTTTGTGTGAGTTCTATCTGCTCCTTAAATGTAAATATTTCGTCACATTCTTAATGCTCACAACAGGATTATTATTAGATAATGCAAGAATCATTCAACTTTCCCGTCCTTCAGTTTCAATTTCTTTCTACTTGCTACACATCCTTCTTACTTCCATCAAATGTCTAAGATATTTGGCAAGAAGCAAGTTTACACCAACCCTTACAAACAGGAGCAAAACAGAAAAGGACTTAGCAACAATCACCTTACCTCTAAGAAGCAACTTACTTACCCCTCGTCACATTCAAAGTGAACCTGGTGACCCCACGCTAGAGTTCCATTTACAATATGTTCCCTACAATGTGGGATAATAGGTAGCTGGGCGCATTTTATTTCTAAAAGAAAATAATTTTAAAATAGTTTTAAAAATCCGTTTTCAAATAGTTGAGTCAAAATCAAAAGCCTACATTGCTCTTGCGAATTTGTCAGAATGCTTTTTAAAAAAGACTACTGTATTACAAGGACAAGTATAAACTCCGCATTTACTCAGGCAAACCAATTGCCAAGAAAATCACTCCCTGGAGATTTCTCAAAATCCCCTCTATCCCCCAATACATTTTCACCTGACACCCCATTTCCCAAGAGAAAATCATCATTACAATAGTGGAATACCCTGAAATGCAAAAGTCTCTAGAGCAAACCAACCAACCAAAAAAAACAAATTTTATTTACTTACTTTCACAAGCCCAGTCAGTGATAGGAAGCCATGAGTTGTTCTGTTCACAGTAAGTAGATGTGGTGAACAAATATACATATTCCCATCCTACTTTACACCTATAATTCGCATATTCCCCAGGCTTATAAAATGGTTTTGGTTTACCAATGAGCTCCATAGCCTCAAATGTTGGTGGTGGACCACAGGCATCTAAGGAAAAGGAAATAACAAATAGGAAGAGAGATGAAATATTGATACCATCTTCAGCAGCCAGAAACTCTGATTTGTCAACAGGGAACTCAAAAAATATGGATATCATATGTTTTTGACTAGCTTTTCAATGAGTACTTTGTATATTTACCCAAGTTAGTAGCAAAAGAATGTGCCTTGTAAGTAAGCTCTTATAAGTTCACCTTACTCATTTTGGTTTGGAAATGAACTGAGCTTTTATTCAGTGATCAAGTCAGCATCAGTAGTTTTGATCTTAAAATACATCAGCAGGTATGTATCTTTCTCTCTTTTTTTCCAAGTTCATTTCAAAACTAATGTCTAAGAGAACTTCTTTTTAAAAAAATTCTATTTTTGATTATTTTTACATAGTTGATGGGGTGCAAAGGGTCAAGGGCTAGAGGAAGGTGGGTGAGACTATTATTTCCACATTCTCTTTTTTTTCCTTCTTGTATCTGGGGAAAAGGTGGGAGATAAGGGGAGAAGCCAAAACCAGTTTCCCAAATGCCTCCATACCCTGGGATGGGGACAGCCACCTAGTGCCATCCCAGGGACCCCAATTTGGGGCATGCTCTGAGGGTCCTGCTCAAGAGGTTTTGATAGATAAGTAGTTCTGAATTGCTCCCGATCTTGCCACTCCAAGCACGATGAAATCCTTCCAGAATCTGCTGGTTGACATAGTCCACCTTCAAGTCTCCATTTGCTCAGATACTCAGTGCCAGCACTTGGCTGGGGTAGTTGATCAATTTGTTCTGTCCTCTGTCATGGTACCAGGTGTCCTACTGCCATATTCTCCATGTGCAACTAGATATGCTGTCCACTTCTCCATCTATGCCACTGATGAGGCCCAGCTCTGACACATGCACTCCATGGTCAGATCATGGAACCTATGATTCCCTCCATTGTTGGAGTTCTGAGTCCAGCAATTCAGCTGGTGGGTCCCCAAAGAAACATCATCTGAGGTGATCCTAGATGTGATTCTTGTATGTGCTTGCCAATACAGGGTCCAGCACAGTCCGTTGCCCAAATCAACCTATATACATGCTGCAAGTACAGTGGCCCTGTCGTTGGGAGTCCCTCATGAGTCATTCCTCACAAACACATATGGTGGCCTTATCCATGGGTGTCCCTAGGCAGTAATTCCTCACCCCCAAGTCCCAAGAGCTCATCACTGGGTGGCCAGCAGGCTTTGCCCAGCACAATTGGCACCTTGGACACCTGAGCCAAGATGGTGCCAACCACATTTAAGCAGCCAGTGCTGTGGCATTTCTGGCTTGGGATACTAGACTGTGCTCCCTCCCACCAGCTGAAAAGCGGGTGGTGGGGTGGCAGGTCCAGTTCACATGCTCAGCCCCTGAGAACTTGTACAGTACCTACTCAGGCCACTCTGCTCAGATGCCTCTTATTTGCTCTGAAATATACACCTAGAACATTTCTAATCAGAGATGCCATTATATTATACTATAGGTTGTCTCGGGCTCATCTTAGGAAAGTGATTTCATTCCCTACACCAGAACCACTGAATCATTTACCTAACACTTATATCAGCTTGCCAAAATTAATTATTTGCCATGAGTACACATCCACACTGCTCAGACTCTATCATCAGAAGTGGTCTATTACCTACAAGTATTCATTCAGGAATCACAATGCGATGTGACCTTTTACTCCTTGTCCTGTTGGCTACACAGCTGATCTTTCTAAAAAAAGATGTATTTATTTTTTGCTTGCAAGTCGCAGTAACAGGGAAGAAGAAATAGAAAGATCTTCCAATTATTGGTTCACTCCCCAAATAGCCACAACAGCAAAACCTGGGCCAGTCTAGGGTAGAACTTGGAGCTTCTTCCAGGTGTCCCACATGGGTCCAGGGGGCCAAGGCCCTGGGCCATCCTCTGCTGCTTTCCCAGGCCTTAAGCAGGGAGGTAGATCAGAAATGGAGCAGGACACAAATCAGTGCCCATATGGGATTCTGGCACTGCAGGTGGAGGATTAGCTGGCTAAGCCACCCTGCTGTCTCCCACACAACCCATTTTTAACCTTACTTTGCTTCTTCAGAACTCAGACCCTGATAAATACAGCTGTATTCCTCACTTCTCATTCATTTCTTGGGCCATGAAAATAGCTTCAATAGCTGTTTTAAAAGTCGCCAAATGAGCCCCCTCCATGTTAAATTCACCAACAACCTCTTCCTCCCGCCGACATCCAGGGTTGCTGCTCATTCACTGCTCTCTCCCCGTAGTTTCCAGAAGCTCTTACCACCTGGATGTGGGCTGTTCTCTGGTGACATCTCCTTTTCTGCCTGATGGGATAACAGGATGTCCTGAAAGAATCTGATCAAAATTCTTCTTGTGGGTTTCCCTTTGTTGTGGGCTTAGGTATCTTAATTTTTATTTCCAAATTCTTGCCCACACAGGAACAAGAATTCAAGTCAGAGGCAAAAATATGATGCACAAGTGAAAGTAGGATTTATGCAAAAGATAAAGACGGTGAATGTACATTCACACATAACTGGGTGCTGCCCCACACAGAGAAGCCCCTGGGATGAGTGGATCAGAGAGTCATCCATCGTGTTGTTGTTGAGGTGTTTTCCAACAATGCAGGCATGGTTATTGTCAGGGAGTCCATCATCTTACTTTAAAAAGCAATATTTAAAAAAATTTTTTAAAGCAATATTCTTTTTAAATAGAATTAGTAGTACTTTTGTAGATTTTATTTATCTTTGAAGACTATTTAATTATTTGAAAGGCAGGGTTATTAAAAGAGGGAGAGTTATAGAGAGAGGGAGAGATAAAAATCTTTCACTGCTGGTCCACTCTGGCTACATTGACCAAAGCTGGGTTAGTCTGAAGAGAATCCGGGAGCTTTTTCTGGGTCTTCCACATAGGTGCAGGAACTCAGACCGTTAAGCTGTCCGCCACTGCATTAGCAGGGAGTTGCACAAGATGCGGAACGACCAGGACTTGAACCAGTGCCCTTATGGGATTCTGGTCATTGCAGGTGAGTGCTAGGCCTGCTACACCACAATATCAGTCCCAAATACTTTTTTTAAAAAAAGATTTATTTATTTTTATTAGCAAGGCAAATTTGCAGAAAGAAGGAGAGACAGAGAGGAAGATCTTCTTTCTGCTGGTTCACTCCCCAAATGACCATATTAACTGGAGCTGATCTGATCTGAAGCCAGGAGCCAGGAACAACTTCTGGGTCTCTAGCATAGGTGCAGGGTCCCAAGACTTTGAGCCATCCTTTATTGATTTCCTAGGCCACAAGCAGGGCGGAGCTGGCTTGGAAGTAGAGCAGCCGGAACCTGAACCAGCTCCCATATGGGATCCCAGCAGATGCAAGGCAAGGACTTCAGCCATTAGGCTGCTGCAACCAGGCCCCCAAATAATTATTTTTAAAATTGATTTGAAAGGTAGTTACAGGCAGAGAAGGAAAACCAGAGAGAGAGAGAGAGAGAGATCTTCTATCCACTGGCTCATTCCCCAGATCGTCCCTAATTGCCAGGGAGGCTGAAATCAGGGACCAGATTCTTCTGTTCATCCACACTGGTATAGGTCCCGAGTATTTGGGCCACCTTCTGCTTTCTCAGGTGCATTAGCAGGGAGCTGGATCAGAAGTGGAGCAGGCCAGGTTTTGAAGTGGTGTCCACATTGGGATGCTGACATCATAGGTATATTGTTAACCTGCTGCACACTGCTGGCCCAACAATAGTATTATTTTTAAAGATTTATTTCTTTATTTTTATTAGAAAGTCAGATATACAGAGAGGAGAGACAGAGAGGAAGATCTTCTGTCCATTTATTCACTTCCCAAGTGGCCATATTGGCTGGAGCTGAGTCGGTCCGAAGCCAGGAGCCCAGAGCTTCTTCTAGGTCTCCCACACAGGTGCAGGGTCCCAAGGCTTTGGGTTGTCATCCACTGCTTTCCCAGGCCACAAGCAAGGAGCTAGATGGAAAGTAGAACTGCCAGGACACAAAGCGGTACTCACTCACTGATCCTGGAGCGTACAAAGTGAGGTCTTTAGCCACTAGGCTACCTCACTCAGCCCACAATAGTTGTTTAGTTAGTTAGTTATAGTTTGTTTTAATTTTACTTGAAAGTCAGAGAAACAGAGCCAGAAAAGAGTGTCTGTCCACTGGTTCACTCCCCAAATGACTGCAACAGCTAGAGTCGGACCAGGCCAAAGCCAGTAACCTGGAACTCAATCTGGATCTCCCACTTGGGTGGCAAGCACTCAATACTTGTGCCATCACCTGCTGTCTCCAAGTGTACATGCTACAGGGAAGCAGGAATGGGGAGTGGAGCTGGGACTGAAACCCAGATACTGAAATGTGGGATGCAGGGAAACCACACAGGTCTTCACTCTTGTGCCAAATGCAAGCCTTAAGGAAAACTGCTTAGGAAACATTTTTCTTTTGTTTTTTTACCATTTTCTTCCTATCACTGCTCCCCACTTTCACTATCTGCTTTTGAAATGAATTTTTGAATTATCATTGTTCTTCATAAGACTGGAGTGTTGGAGTCCTGGAGAATTCTCCCATACCAAGGGGCAAGCAGGTCGTTTCTGAGCCTCAGTTGCTTCTGCCCTAACCTGCTGGCTGTGGTGCTTGCTGTTACCTGAAGACCCACATGTTAAAGTCTTGATCGTCAGAGTCGTATGTGTTGAGACTAAGGATAGCCGTAATGTAATTATGGTGCCAGAAGTGGGGCTTGCAAAGCAATTAGATTGGAACTGGTTGTTGGGCACACCTGCACTGAAATCATTGTGTCCACGTGGAGACATGCAGAAGTGCAGTGCATGTGCCTTGCGTGATCCCTGCGTGATCCCTGCGTGATCATTCAGCCATTCTCCGGCCTCACTGATCCTTTCTACAGAACTTTCCCCTCGGAGGCAGGAGGAACATTTTCCTGGGTTTTAAACCTGATCAAAATAGCCTAAATTTTTTGTAAGTAGTAATTACATAAGAGTGTTGAGGCTGAGGCAAAACAAAACAAAATAACAAAACAAAAGGGCTTTTGGAACCACTGATGTGGCAAATATCTGCATCCTAATGAGGAGCGACAGACAAAAACACAAGTTTTTATAGGGAGACGGCAAGGTAGGTTAGTTTCGAGCTGGAATATGACATAGCTTCAGAGAGCACAGTCCCACGAGGTCTCTCTGGGTGGGCAAGTGGAAGGGCATCCCAGTGGAGTTCAGAGGTGATTCTGCACTGAGTCAGGAGGAGAATATTCTAAGTCGGGGGAGACAGCAAGTGCAGAGGATCCAGTGCAGCCTTCCTCGTCTGCTTGATGAGCAGAAGGTTCTCCCTGCCTCCTGTCACTGTCACTGCTGAGCACTGTGAGAGAACCATTTCCTGCAGGGTGCTCCCCTGGAGTTCATGATCTCTCTATCCATCAGTATCCTGCCTTGGGTTAATGCTGGCCACTCCCTAAACTTTTAAGCCAGTCTTTTTTGATTGCCTAAGGTAGGATTGACACTGGAGTTATACCAAGGAGAAAACAAGGTCGCTGCTTGTATTCCCAAATGTTTGCAGAAAATAGAAAGAAAAGGTGGAAACTTTTGAAACCCATGCATAGCTTTTTCACAATATTGTTCATGAACTCCAGAAGACCTCTGTTACATGCATTAGGATACTAATTAGGACAACTTGGCATAGAGACACACCAAGCACATAGAAAAGCACAACAAAATATACCAAAATGGTTTTCCTTTGTGAGCATTGTATTCAATGTTTTAAAATGTGCATTTTAAAACTTGTTTGTTCATTCAATGAATAAATGTATTCAGTGGATAGATTTAATTATGTGCTGTAAGCAAAAAAATCCAGATTAACATTATTCATTGTTTCTTAATATACTAATTTCTGACTATATTTGGCATCAATGAGGCTTAGGAAATGCAAAGAAAAGAGACAAATAATGGGGAAAAATTCTTTAAGTGATAGAATAGGATACTATCTGGATTGGTTGGGAATGGGAGAGAACTCCATAATTCCATAATTGGGGGAAAAATAGCAATTATTTGTAAGCCAAGACTTATGCTGTGTCTATGAGCAAAGAAACATCATGGAAAGTTCTAAAAGGATGGTGCGCCCTTGCCACCCTTCGGAACGCAGGCCACTTTGAGCCTGCTCTCAGCAGGTGCCCTTCTGAAGCCAGGCCAGGTGACTTTCCTAGCTCCTACTCTGATGGGCACTTACAGGCAACATCTGCTAGCCCCGTCCCCCTCCCCCTCCCCCGCCAGCCCAGCCCAGCCCAGCCCATTGGGGCACCGCAAGCTCCTTGCAATCCTAAGGGTGGCAGGGACTGCCCAGCCTCTGGGGATCACTACACTTACCAAGGTACCCGGGGTAGACAGGGGAAATTTCCATTAGCCACACAGCGCGGGGCCCCAGTAGCCCTTCCACTCCCCGCCTTGGCCACTCCCAGGTGCAAACAGGCCTTCTGGTGCACCTGTCGGAGCTCAGTGCTGGAAATGCTTTGCAAACTTATGCTAGGGACACAGCTAGGCGGCCGAGACACACACCCCGAGCTCATCAGCATGGCAAGGCTCAGACCACCAAGCACAGAGCCGCCTGTAGCACTGCACAGTCCCTACAGCCCCGCGCCACCTCCCGTCCCCGGCCGCGCCCACCCGGGCTTCAGCATCGCGCCCTCTCCGGGGGTCCTACCGGAGAAGGTGAACAGCAGGAACCCCACAGTCACCAGAAGCGTCCCAAGGACGCGCCACTGGTTGGGAAGGGGACTTTGGTGGCGGGCGGGAGGCTTCTTGCACGGCGCGGAAGACGCCGTCATTTTTCCAGACTTGAGTGAGGAAAACTGGCAGCTAACTGAGCAAGGGAGTCATTTTTGAGTCTGGGGGAGCAAACGCAACAATCCTCAAACTCATAAAGTGCCAGGGACTGCATGACAGGTGGGCGTGGCCTGAGCGGAAGTGACTTGAGGCCCAGCCCGCTGAGCCAATCGGCGGGCAGAGGGGGCGGGGCCTCGAGGGGGAGACCCTAGGGCTCCGGGTGGCGCCACTGCTTCCTCTGCAGGCCTGCGCGGCGCGGCGCTGGGAACCCGGGCCGCTGCCTGCCCAGGGAGGGGCCCTTGAAGCCCCTCGGCCTGAAAATAGAGACCCGGCGCCAGGCTGCAGGTGGCGGGGGCTCCGGTTACCTCAGGACTCGAGGCCGCCCGGAGCGGCGGGCCGCAGACGCGCTGTTGGGCTTTAGTCAGGCTCATGATGAGGGGCGGGCCTGCAGTTGGCTGTGCCGGTCCTTGAGTCCCTCGGAGCACGCTGGCTTTCGCTGCCTGGCCGCTGCGCTCTGACCCTCGAACTGAGGGAGGGCCCGTGGGAGGGATGTCCCTGGGCAAGCACTGCGGGGCCCTTGAGCCGCTCTCCAGCTTCCTCACGCGCAAAAACGCGCGCACGCGCCCGTGGACGCCGTGGGCGCCGCGCGGGGCTGGACTCGGTGAGGCGCTGTGTGGGGGACGCGGCAAATGCCTGTGCTGGACAATGTAAAGCTAGGAGTAAAGCTGTGTGAGGAAATTAGAAAGTCGCGAGACAAGAAACCAAACCAAGCAAACAGAAAGGGCCTCCTGTCAGGCTGGCCGAGAAAGAAAACGTCAACCAACGCGGTGGCCGCTGGGGGACCAGCATGCAAGTTTGTCGCCTCTGACCTAACTTTTCAGTATTGTGAGGAGCCTTAAAGCGAACACGGCTTGTAGGCCACCTGTGCCTCACTTAGTTTATCCCGAAGAAATCTTGAGAGCTGTGAGCGAAGTTTTACAACTTCAGGAAAAATAGAAACCCCAGAAGTATTAAGGCATTTCTGGTAGGTGTCTTTATTTGATGGAATTCAGGGCAACACGGAAAAAGCAACTGCAAATCAAAGCATGCCATTCATGAAAACAACTGTATCCTGTTGTGCTTAAAAAAAGGGACATTGGAAATCTACCAAAATTAATGTTAGATGATAGGATTGTAGATGTTTCATTTTCTTTAATCTTTTCAGCTTTCTAAGTCTTGTGTGGATCCTATGTTACATTTGGAACAAAGTATAACAAAAAAAATATTTTTTTTTATTAAGCTGTGTATTGCTTTTGGCCAGGATCAAATAAGAAAATTCAGACTGTTTTTTAAAGACTGCATTGTTTGTGAAATCATCTGACAGAAACTGAATCACACAGGGCTGACATACGTAGGAGAGGATGGTAAGGAAATAGAGGCTAGCTCCGTAAGTCCCAGAGTCTTGTGGAATTGAAGGAGTTTATATTTGGTACAGCTCTAAGAGGACCTGAAGACTTTCTGGCTAGGCAGAGATGTGAAACTGGTGTAACAAATAACACCTGAGCATCCTGGAGGAGAAAACGCTGACACGTCTCAATGGCAAGCAAAGGCGGTATGAGGAATTACTACTTATATTAGTGCCTTGAGTTGTGCAAAACAGACCTGTCCGCTGCCTCAGTGTTGGCATTGACTGGTAAAACCAGAATCTACCTGTAATTCTTTGTAAATACTGAGACTGTCCTAGCTATAGCCAGTCTTGGAAATAATATTTCTCTTTTTTTCTAGGAAAGTTAAAAAAGATAGAAATATGACTAGTGTTTAGATCCCTGGAGTGCTGTATTAAGATGAATCTTGTTGGAACTTCGTTCCAATCAGTAGAATTTCCATCTTTCTTGCTCCTCAAGCCATGCTTACTGTACTTTCACACTGGATCTTTTAAAATGCTGATTTGACCCAAGTAGAGGCTCCGCCTGAAAATTCTGAGCCTTGTGTGTTGCTTGTGTGGGCAAGTTCAGTGCGTCAGGCAAAGAATTTCCTTGCCATATCTCCAATGCCAATTCTTCACCAAAGAACACCTGGTATGCACTGTATGAGATAAACAGTGGTTAACACATTCCTGCCAGTTCTCATCCAGCATGAATCTGTCAAATGCTGGAAACGTGCTGAGGGATTTTTATTGTAAAAACTGTTGACACTCGGAGACAAAGTAGGGTTTTTCGCTGAAAGCTACCTGTTTGCACAGAAACCTAAGTCAACCATCATAAGCTTACTTTAGAATGTAGCTACTGTCTAGCCCTTTAGCCTTAAGATGATTTTAGTGACTGAGTTCAAAGGGAGAGTATTGAGAGTGAACCACCTGATGAGAATAGACTTCAGGAGTTAAAGCTTTGAGAGAAGCAGGGAATTAGATATTCATGCCCTTCAAAGATTTCCTCTAATTGCTCAAGAGAAGAAGAGAAGAGAATGGAGGATATGCATGTTTGTGGACCAGGCTTAGACCATTATGCAGTCTGTGAGGTTTGATGAACAGCAACAGAGTAGGGGGTGATGTGTTATGTCATTAAATGGTAGCCAACTTCTTAAAAATTTAATGCTAAATAATTCTCTGCCTCCTGAGTGAGCCTGTTTACATTATACTTTTCAGAAATGGGTGTCACAGCATGAATGAACATCTGTTTGTACCTGGTGAGTACTAGCCATCTAAGTGGCTTTCTTGCCCAGCTGTGTTGGAATCTCTTCCACTTGACCAGGAGGAGTGTTTCTGTGGTGTGCCATGTCCGACACAGGGATTCTGATGACTGGCAATGACCATGAGCATATTTCTCAGAAGTACATGTAGCTATTTTGTTTCTTAGCCAGTAAAGGCTTTAGAAAGGTACATATATATATGTGTGTGTATAAATATATATATATAAATAACACACATATATACGTGTATATATACACATATATTACATATACACACATATATATATTATATATATATATTTTTATATATCCCATAAATATATTTGTAAAATTGAAGTCTCTATTCTTATTATAATGGGGAGACAGAAAACTTTATTTAAATGTCAAATATTTTAGCTAACTTACAGCTTATATTTTAGTGTTCAGAAAGAATAAAACAAATGAAATAAAACAAGGTTAGAATGGTTAGCACTAGAAATATCTTTGGAGAGTAGTTGGTTCAGCCTATGCTTTTCAGATGAGAAATTAAAGCCTAAGGTTTATAGAGATGTTTAATAACAAGCTATGTTATGCAAAATGGCATTTTCCTGTAGTTACTATATGTATTATTCGCCACAATAGCTGATGTAATAGAAAAAATGTGTTGCTTTTTAAAATTTAAACTCACAGGCCATTAGATATTTATTAATCTTATTGCTCAGTACTCTATTCTGGAGGGGAAAAAAAGACCACAGTTCCCCCCTGCCCCCCCCCCATGGAAAAGCCAATTCTTACACAATTGGTTTCTAGTCCTCCTTTAAGAGTTATTTCTTAAAAATCCTAGGAAATAAGAAATTCACTATAAATTCAGCTAAGTAAAAGTTCTGTCATTGGATATCTTTTCATGTATGAAAAATCTTGTAAGCGTTCTTGGAAAATGCGTGATTTTCATAACATTTTTGTACCCACATAAGCATCTTCTGTTTCTACTGGCCACAGACTTGTTGAAGTACTCTTGCAGTCTTGGCTTACTTGCTTTTCCTTCTTAGTGACCTGGCCAAATGTCATTTAGGGTTTTTTGTTGTTGTTTGTTTTAGTATGTGTTGGAGTTTGGTCTTTGAATTCTTAAATGTTAAATAACAAAGCAATTGCCCTTTGTAAAAATAAGTTCTTTTTCTCCTGCAGTTTTTTTTTTCTCTTGGTTTTGCTTCAGTTGCTTCTTTCTCTATCTTGTATGACATTACATTGAAATTCAAACTGATGTCCTGCTCAGTCCCCAGTCCAGAACTGGGGCTGGCATTATGGCAGATCAGGTTAAGCCACTGCCTGCAGTGTTAGCATCCCATATTGGAATGTAGGCTCACATCCCAGCTCCTTACTGATGCTCCTGGAAAAGCAGTGGAAAATGGTCCAACTACTTGGGTCCCTCACTAGCCTTTTGGAAAACCCTCCTGGCTTAATTACAGGATTGGATCATTAGACAGAAGATCTCTTTCCCTATCACTCCTTCTGTCTCTGACACTCTGTTTTTCAAATAAATAAAATATTTTTTTAAAAAGTTTTTAAAAACTAATAGAAATTAGCAATGGCTATAGGCAAAGCTGTTGTTAAATACCCAGAGAGATTCTGATATTTTCTAGAGGTTGTTAACATGGTCTATAATGACATAAAAAATTGTATTTATAAAGGTGTGGCCTGATTAAGGATCACAGAGAACCAGAGCTGCACCTACCAGTGTGTGTGAGAGCTGGGGCTGGGGCTGGGGCAGACCAGGCTAAACTAGGCTACAACACCTGCTGACATGCAGAAAAACTGGGAAGAGGGCCAGGCAGATGGGAGTTCTTTGGGGTCACCCTGTCCAGGCCACAATACCTGCTAGCACTCATAAGATCCAGACCTGGGGGTGGGCTTGCCTGGACTAGGCTGCAGCACCTGTCCTTTTGTGTGAGAGTCAGGACTAGGGGGTGAGACTCACCAGGCAGTTGCACCCACTGATACCTGCATTGACTGGGGCAAGGGCTGCCCTTGACTCTGCACCAGCTGATGCATGTGAAAGCAAGGTCTGAAGTGAGGTTTCTTACGGGGCTTCACGATTAAATCACTGCCCTATATCCCGGCCTCAGGGAGAATCACATAGACATGTGGTCTGACCCCAGAGCACATGTTGCAGTTTTGGGCCACCTCTGTGCTGACACTTAATGGAAAGACAGGACAGCCAGCTCATGTAAGCCATCAGAAGATATTGAGGACCTCAACAAAAGATAGAAAAAGGACAGGTTGAGCAACACTTTAGGCCAGGATCTACAACAAGTACCACTTAGGTCTGTGGGCACACTGAAATCGACAAGGACAGAATTTCTGTCCTTAGAAAGGATTTCTTTGATGTAACAAAGATGACTTCTCAGAACAATCCTCACCACTCAAGTAATACCCTTGGAACGTTCTTCCCCACATTAGGACCTCAAAGGTGACAATAAACAACTATCTATATTCTGGTGCTGATGTACTCTATGACAATAAGGAGTTGTATACTGTCTCTACTTTCCTGCCCCCGGACATAGGAGGGAAAACCAAGTTATCCATCCCACTGCCTCCTGAGCCTCTCCATCCTAATCAGAGGCTCGCATGGGTCTGCAATCCCCTCACCCTTGAAATAAATATTAAAATAAAATTTAAATGTTTTTTAAAAATTAAAAGACTACTGGGCTACTTAAGTGTCAACATGTGTGTATTAATTTGATGCCTTCTTTTAAATTGATACGTAGCATTGCATATATTTATAGGTGTATGTATTGATTCTTTGTGGCAGAATATTCAAAATCCTTCTAACTTTTAAAGAAGATTTAATGCATTCTTATTATCTGAAGTCATCCTATTGTGCAATAGAACACCTGAGCTCATTTCTCCTAATTAGCTTAAAACCTGTTGACTGATAAGTTCTTAACAGTTATACTTTTTCTGGTTAATTTAGTATATTCTGAATAATATAAAGGTTAGCTAATATGGCTGGTATGGCATAGCAAGGAAGGTTGCCACCTGTGGAAGCCAGTATCCCATGTGGTTATTGATTTGTGTCCTTGCTGTTTCACTGTGCTGCTAATGACTTGGGAAAAGGAGTACAGCCCAAGTATTTGGAGCCCTGCCACTCATGTCTGAGACCCTGCTGAGGCTCCTTGCTCTTGGCTTTGGCATAGTTTGGTCCTGGCTGTTGTGACCATCTGGATAGTGAGCCAGAGATGGAATTTTAAACAATTTTAAACAAACAAACCCATATATATATATTTAAAGATAATCCCTTTTAAATTTAACAATTATTTTAATTTTTGGTATTTTAATTCATTACGTGGTATAAAGTGCTTTTGAAATACTGACCAGGAAATACTATCCTTTACTATCCATAGTTTAATTGATTTTCCACATATTTTTCTTGCGTAGCCTTGATATTGTTATCATTCAATGTATTAGCAGAAAAAAATTTACCTTTTCTGGAAAAAATAAAAATTGATAGAGCATATATTGTATTCCAGTTTTTTTAGAAGAAGTAGATTTTGCTGTATAAAATATAAGGGAATTTTTTAAAGAAGGAAGACATGTATGCATAAGAAATACTTACATGACTGAACATTGGCAGATAATGAGTTAAAATATTAACAGATAATTTTATGGTTGTTATTGTTTATTCAATTGCATATGACTTATATTGTTCACATCTCCCTGCATTTTCCAAATTATTAAGGAACCCACTCTATATTATAAAGATTTTAAAATAAGGAAAACAGAAAACTTGTAATCCATAGCTCTTCTGTGCAGGTTCTTCCTTTAGTAATGGAAAGCATTTCGCGTCCCGGGAGCAGGGTTGCTCCTGAGCAGATAACACGTGCTGACAGTGCCAAGGAGGAGCGAGTGACAGTAATGCAAGCTTCGCTAGCTAGGTGAAAGCTTCAGCATCTTCTGTACTTCTGTGAAATCACTTCAAAGACTTCATGAATCTCAGACCTCATTGTTAAATAACAAGAGGTGGCTCTTTTCCAGCCAGCATTTAATTCAAGGGCAGCAGTGCTCTGCCAAAGGACACTGAAGCCACAGGGTATTTTTATTTAGATGTCAGCATAGTCAACAGCTGAGAATTTATACACTGAATTTCCAAGCTTACTTTATATCACAATGTCAACATTACATATAACCTTCCAGCTTATCAGGAACTGCGTATTGCTCTGTTACGCTTGCTATGTGGAGTGCATGGAAGTGTGGTGTAAGTAGAGATACTGAATAGATAGGAGAGGGACTAAAGAGTAACTTGACTTTTTTTTTTTCTCAGTCAATGAAAAAGTAAACAACTTTTTCTGGTTGAGCAACTAAAAAATAACCTCATTCTAGAAAACATGCAAGTAGTTCATTACACATAAAACATTCCCTGAAATCCCTTCTTCTGAACCATGGTTGGGACAGGAGCAGTTGAGTGGCTGGTAGTCTTGGAGCAGGGTCCCCTAGAAACAGCAAGCCCTCCTCCCCCAAGTACAGTGAGGCAGGCATCAGAGTAACACATTGGGCCCAAGATACCAAAGTACTTCCTGACCTTGCTGGAACCTTACTTCCTAAAGCCAGGAATCCTGCCTTTGCAATAGATAGACCTCCCGGTGAGGCTCGCCAGATCCCCAGTGATTACAGCCAGGCTCTTCCTTATCATCATTCACTTCTCATCTCACGTAGTACCTCACATCTGGTTCCTGTCCTTAAACACACAGCTGTGTCTTCATAGTGCCTGTATGACCCACTCTGACCCAGCAACTTCCTGGGGTACACAGTATGGTTTGTGCAGACTTTTTACTCATTCCTTGTCTGTACTATGTTGTCACAAATTGTTAACCTTACTCTTGTGACATATAGGTGTTAAAATTCCAATCTTGGGCCCCGTGCAGTAGCATAGCAGCTAATGTCCTTGCCTTGCATGCATCGGGATCCCATATGGGTGCTGGTTCTAATCCTGGCAGCCCCAGTTCCCTTTCCTTCCAGCTCCCTGTTTGTTTCCTAGAAAGCTGTTGAGGATGGCCCAAAGCCTTGGTACCCTGCCCCCATGTGAGAGACCTGGCTCAGCTCGGCGGTCACTTGGGAAGTGAATCAGAGGGTGAAGATCTTCTCTGTCTCTCCTCCTTTCTGTACATCTGACTTTCCAATAAAAATAAAATGAATTGTTTAAAAAAATGTTTAATGTTACATGTAAAATTCAGACAAAAATGTTTGGGATTTTCTACCTTTGTATTGAAGATGCTCAACAGTTGGTGTACACAGATGTAAAGAACTGATGTAAAAGAGTGATTTCCAAAGTTCTATCACAATGAAACGTTGCTAGACGCATGTCTAAGTATTTACTAAATGCTTATGATTTGGTTTACTCTAGACCCAGAGGTTTCGAGAAGTGTTAACAAATGGTGGTTTTTACTCAGACAAATAATTTGACATGGGAAAGAAAGCGCACAAAGGTGGAATGCCTGGTGTATTATGCACATCTAATAAATGTTTGTAGAATGAGCAAACACGCAAATACAACAGAGTAGGCAACAAATGTGTATATAACATGTTGAATGCTATGGGGTAATTATATGCAATTGCAATGATTAGAGAAACGATTTTTCATTTGGCGAGAAAAAAGCAACAGTCAATATTATACAATCAATATAATCCCCAAGTATAATCCTCTAAATGTTAACTAACATGCAAAGAAACTTAACAGTGCAAACTTATAAGTCTACTGCAGATAATTATCACATTTTCATCTTTTCTGTATCTCCCTTTTCAATAATGAGCACATATGATTCTTAAAAACATTTAAAAATAGTGCAGTCAGAAAACAATGAGATTCAAAGAAATATCATTTTGGACTGGAATTGTTGAGCAGAGCTTCTTGGATGAGGGAATTCTGAGCTGGGCTAATGAAATTTGGATAGAAAAAAGGTGGAAAAGAGTTTAGGCAGGTATCTTGGCAGGCATACGTCTAAATCAAAAGATATTTTAAGCATCCTTGTGGAATATTTTAGAAGGAACTCTTGTAAAGCGGATCATTACACTCACAGTCTGATGTTATTTTATCTGTTTATAATTAATAGCAATGTGGCTGGCCTTGCATCGGCTTTGCATGGTTTTTCTATTACAATTCTCCATGAACAAAGGAAAATGAGTGCCTCATCTGAGAATTTGGACATGAAACTTAGAGCTTCCCTCGGAAGGCAATACCCTCAGTCTTATTTTATCTTGAAATCATCTCCTGCATTATTTTCTTCTCACTTCCTTATAAATATATTTTCCTTTTAAATTACTGACATAGCATTACAAGAAGAGATTCTCACAGGAATAATAATAATAATCCTCTTTTTATTACCAACATCCACCCCAAGTCATTGCATATACCCATTTGAGAGCGGTCAAACCAGACAGACTATTAAAGCTTCAAAATGTCAAAGTATCTGTTCTGAAGTCTTGAAGAAAATAGTGCATATTTCACTTGCTTTTGTAAACAGTAGTGAAAAACCAAGTTATAAAGCAGAGGCAAAGTGACTAGGAAGCCAGAAAATAGACAGAGGGTACTGAAAGTTCATTTCTGTTACAGGAAAGAATAGAATGCAACCAGTACAACCAGTGCTTTTGATCTTTAGCAAACTTTGAGTTGCCTCTGCTTCTATCCTGGCTGACTACAACATGTTCCCACTCCTTTTTATTTTCCTGGGGCCCCTTCCATGTCCTCAACTGAATTTAGTATGTTTGACATCTATGTAGATATAAATCACCAGGTTCAAATGGACTTACGTGGACAAAGGACATTCACCGAGAGATATGACACTTACTTCTGCTTTCTACTGGAGCAGCCTAATTCCATCCTAGGGTGTATATGTCCCTGTGGTTTCTGAAAATATCCTGAGGACCTATGGAGAAGACCTTTTAGAATTCCTAGGTCTAGTCAGAGTAAGCAATGACAAATGGTCTTGTGTGATGACAAAAATGGAATTTTGAATTTGCAAGAAGCTGCAGAGACAGAGTGAGGTACTCTGAGAATGCAGTCAAGATCTGAACAATTGGGAGGTATATCTAATGAGAGTGATGGAAGCCTGGGGAAGGGTGGAAGTGAGAGAGCAAGAATATGATAATATACTGCCATGCAGGGGGCAGCAGTCTGTGTTGGAGAATCCTATGAAAGTCAGATATCTGGAGGAAAGGTGGAAGGAGATTCTCCAGAGCCCTTAAGGGATCCTTCCCATTTGCCTGGCAAATGAGTCCTGGCTCTGCTTCCATTTCCAGCTATGAAGGGGTTCACAGCTTCCTACAGACATGCACCTGGGGAAGCAGCAGATGATGGCTCAAGTGATTGAGTCCCTGCCACTCATGTGGGAGATTTGAGCTGGGCTCCTACTACGTGTCTTCAGCCTGGTGCGGTTGGAGGCATATTGGGAAGTGAACAGGCATATGGGAAATTTCTTCCTACCCCTTTCCTCTGCCTCTCAAAGAAATAAAAATATAATCTTTTAAAGATAGATCCTGCACATTGAAATGAAACCAGAGCCCTCACAGCAAAATTTTGGGTTCACCAAGAAAAAAAAAAGCATACTGTTTTCCATAAACTCAAAAACTCACCTCATAAACACACAAGAATATGGGGCGGGTGGAGGGGGGGAGCGGTGTTTTTCAAACACAGTGCCCGTGCACAGCACTAATAGAATCATCACCTTAAATGACTGGAAATAGTCACGGTCCAGGAGAAAGTGACAAAGGAATTTCCAGCTCCTTTAGTATTTAACTCCTTTGGTATCAACAACCTCCCTAGTACAATATACTCAAGTTTTGTTGCAATTTTCAGGATTTGATCATTGAAAAACGTTTTGAATTAAGTGTAGTTACCTGCTATGCTCGTGTTGTGATAGCAGAGTTTGAGGATGAGCACAGCTGCCTTCTTGAGGATGTAAGTGGATTCTCACTTCTTCCAATTTTTCATCTGTATTATAGCTAGTTCATGAAGGAGAAAAAAACAACTGATTTAGTCATGCAGGCTTTGGTTTTGAAAGAAATCAGTAACCTTAATTTTGAGATTTGAATGATTATTTGCACCAAGTTCCCTTTTTTTCTTTTTGGCAAGACATTTGAAAAGAAAAACAGTCAAATTTCATCTCTCAACACTATGTTTTAAATTTGGATTAAGCAATAATACTAAAACCATCCTCTAAGTTGTGCTATAGACAGGTATCTATGCTGTAGAACAACATATTTGAGTATTTCCCAGATAAGTTTGGTTAATAAATACAGCTTACCACAAGCGTTCGACACTTTGAGCTCACAACAGAAATGGCCACATTGCATGTTAGATACAGCGTTGTCTCCTGCAGTGACATGTATGCTTTGCTGTCCATCCATAAAATGCCAACAGTTGCACAATAACAAATGTCATGAAATTACACTTCACTTTCCACAGCCCTGGGTTCTGCTTCTACACATCAACCAAACATTGGACTAAAAAACCTGCATCTTTACTGAACATGTACAGAATTTTTTCTTTATCATTATTCCTTAAACAATGCAGCCAGCAGCCATTTACATATAATTCACATTGTGTCTAAGAAGTACTCTGGTGATGGTTTAAAGTTTATGGAAGGATATGTGTAAGTTAAACACAAATACTAGTACTAGTTTAGAGCAAGACTTAAATTGAGCAACTGCAGATTGTGTTATCTACAGAATGTCCTGAAACCAGTCCCCTGTGGACATCAAGACATGACTGTATGTAAGAACTGGCAGTAAAAAGAAGTGTTTAATAACTTTTTAATAACATTGGTAATAGTGATATACTATATATATATGTATATAGCTAACATGGTCTCATATTCTCCATGGGTGGGGTACTGTGTTAAGTAGGAACTATTCATTTTGCAGGCAAGGAAAATGAAGTTTGGAGAGGTTAAGTGTCTTGCTCAGGGTCTCATAGCTAGTGAGTGACTATGAGCCAGGGCTTGCTGGGCTGACACTGTGCCCCTTTGTGCTTATTTAATAAGCACTTCATTTTTCATAAATGAAATAGCACTATAATACCAGGTACTTTTAGATTTTACACATGAGTTGGTTTTAGGGACTTAAGAATTTGGGATTTAAGAAGAGCACAGAGAGTTATCACTGAACCCCTGTTTTCTCATTACTCAGTTACTCTTTACCTTCTCATGGAACTTAGAATGAGGGCAGGACTTGAGACAGAGAGGACTGTGAGTCAGAGGCCAAACTGGAGCACCACAGAGAGGGAGGGCAGAGGGTTACATAACCAGGTTGCATGGGCTTCCACAGAGTGGTAGATGAGTGTTTAAATGAGTAATGTGACAGTGGTTCTGGGTAAGGACTGCTACATCGGATGTGGGCCAGTATGGCCTGAGTGCATATATGTTGAATGGATAGGTGTGTGGTTGGTTGCTGATTGTTAATGTGAACATACGAAAGTGCAACAGCATTTAAAGAGGCTGGCCTTAAACTTTTTTGTTTCCTCAGGCGTTATACTAGTGAGAGCTTTTTCTGACTATGGATAAAGAGGGCTATTTGGTAAAATGGGGCTGGATCACAGCAGCAACAAGAGGCCAGGATAAATGGGCTCTGCTGGAGAAATCTTAGCACCATTCTTCCTCCATGCTTAGTCATGATTTATTTTGGGTTACATTTATCACAAGTTACTATCATAGTAAAAATACAGTGAAATTTCAAAAGGTGCAGATGACAGCGGTTTTCTCCTGTGCAATGTCAAGCTAGTGAGGTGGAATCACAGGAAAAACTTGGAAATCTGTGTGAATGGACAGGAAAGCTTTCATTAAATCTCAATGTGGAGACGTGCCCTTGAAGAAATACCTCTATTTTCTTTTTAGGGTTCTTCAGGCTTTATTGGAACAGAGTCAAAAAGGAGAGATTACCTATTGGTGTTTAGAAAGATACTGGTTCAAGGTATCAGGGTAGCTAAAATAAATCTAGTAAAATATAAGGGGGAAATATTGAAAGAAAAAAAATCCTAGCTTTATATTATTTGTTATGGACATTAGAGTTCTTCCTCTTCTCTTCCTCTTTTTTTTTTTCTTTTTTTTCTTTTTAAGATATATCTGTTTATTTGAGAGCGTTATAAAGAGAGAGACAGAGAGACAAAGAATGAGATCTTTTATCCTTTAGTTCACTCCCAAGTTAGCCGTGAGGGCCAGGGCTGGGCCAGGTGACAGGGGCCCAAGCACTTGGGAAATCCCTGCCTTTTTTCCTGGGACATTAGTAGGAAGCTGTATCAGAAACGGAGCAGCTGGAATTCAGATTGTCATGCAGATGAGATGCTGGCATCACAGACGGTGGCTTTACCTACAATGCTGACTCTTGGACCTTAAATTTCTGTAATATACATTGAGATTCAGAAATGAGTAACTAATATCAACTAGTCCAAGGGGTTCAGTATTTTGAATCAGATACTCAAGACCAAAGCCCTTATGCCCAACAGCTTCCTGATAGTACAGCTGAGCAAGTCACTGAATATCTTCACTGGAATCTTCTCTGCCAATATCAATGGGCTTACTTTACAAAGATGATAATAAATGGGAAAGCGTATTGTAGAAAACATGTTAACTGTTGCTCTTACTATTAATCTTGATTACTGTATAAGTCAAGATTTTAAAAGATCAATAAATAGCAGTTATTTTATATGGATGCATGTGGTTCCTGCTCAGTATGGGGAGAATGCACAGTCAAGAGTATAGGAATGTAGTGAAGATTAAGATAACAAGAGACAAGGTTAATCATGTGGGTAAGGCTGGATTTAGGAGAGGGAGGTACACAGAATAATTATACATTCCAAATCTGGAAAAGTCGAGGACTTAGAAGGTGTGTGAAATGATTAGTAGTATGATTTAAGTTTAGGTTGATTTGCTTTCCAAATTTAGCATTGGTATAATGGATGCAATGTTTGTAGTCCACCTTCCAATTTTATATGCTGACATTTTCACCCTCAATCTGTTAGTATTATAAAGTGCGGCTTTGGGGAATTAATTAGTTCATGTAGGTGCATCCATAACTTGAGAAATAAATGCTTGCTGTGTAACTGTGATATTGTGAAAGCTACCCAAATGAACTAAGACAGTATATCAGAACAATTAAGGGCTCAGAAAATGAGGGTAAGGCTGGGATAGGATGTACTACTGAACTTGACAGAGAGTTGTAACAGAATGCTGCCTTTTGTGGTAATACTCCAAGTGGTGTTTTGGACTCTCATTTATTAAAGTATGCCTTTGTGCCATGGATAGTTCAAGTTTGGTACCTATTTGTGATCAAAATTTCCTGACTTCATGGAATTTACATTCTATTAAAAGGACAGAAAAGAAATAATAAAATAAATAGGTTAATTAATTATAATAAAAGAGGGTCTGCTATTAAATATAGAACCAAGTGAGACTGAGAATATGGGATGGGGAACATGCATTCTTTAATAATTAAAGCAGGCCTCATTTAGGAGTGTTTCTGAGCAGGCATTTGGGAGTGCAGTTTTTCAGTCTTTGTCTCCTTTTAGTTTTTTGGTAAATCTTCAGATTGCTTATGCAGTTTCTGAATTACCTCATATATGAAGGAAGACTCCTGCCTACATGCTTCCAGGCCCACTTACTCATGGCTCCTGCAGAACAGGCCAGTACTACATCCTTCTGTGTCTGCCAGTCTTTTAGCTCCAGGATAAATGGCTCTCTTGTGTGGACAGTCACTAAGCACTCTACTCTTCTGTGTTTCTCACATGATTAGCTTCCTCTTCATGTGAGGATCATGGGATCTATTTGTCCTGGGAGGAAAGTTTGATCTCCACATAAAGCATAAGGAAAAATCCTCCCAGTTTAGCCACACTCACAAAGATATGGCTCCACCCACTCAGGGAGATGCAATTGAATGATATATCAGCCCACTGCTGTCATAAGAAGGTGCTTCTGCATTCTGGGTATTTAAATTTAAAATCATCTCCCCTTAATTTTAGTTTTGTGTTATTTCTAACACGAAAACAATGGTGTTAAGGAGGACCAACATAGTGGGCATAGTGGGCTAAAGCATCTGCCTGCCATGTTGGCATTTCATACGGGTTCCAGTTTGAGTCCTGTTTCACTTCTGATCTACCTCTCTATTAATGTGCCTGGGAAAGCAGCAGAATTTAGCCCAACCACTACAAAGGGGACATGGAAGGAGCTCCTGGCTCCTGACCCAGCCCTGACTATTGAGGCCATTTGGAGAGTGACCTAGCAGATGGAAGATCTCTCACTCACTCCCTTCCCTCTCTCTGTAATCCTGCCCCTTAAATAAATAAACAAATAAATAGATCTTCAAAAAACAGAAGAATGAAAATAAATAGTATTTTTTTCACTAATGCACTCTTTATCCCAAGAAATGAAAGACCTAAAATACAAATTTAGAAAATGTTTTGAAAAAATCATGAAAAAACAAACTGTCTTTTACTATGTTATTTTCTGACCTTCGAGGCTAAGCAGGGATAGGCATTTTTCTCCTGCCATTTCTGTGATGGGCACAGGTCAGAGAGAATGGTTTGCCATTATATATTATATTTTAAGAATTTGGAAAAAACAGGTGGCATGTTTTAACAGAAAATGTGAAGAAAGATATATGTTCTGTTGCTGCCAAGATTAGACAAACCAGTGATTTCTACAACCAGTGATTTCCAAGTTTTCAGAAATTATTAGTCTTATTTTTATCCAAGGATGCTTACATACAAGAAAATGGTGAAACAAATCTAGAGTCAAACTTGGGAGTTTGAGTCTCTGGTTGATTAATAAGGAACAAGCCATACAGAAGAGAAATAAAATGTTGCCTAATGAGCTCTGGTCAAAGACAGAACACATAACCAATAGTAGTCCATTGACTTGATTGCGTGGTGACTTTATAATCATCTTAGTTCATGTAAGTACAATTGACATTTGCTCAGCAAAGTCTGCTTATGACATATTTCTCAGAACATATCTTATCATTAAGCCACAGTTGACTGCAGTTAAAGGAAGGAGGAGGTAGGAGATTACATTAAATATTTCCAAGAGAAAGAGATACCATATTCCTTGGATGGTTTAAGCTAGAGATTGGTACAGATATAATAGAACTAAAAAACACAACTACTTAAAAATAGCCCTAGCTTTTTAAAAAAAATTAACTCACAGTTTATAATAACACTAAGTGAGCAATGATATGGGGAAGCATGGATTAAGATCACCACTCTGTCAATGTGAAACATCAGGCAATGACTTAAATTTTCTCCTTGCAATGAATATAGGGAATAATATTGTCAAGACACAAAATATGCAGAACATTAGTTACAAAACAAAAGTTTACCAATGATCATATGAAATATCATAACTTCAGCAACCATAAAGATTCTTGTAGGAAAACTGCATTTGTTTGGGATGCTTGCTGTTTGGGAAATCGTTCACTGAAAAGCATAAATTTGATTTCTCAAGCGTCTAGATTGCACATGTTATCTTCATACCATCGATCTCACTGATCTTGAACTCACTGATTTTAATTAAATCATCTATTACAAAAGCTGGGAATGTTCTCTTCCCTGTCAAAAACGTTTAGCTTGACCTTTTTGCAAGGTTTCTGTGAGGTTAAAACGCAAATGGCATTTACAAAAGGTACATTTACTAATAATTTAAATGCTTGTTTATTTTCATCTACTCAAAAGGCAGAGAGAGAGAAAGAGAAATTTATCTTCCATCTACAGGTTCACTTCTGAAATGCTTTCTGCAGCCAAGACTGGGACTAAAGCAGAAGGCCATAGCTATCTGGGTCGCTCATGTGAACAGGAGGGACTCAGAGCATTTGAGCTATCACATGCTTCCAATCCAGGAACAGGAAGTTGGAATCAGAAACAGAGTAGCTGGGACTCAAACCGACACTCTGACATGGAATGTAGGCATGTCAAGTGGCAGCTCAACTTGCTGTGCCACAACACCCAACCTTAGATTTCTTTTTAAGGAACACCCAGTGTATGGGACTGGTGTTGTGACAGTTCAGTGAGTTAGGCTGTGACCCGTATGGGATCCCATATCAGAGAACTGGGTTGAGTCCTAGCTGCTCTGCTTCCAGTCCAGCTCTTTGCTTACATACCGAGGAAAGCAAAGCAGCAACAGATGACCCACATACTCAGATCCCTGCCACACACATGGGAGTCTTTGAAGGAGTGCTGCCCTCCTGGCACTGTCCTGGCCTATTTACTGACTTTGTGGGCACTGGTGGATGGAAGATCTCTTTCTATCTATTCCTCTCTATCACTCTAACCTTCAAATAAAAAATAAATACCAAGTGCCAAGTCTTCATCCTGCTGCACTGGAAGACTGAGGTATAGGTGCCACTAGGGTGCACTAACACCTACTGCCTTGGTGGGATCTGTTATGGTCTGCAATGTGTCAGCAGAAGTAGGAGATCCAACTCATTAGTACTTTTTAGCTTTTAAAGAAAAACTCACTTATTTTCTTTTTCTGGAAAACAAATTTTCTTCTTAAGATACTACATTTCCATTTTATATGTTTATGTTATATTCCCTCTAAATACTTCTCTGTGTAAAATGTGTGTCAAGAGCTTTCTTTAGAAGAATTGCCACATCTAGTACTAGTACTGGTTGGGTTATTTCTGCTTTGTTTCTGAGGTTCTCTTTTCCTTGCTTTGGCCTCCAATATTAGGCATCCTCTATAGCTCCTAAAGCAGTATGGCTGTACTTACCCAATTTTGTGTTTTAGAATCATCCCACAGAGAACAATGATGGATAAAAGAAATATGACCGCACCAAAAGACATGCCTAGGCAGTAAACAAAGTAATTAAGTTCATGGGACACATAACCCAGAGGTCTTAAAACTCTATCTTGATATCTGTTCCAACTAGAGATTACCAATGACTGTTCTTTTCAAAAGTAACTTTAAATTACACTTTATGTCAGGTTTAACCTTCAGCATTAATTTTACTACTACAGGGATATATTTAAGAGATGAGCAAAATTGTTCTGTTATCTTTAGTCCAACAGCAGCCTCTTGGCAAGTTGGCCAAAGAGAACCAGTAATGGGACTGTAGGCTCCATCTCTCTCCCTCCTTGCCCAAATATCTTGTGTAAGATATGATTCGAGGTATTCTATGAAGAGAAATCCTCTTAGTAAAAAAATCTATTACAAGAATTTTTTATAAAGGGAAATCATAAACATGGACTCAGCCAACTGGTCTTGTGGCTTTCAGTTTGTGCAAATGGACATATCCAACATCCAGAAGCATATTCCCAGGCTATTATGCCAAAGAGGAAGCTATTGTTTCCAGCTACATTAAAAGAAAAGCATTTTTGACACAAAAGGGTGATTCTTTATTCATAATAGCTCACAAACAGTAAAGGACCTTTGATGAAAGATTCTGTCAGTGCTTGGGAAGATACCAGTTTTCCCACACTCTGGCCTAAACTTATCTTTCTTTTCTTTCTAATTGAATTTACAAGACAGTTTGGTGTCTCTTTTTATATTTCATTCATTCTAAACTTGAACACTTACTGTTCAGGAAGCTAGAATTCTTCCGAAAGCCCTTCAAACAACTTACCAAGTATGACAGCATAATGTTGGCCTGAAAGGAAGAAGAAACATCATCTGGCACACAACACACTGAACAGGAACCGAGCCAGGACAGTCCATCCTGGGTTTCCTTTAGGACACAATGTAATTTTTTTTTTTCTAGCATAAAAAGCCAATGCCTTCACTCACACAATCTCATTTTCTCTCTTATACTCAATGAAAAAAAATTTTCTTTTTTATTAGTGCTTTTATCATAGAAGCAGTATAATTATAGCGCGTTATAAGAAACCACAAAGCTACCACCTATTATTTTCATCCCAGAAAATGTTTTAGCAACTTCCATTCTGCTTCTCTGCATCTAAATTTTTACATGCTGACATAATAGGAAGACAAATTATAACAGAGACAAACTAAGGTAACCTGTTCTGGTGAGTGTAGCATTGTGTAGTCAATAATTTTGATTAAACATGTGTTTTTAGTTTGGTCCGGAAAACCTTAATACAACATAAAATGTTTTAATATTTCACCTTAAATCATTATATTTGATTCTTAGGGGGAGCGTGCTCGCATGGGTGTTTATATTATTATCTGTTTACAGTGCACAGTTATTTTACATAAGAGTTTTTTTTTTTTTTTTGCCAATTTGCAATGAAACCTTCAACATTTGAGGACCTCAGCTTCATCACATTGCTTTATATTGGGTATGTAGGGTGTTCCCCTAAAAACCTTTTTTTGTTGTTAGTTTAATGGGCACAACAGAAAAAAAAAAACAAGATACCTTGTTGTTTTCTTTCACATTTCTTCAGTTCTCATGTGATTTATGTTTCAAGGAAAAAGATATTTATGCCTCTGCCTCCAACTTGCACATTATAATATAGTTTTTGCCTATCCCTGCTGTCTTCCTGGGCTTTGTAGTCTTGAATTGAGCAGAACTGGAGAGCCTCCACTTAGAAATGGTGTGGAGCAGTGAAGCTGGGTCCAGAATGTGATGGGATAAGGAGAAAAGTCACCATGGGTTGGAGGTTTTGAAGGATGGTCTAGGCAGGAGAGAGAGGAGCTAGATTCTGCAAGGGCAGTTGCTTTAATGAATGGGACATAAGGGGACAAAATTGAGTAGTGTGGGTAGTTCCCCTTTAAGGCTCCCGAAGAGTCCAGTAAAGATTAAAGATTTCTCTTCATTTTTACACCCTTTTTTTTTTTTTTTTTGGAGTGAACATCTTATCTGGGGCAACAGAGTTAAATATGCGTGATGTGTTGAAATTCTGGCCTTAGAGGGAGCTGGAGCCCATCATTGACTCAGAGGAAGCTGTCACTAGGAATGAAGTCTGTGACGTAATCAGGCCGCTGAATTGGGGATGTCTTATGAGTCTGATCATTCCAGGAAATTCTTCATTCTGTGATGCCAGGACTCAGATTTCTTGACCTATTTTGAACAGCTATTCTCAAAAATGCCCTGTGGCATGGTCTGTCCAGCCTGAAGCACTTCCATAACATCCTTCCTCCACTTCCTCCTCAGGAAGGACTAGGATGGATATCTTGAACACTCTGTCCTAAGTCATAGGAAAGGCAGTGTTTTCCTCCCCTCGATTTTCCAGGGTCTCATCTTCCTTTTCAGGCCTCATCTTCCTTATCAGGCCTCATCTTCCTTATCAGACCTTTTCTTTTAGAAAGATGTCAAAGAAAAAGACTAGATGGGATAAACAGACTAGGACAGGCTGCAAAGGGACCTATTTTTAATCTGAGTCGTTATAAAGCTGCTCCACTTCTAATCCAGCTCCCTGAACCCATGTTGGGAAACTCTGAAGAAGCTTCTGGCTCCTGGCTTTGAATGGGCCCAGCTCCTGCTGTTGTGAGCATTTGGGGAGTGAACCAGAAGATAGAGAATCAATCAATCTATCTATCTATCTATCTATCTATCTATCTATCTATCTATCTATTTATCTATCTATCTATCGTTCTTGTCTTTCTGTCTTTCTTTCTTTCTCTCCCTCTCCCGCTCCCTCTCCGTCTGTAACTCTGCCTTTTAAGTAAGCCAATCAATCTTTTAAAAACAAAGCTATTTATTCATTTTGGCTCATCTACTACTAGATGTAAACAAGATTTCCTAAATGGTCAGCGTGGATTCACTCATACCTCACTAGGTGGGACACAAAGATTAGTTACTCCTCACTGGGGTATTGAGGATTTCTCTGCACACCCCTCCTAAAAATGTTCTGCACCTAAACTGTTGACACATGTCTTGTTAGAGTTATAAGCCAGTTCAGACCACCTGAAAACAACCAGGTTCAGCAAAATCATGCTTCAACCCTATAAACAGCTAAATACCAAGAAAAATAGACACGAGATAGCTGAATAGTAATCTATAGCCATTTTAAGGTGTATAGAACCCGGTTGTATATAAACCAAAATTGAAATGTCTATGAAGAAGTCACAGGATGTGGTTAAGAACCTGAATTTTCCTTTTAACATATTGGTTAATCAATACCATGTCAATTAATATCATAACATTGTAAATTGTTGCTGATGTTATGTTGGGGCTTTTAATTGATTGGGATGATACTCTGCCGGCTCTACCTTCAGACCAGAGATGGTCTTTCTAAGAAACCGTTGAACTTACCAGGACAATAAGATGCTGGACTTTATGCTTGGTAAATACTTCCAATGAAAGAATCTCAACTGAATTTGAACTATGGTAATGCAACAAGGTGGAGGAATCCACCATGAGGGGAGGGTTTGGGGAGGGGTTGGGGGAATCCCAGTGCCTATAACACTGTGTCACATAATGCAATGTAATCAATAAAATAAAGGGAATTTAAAAAAAAAGATGCATTAGAAACAATTCTATGGACAACGAAAGAGGGACATTAATGACCAGGAGAACCAGATAATCCAAGCGAAATTTTTAGGGGGAAAAAAAAAGCTGAGAGGTGTTTTCATGAGCGCCACATATGACATAAATACTGGAGACAGGAAGGTCAATTAAGAAGCTACCATAACAAAAGGAGGAGACAACAAAATGATGGGTGGTTGGAAAAAAATATAACTGCCAATGAGGAAAAAAAAGCAAAACCAAGTATTCCCAAAGATATTCCATCTTTCTAAAGTAATACAACTATTTAGGAGCATAGAACAACAACAAAAAATTAAACTATATGTTGCTGTCCCTGTACAAGTAAGTGCTAATTTAAAATAGCTTATTTTCCTTAGCTTAAAATACTGTTTTCATCCATTTATTCACTTGGTTCAGATTTATTGATTAACTATAAGAAATAAGAGAACCAACATCAACTTACAAGTGCAAAGTTTTAGGAGGCAAAGGAGAAAAATATGTTTCAGATTTTCTGAGCAGATAGGGAAAAAGGTGGTATCTAGTTTTGATTGATTTGGATTTCTATATCGGCAATTGAACAATTTTTTTCATTTATTTATTTGCCATATATAGTTATTTTATTTTGACCTAACTACAAATAAACACTTTCATTTGTTATTCAAAACAAAACAAAACAAAACAAAAAAACCTAGACTTCCTAGCTTGCATTACCTTTCAGTTGTCAGCAGAGGGCCGCTCTCCTAGAGAACTCAGTGGTTCTTGATGTCTAAACATGCAGCATCCAGCTGTAGGAGCTTAAAACACTACAGTCTGCAACAGTGAGAGAGACATGGAGATGCTCTCCGCAGCTTGGACCCGTGCTGAAAACATTTCTTCCCAGTCGGTTACCTATGTGCTTCTGGCTTTCAGGGTTCAGAGGCTGTAGAGAATGTAAAGCTTGCAATCATAGATTGATGGGGATGGAAAAATCACAGGAGCCTGAGGCAAGATGGACTGGTGAGAAGTGTAAAGACAACTGGCTCCTTGGGAAGCTCCTGACTCCTTAGCTCCTACCATATTCCATAGACATCACACCAAGCAGGGATGAATGAATAAATAGTAACCTTAACTGGGAAGGGCTTGTATTCCCTTAACTTGTACTTACGCGCTGTACATATGGCCAGAGGAGGGTCCCATCTGTCATCCGCCTGGCACTGACTCCAGGGACTGCCTTCTAGAACATAACCATCTTCACACTCCAAAGTTACGTTCTCTTTATAGTGATAGATTTGTCTCATTTTCAGCTCTTTCCGGATACCATCCATAAGCTGTGGGAGGCTGCATTTCACTTCTAAAGTTAGAAAAATCAGAGGGAAATTGATATTTTGTTGGCTAAAATTCACATAATAGAATGCCTAGACCTACTGTGTCCCTGGGCAAAGATAGAACATGTTTTCCATCAGGAAAGACTGACCCCTCTTTCCCATCATATTGATTTTCATTTCTTAGATGAATTAAGGGAATGGGGGATATACTGCACATCTTCTTTTGATTGTTAACAAGTCTACAGTTGGAAAGTTGTTGAAAGACTAGCAGAAGTTAAGACAGTCGTGCTAGTTTTGAGCCCCCATCCTAAGCAAGAAAAGATACGTCATCTTCATTCTTTCCATATATGTGGCAGATACTGTAGTTTTTGCTCTTTATTAAACTCATGTTTATGGCCCATAAACATAATTCTGAATTTAAAGTAACATTTTGTTTTACTAGTTTATCTCATTTAATTCATGCTTGTTCAGCTTTTTCTGTTAAGCCGTCCAATACCTCCTTCAACTTTAAGTGAAGCCTGCTTTTCTGTTGCAATAGTTTCAAAACTAGCCTAAAATATTTTTCCCTTTATAATGTCCAAAAAATACATAAAATGGTATTTCTTGAAGTATAATCTGTGGTCTTTCTATGTCAAAACATTCTAGTAGGTAGGTATTTTAAAAATAGCCTGCTGATCCTATCTCAAAACAGATGCTATAGAATGTGGTTTAAAAATCCTTCTAGGAGTTGGTGTTATGGTTCATTGTGTTAAGCTATCACCTAGAATGCTAGAATTCCGTAAGAGTCCCAGTTTGAGTCCTGCTTCACTTTTTATCTAGCTCCTTGCTAATGTGATTGGGAAGCAGTGAAAGATGGCCCTATTCCCTGGGTCTTTGCCACCCACATGGGAGACACAGATGGAGTTCTTGGTGCTTGGCTTCAGGCTGGCCCAGCCCTGGCCATCACATCCATTTGGGGAATGAATCAATGGATTGAGGATCTCTCCCTGTCTCTTTCTCTCTATATATAACTCTTTCATATAGTTAATATATAAATCTTTAAATTTCCTAACTGACTCTGCCAGTGCCAGGAGCTGGACTGGAAATGGAGTAGCCAGGACAGGAGTTGGTATCAGATGCCAGCATTGCAGGCAGATGCTTAGCCTACTGTGCTAACACACAAGCCCCAATTACTTGGGTTTGATTTCTCACTCTAGATTTCTGCTAGTGTAGACACTGGTAGGCAGCAGAGATGGTTCAAGTAGTTGGGTTCCTGCCTCCCTGCCCTTATGGGAGGCCCAGATTGAGTTTCTCACTCCTGGCTTTGGCCTTGGTCCCAACCCAGCCCTGGCTGTTGCAGACATTTGGGGAGCAGACCAGCAAATGGGAGTGTTTGTGCTCACTCTCAAATGAATTAATAAAAAGTAAAGTAAAAGAAGACAGTATATAGCATGGGGTTTAAAAGCAGGGACTCATCTGGGAACTTATCCTGTATCTCTTTTCACAAGCTGGGTCCCAGGCAGGACTAAGTTGCTAGATTGCTGACATAATTTCCTTCTCTGCAGAATTACAAGGACGATTCCACCCCGCTCCTGCCTTCATCGGAGTTTTTGAAGTCTAACAAAAATGAGCTTTTCAAAGACCTCAGAACCCTGACTAGTCATGGAATATTGTTTTTAATTCCATATTTATAGATTTTTAAAAAACGTTGAAGGAAGTATTTAAATTCACGTGTCATTTTTGCAAATGTAGACAGGAATAAAGGAACTACTTCGTGGTACCTTTTTGCATAGTGCAGATGAAATATTTGATCTTCAGTCTTGAAGACTATAAAGAGGTTCCTTTCCTGGTAATTTCAGGAATCAATTGCTCTTGATCAGTTTGCTGCTATGTGGTAGACAAGGCATTGCCTCACCCAGCTTCAGTTTCTCCCACAATAAGGTGGACATCTAATTCCTTATTTACCTTCTAAGAATACTTGCTAGAACCACTCCAAGCCCAGTGAGCAACTTTAGGGTCATCAGTTAGATGTCAGTAAAGCATTTAAGCTTGGTGTTGTCTATTGGATTACTGGAAATTCCATCTGATACTTCTATTTATTTGCCAGGGTTGGAGATACCTTGCAGCCTTCCTTTCTACCTTTTTTCTGCTTTTTCTTGTTCTTAATATTCATTTCACTCTCCTCTCAACTTTATTAAATTGCCATGATTTCAGCATTCTCTCAGCTTTATACATGAGTTTTCTGTAACAACTCAACAAGAAGTCAGGCACCTTTGCAGTAATGATCCAGTTGGCTCCAAGTTCCTTGGTCTGTACAGAAAATGAAGTCCTTTCCCACCAATAAGTAGCCAGGGTCACAGGTGTAGCTGACTATCATTCCAGGGAGAAAAGGGGCTTCATATCTTCCACTGTGGCGCCCACCTTGGATCTTCGGTGGAGCTGGGCATGCTAGAAATGAGTTCCCACACAAATGCAAGAAGAGATATTAAGCAGATATATGTATATGCCAACACACCAATTGACACTGTCTCTGGCTGTCGGGGTACATGAGCAATTCAAATGGTACTCACTGTTAGCTGATCAATGAAATACTGATTCTTTGCATCCAGAGCTCTGAGGACTTAATACAGTGCTCTGTAATTTCAGCCTGTAAACTCTTTCAGACAGGAAGACATCTGCAACCTAACAACTCAATGCTGGTCTGTCCATCTTGGTGGATAGAACTCAAGTGGGCAGTCACAGCCACAAATGAGCCAGAAGCTGTCACTGGAGGCCAGGTTAGTTTGTTCAATGAATGAGCTATCTTTGCTGAAAGCACAACCTTAACCTCCAGTTCTCTGGAACATCCTGTGTTGATATTGGAGAGGTGAAAGGCCAACCACAAGTAGTCAGTGGCTTGGCCAAGATACTTTAAAATAACAAACCAGTATAAGTGCCTACACTTTAGTTTCTTTACATTGCTTTTACATTACTTTACATTACATCAATTATTAGGCCATCAATATGTACCATTTTTTTTCTAGTAAGAGAATTTTTTTGTCACTTATTTTCAGTGTTTAAAAATATAATCTGTAAAATCTGAACCCCTCCAATTTTCTACATCTTTCCAATTTCTGCCTTATCATCCCATACTCCTCACCCCACAGGAAGAGCCATTGGAGTACTTGGTTTGCCACTTGGGACCCAGATGGCACTTCTAGACCTCTTTGTCATTTACCTGGGAGACAGTTGTGTTCTGTGAGGTAATGCCACCATGTTCATAAACAAAGATGATTGTTACCATTAAAATCTGGGCATTCTTGCTTGGATATTTAGGATATGTGAATGTGGACACTGACCAGCAGACACATGAAGTTCACAGCGAGGGGCAGGACTGCTCCAAATCCCATTTCCTTGACTGTCACTCATGCAGTGGATGGTGCTATTCCCAATGAGTTTGAAGGTTGTCCATCCATTGGGGTAGGAGTCACATGTGTAAGATATTTCTTTTCCATAGGGAATATCTCCCAGTGGAGGTCCTGTGTGTTTCCCATTAAGGATAGCTGGAGGATTTGCACAAAAGATTTCTAGGAAGAAGACAAAAGCATACAAGTCAAGATAACTATACAATAATGGTACTCTGAGATAGTGTTTTAGAAAGAATATAATTAAGATGGATAAGAATTTTAATCTGCAAGGTTTTTGCTGAGCAGGAACTAACAGAGGTGAGATTTAAGTTACAGTGAATTTGCAGTGCCCTTGGATCGTCCAGATGGCTAAGGTTTTAATGGATTTGGAAAGCAACTTTCCTTCTAACAATTATTTTATTATCTGTTTACACCTGGCATACATTAAGAGTTTCAGGTTACAAGACTAACCAGATTTTGACTCTGAGGGTATAAGTTCCAGGGAAACCTCTATGAAGTTTGCTAAACATGCACTGTCATCTTCAGAACAGAAGAGTGTCCCTTGGTGACTTGAAGCAGTTATCATCAGTGATAATACTAGGTATTCAATTGTGTCACCAGAAGTTATGGGTACCTTTTGAGCTCTTTATACTCAGATTAAATAACTTCAAAGAGCTTTTTGGTCTTATCTCTTTGTCCTAAGGAGAAGAAAGTTGTTATTTCTTCCTGCTTTGAATATATCTAATATATCTGTTTAGAGTAATTCTTGAAACAATTCAGTGCTTCTAGTCTGTTGTGAATATAGGGATAGATTCCAATGTTGATCAGAATTAGGTATATAATTAGGCATATTAGGTATTAGGCATGGTAGCCTAGAAACTAAAGTCCTTGCTTTGAACGCACCGGAATCCCATGTGGATGCCGGTTCTAATCCCGGCAACCCTGCTTCCCATCTAGCTCCCTGCTTGTGGCCTGGGAAAGCAGTCGAGGATGGCCCAAAGCCTTGGGACTTTGCACCCACGTGGGAGACCTGGAAGAGGTTCCTGGCTCCTGGCTTTGGATTGGCTCAGCTTTGGCCATTGTGGCCGCTTAGGGAATGAATCAGTAAACAGAATATCTTCCTCTCTGTCTCTCCTCCTCTCTGTATATCTGACTTTGCAATAAAATAAATAAATCTTTAAAAAATAATTATGTATATACATTCTGTATCCATCAAATTATGTATATAAACAAAATAAGGGTGTTAATATATCAAGAAATGGCTGATTTTTTCCCATATCTTAATTGTATCTATGTTTATCTGAAGCCTAATTATATTTTTATTTTAAGCTTTACAAGTCTCTGGAAAGTTGAGTTTGTTGGGTACCTGAATTTCCCTTGTATTGGATATTCATATAGAATTTTACCATAATATTTACTATCCAAATAGATTTTACCAAGATATTTTAACAAAAAATTAAAATAAACACCATTTACTCATAAAGAAAAATGAACTTTTTGAAATGTTTTATTGGAGTGGGACACCTGCAGTTCACGTTAGAGTGCCTGAGTTCAAGGGCCTCTTAATTGCTCATTTCAGCTTGCAGCTAATGCAGATCCTGGAGGGCAGTGAGCCAAGGCTCAATGGGGGTCTCTGCCACAAGTGTGGAAAACCTGACTTAACTTAGCAGCTTTTGACTTCAGTTTGGCTCAGCTTCAACCATTGTGGATGTTTGGGGGTGTGAACCATAGGCTAGACATACATTCATATCATCACTCTCTTTCTCTCAAATAACTAATATCAAGATTATTAAAAATAAGTCTCACCTTGCGTAGTAAACAGAGCAGCAAAATCAAATGTCTTGGCATATAAAATGTGTACTTTATCAAATACTGAGCTCTTAGCGTGTTTTATTTCAGCAGAGATATGTAAATTTAGGGTATCTCATTTTAAACACTAACTCACCAGTCCAACTCACTGTACTATGCTAATTTGTCACACAATTATTATGACATATTATAGCATAGTATAATCAACTTTCTCAAAATTGGTTTATGTATTGGTTTACATAAAACAAACCCCATGAAAGCAGAGCCAAACCTTTCCTATTTCTCTGACTCTTTCCACGCCCTATCATGTTGGAAGCCATTATCAGCAAATTTCTCAGGCTAAACAACAGATAGTGTAAACATGTGAAGGGGTAAACGGAGATAAAAATTTAAGAGAAATTACTTTGTGGTGACAAAACTAAAAGAAAAAAAAAATAAGGAAAACTTGGTATACCTTTATGTCATCTTTTTCTTCCCAGAAAATTAAACTAGTGATGGGAACATGATTTATTAGACCTTTAAGACTTTCTTTGAAATTTTTTGAATAATGAAATTATTTTTTATAAGCAACTGAGTTAAAGACCTAGACAACAGGCAATTCCATGAAGAAAAACACACTGAAAACAAACAAACAAACAAACAAACAAACAAGAGGAATCCAGGTTACATAAACTTTCTTGCTACTCACGTTCACATACAGGAACACTGCTGTTCCAAAGGTATTTCATTCCAACCATGACACAGTGACTGGCAGAGCTGCCCCTTAATCGGAACCTAAAGGAAGAGGAGCAACAGCAAATGTTTGAGCAGCTCCTGCTTCTCCCTTCAGTTCCTGCATGACCTGCTCAGCTTCCTCACATCTGCCTGAAAACCTATGCTTCTTACGTTTAGGCCCAGCTGAAACTCTCAGGTTAGTAGATAGAGACTATTCAGAAGAATCATAGTATCCTATAAATAATAAAGCAATTAATGCTGGTGTGCCTCATTGTCAGACTTCCTAAGCCACTGTCATCTACAGAGGGACCAAACACAGGCTTCTCTATGCCTACATGACATCCTCTTGTGAGGGTATCTGTTACCAAAGGACTTAGTCTCAAGAATTGACCATGAGGAAGAACAGCTCTTGATTTTGGTGAACAAGGCAGAAAGCGCTTGCTATTGCTGCCACCCTTGTAAAGGCATCAGGGGAATGCTCAAAACAACACACTGAACCAATATAGCCGTATTCTAGGGGAAAAAGAAGGGCAAGAGAGAGTGTTTGCCATCCTGAATTGCTCAGCTTAGCACTGTGTCCTATCCTCCTCCTGAAATTGTCCTGAATAAAAAATCATTGAGTGTTAGACCAAAGATTTCTTGGAAATTATTAAAAATAATTGCATGAGTGATCAATCCTTTTGTGCCTCCTATAGACAGGTAATGCAAATTTTCAAGAAGAGCAGATTGGCATAAAGGACTAATAATACTCTCTGAAACAGTAATATTAATCATTATCATGACATGCAGATACATCATTGAATTCAATGTACTTATCTATGTACTATTACAATTCCACTATTTGTTGTTGTTTTTAAATTACTTATTCAACTGAAAGGAAGAGTGCTGAGGAAGAGACATGCCATCTGCTAGTTCATTCCCCAAAGGCCCATAATGACTGGACCAGCCAAAAGCCAGGACCTCCATCCAGTTCTTCTGTGTGGGTACCAGAAAGTCAAACTTGGGCCATCACCTGCTGCCTCCCAGACACATTAACAGGGAGTTGTTTTGGAAGTGCAGAGTAGCTAGGACTAGAACCAGACACTCTGATATGGGATCCAAGTATCCCAAATGATGCTTTAATTGTTAGACCATAATATCACACCTGTTGACAGGTTTTAGTGTCCTGAAAAAAAGCCTTCCATGGTTTTCCAGTGGGCAAATAATTTTGTGTTATTCATCATAACTTTTTTCCTAGCAAATCTTCCATAAACTTTTAAGGCTTCTAACTAACAATTTACTTCAAGCTCCAACTTCCTATGTACTTGATACTAAGTTATGTGTGCCATTTTCTCCATATCTCCTGAGACTGGTGCCATAGAGTCTCCATCTATACTTCAGAATCAGTCTTCCACAAGCTAATATCCATGGATACTTGTTTTCTACCATGGAATTGGCCTCCTTTCTGGACCAGTCAGTGTCTGGACACTCAGTGTCTGTCCTGTTCTACGGGTCTCACTCACCCTTCATCACAAATGAAGGTCACTTGTGCCCCAAGCTGGAGATTTAGTGGAACAAACACATGGCCATTGGGGAGTTGGTCCAGGAAGTCATCACATGATGTCACTAGGAGGAAGCAAAGGCAGGAGATAAGACTGCAATGTAAGAGCAAAGAGATTGATTTGGAAACAAGTGGGGGCACCTGCCCATGTCAGGGCTGCAGGGCTCTGATCTCTCTGGGGTACGCAAGAAAATGTGCCCTCCAAGATGGTGTCTATGCTCACAGCTGAAGATCACTTTCTGCCCAGTGAAAAAGGCAACATTGTTGCTTAGTGTGCCCTCACTATGTAAGATTTCTGAAGAAGGCTGACAACCAGTAAAGGACAGATCCAAAGTGTTTTTAAAATTATGTGCTGTGCCCTAGACCTGACAGTAGTTATGGCTTAAAAATCATAATTGCAGAGTACGCTAGTAGCTGTTGGAGAAAAATATCTAGTAGTTTGGCATCCAAGTTTTACTGACAAGGAAGCTAAGGATGCAGAGCAGTCTTTGTAACAAGAAAATGTATTGCTTAGAGAATCTTTTGATTCACATTTTGGCTGTTTCCAAACACAACCCAATTGACATGTACTCAGGGCACCAGCATGCAACTGAGCTTTTAACTGAACTATGTATTATTGAAGCAAAATGAAACAAAATGCAGAGCTATTTGTTGGGATTTGAGGAAAGTATTCCTTCCTTTCTTCCTTTCTTTCTTCTTTTGGCATTAAATTGGAGGAGCTGGAACAGAATGATTGAAATACAAGGCCTTTCAATCTGATGTTATCATTTTGGTCACCCAGACTCAGAGATCAGAATAGTTGCTTTCTCATATATGTGTATTAAACAAGATACATAAAATGTGTGTAATAGACATAGAACATGCCTATATTACTCTTTGATTATCATCACATATAATAAATAGGGCTGGTATTATATTTATTCTTATTTTAATTCCCTAGCTCTTGTACACACACACACACACACACACACACACACACACACACACACACACACGTTGCTTCGCTAATTTCAACCCCTAGTATTTATGCTTTCCGGTCTCAGTCAGTCACACTCACCCCTGGAGCAGCGAGGCAGCTCAGGTCCCCATCTGTTGTTGGTGCGGCACTGCACGGTATCAGAGCCTTTCATGACAAAGCCAGGCTGACATGTAAATCTCACAATCTCGTTGAGCAAAAATAAACTCCTATTTCCTGTGACTCTGATTCCATTTTCAATGTGTGGAGCCGTGCACTTATTAGTAGCAATACATTGAGGAGGAGGGCTGCTCCAGATACCAAGGTTACCATCTCTGCTGGTACAATGTATTGATGGTTCTCCCATGAGGTCAAACACATTTTCTCCACCTGGCCCAGTGTGACACTGGTAAGTCACCACCACCCCATAGGGAAAAAATGTTTGACTGTTGCTGTAGAATGTTCCATTGGATATGGCTGAAGGCGGCTCACAAGATATAACTAGGAGAAAGGGAAGGTATAGTAAACAACAGCTTATTTATTTCTTTTTCACTATAAATTACTTTACTGTGGATTTAAGTAGCAAATAACAAAGAATCAATGAGTTCCTAAACCAAGACTAATTTTAACATGTTGTTTTCTTCTAACACTTGGTAATAATCAGACACTTATTTTACATAGTTGTGTTTGTGTGTGATGGGGATTCTGCTCATAACAAGTAATCCATGAGAAAATCCCTTGTATTATTACAGTTTACATATTTAAGTGGATAATATGTGTGATTAAAAAGACAATTTATTTGTTTTTACCGGAAAGGTAGAATTATATAGAGAGAAGTAGAGACACAGAGAGAGCTGACTCTCCAAATGGCTGCAGCATCCAGAGCTGTGTTGGTCATAAGCTGGGAGTTATGAGTTTCTTCCAGTCTTCTATGTGGGTGTGAGGCTGAAGCACTTGGGCCATTGCTTGCTGCCTTCACAGGTAATAAGCAGGAAGCAGCCACGACTCCAACTGGCACTGATAGAGGGTGGCAGCAGTGCAGGTTGCTATACCATGTGCTGGATCCATCTGTGAGATTTTGTCATAGATTTTTAAAGTTTTTTTTTAACCTGCTACATTATTTTTATTGATTATTTTGGTTATTTTATATATTTATTTACCTTTATTTATTTGAAAAGTAGAAAAATAGAGGGAAAAATAGAGCCATTTGCTGGCTCATTGCCCAACTGTAACAACCAGGACTGAGCAAGGCTGAAGGTAGGAGCCTGTAACTCCACCTGTTCTCACAGTGGTGGCAGGTACTCAGATACTGGAGAATCACCTGCTGCCTCCCAGGATGCATGTTATCAGCAAGTTGGATGGAAACAGAGTATTTGGGACTCAAACAAGGCTCTATGAAATGAGAGGCAGGTATCCCAAATGTCAACTAAACCTGCTGTTGTGCGATGTCCACCCTTTTTTTGTTGGTTATTAAATAACATCTTTGCAAGTTAAATACACCATCTTTGGCATTGCTTATCAAGAAAAGAGAAAAGGAACTATAAAAGATAAAGGATGAGATAGAAATAATCACAGAATCAGGGAAAATTAGATGAACATTGTGTGTTGTCTGAATATAATTTACCCCTCTCCTGACACATGTGTTATTTTAATCCTGAAGATCATACATTAATAGTGTTAAGAGAATGGAAAATTAATCCGAGGGTGGTGTTTAAGGTAGAGCTCCCATGGCTGAATCCTGGGAGACAGCAACACACAAACAGACAACTAAACATATGCATGTTCTCTTTCCCTTGCCATGTGATGCTGTGTATGATTCTAGGACTCTGCCAACCCATCACCTTAAAAGTAACACAGGCAAGAGAGGTCCTTGTGCAACACTCTGATCCACACTGTCTGGATTTTCAGTTTCCAAAACTATAAGCTAAATAAACCTCTTTTCTTTATAATTTAACCTACCTCAGGCATTTCATTGTAGTAGTGAGAACCTAACTAATCTACTAGGTTCAATCACAAGACAGTGTTGAAATATGGGTATAAGTGTCTGTGTACATGCATATGCATGATCATCAACAATGACTTCAAGTGAAATAGTAGTGGAATAACTTTCACAGGAGAAACCCCTAAAAAGATCCAGAAAGAAAAATTACAGTATACTGATAATTTATTTAATTGAATTTTTGAATGATTTAAAATTCTTGCCATGTATAGGAATCACATTTTATAATTTCTCATTCATGTCTTTGAATCTTTAAAACTCAATGTTATTTTTTTTTGGTGAATGTGGTAAAACTATTCTGTGAGAAATATAGATAAAATACAAAGTATGTAAAATAAAAAAAAGAAAATGATAATGGGCAAAGAAACTGGTTTTTTTAAAACAATTTAATGTGCACTGTTTCTGATATATATATGGGTACATGTAAAATTATATAAATATGTGTTTTTCTATAATATACTTGCTGACTGAATGATAGGCAGGTAGACATATAGACATACTATCGGTTTCCACTTAGGTGAGGCATCTCAATATTTAATTTCTCATACTTCTAAGCTTTTTCAAAAACTTGCAGCCACTTTATATAGCCACTTTATATAAGACTCATTGCTCCTATTACCTATTTTCAAACTGTGCTCAACATTTGGGCCAAAAGTAGAGAAATTTCCCATAGTTATATTCTTTCAGTAAATTCTGAGAATTGGAGTTGTCAGGTGAAAGGGTATTTGCCTCTATACTTTTGTGTCTAGTGGTCATTAGCCTTCCAAAGATTTTTTTTTCTCATCACCTCTGTGATGGTGATTTCTTCACAGCCTTAACACTCTCAATTTGCAATTAGGCATTCCTCTATGTTCATTAAAGTTTTGGAGGTTCATGTGGGAAAGTGTTTTGGAGTATCATGTGGGAAAGATGGAGGGTCAATTAATCAAGAATAAACGAAGGAAGACCAGACCTCAAAAGGGCTAAAGCATTGGGGGAACATGCTAGGAATTTTAAGATATCTTCATTATTTGGAATTAGAATATTAAGGAAGGGAGTAGCTCATTTCTTGGAATTGTGAAACACACATGTAATTTTGTATAGCATCTTTAAGTTTTACTCAGAAAGGAGAGTGACTCTTAACGCACTGGAGCGTGCCGGTGATCAAAGTAGGAAAGTAGAACTGTTTTACCTGAGTTCAAGTCCAGTTTCAGATCATTTGGCTTTGAGGATTTAAGAAAAAACAAACAAATAAGCAAACAAACAAATAAAAAACAGCCAACAGAACCCTAGATCACAGGGCTCCTCTTTCCAAGTAGCTGAATAAGTGCTTTGTGAAAGACTAACTCCATGAGCAAGCATGACCAAGCAGAAGGATTTAGTGGGAAGAATGTTTCAACTCACCCTCACAGACAGGAGCCTCCTTATCCCATTTCACATTACTGCCTGACAGGAGACAAGCAGCTGATGGGGAACCAACGAGGCGATACCTACAGCAAAGCATGGAAAATGATTTGCTCCAACCATATTCAGCACTTAAGTCACCATTCAGAAAAGGGTAAGAAGTGCATATCACAAATTAGAGGAGAGATTGCAACATGGCAGGCTTCAGAAGGAACTCCAATCTCTACCTGCAAATTAGCCCTATGTTTCTAAAGACAAGCTTCAATTTTTAAAAAAAGATTTATTTATTTATTGGAAAGTCAGATATACAGAGAGGAGGAGAGACAGAGAGGAAGATCTTCAGTCTGCTGACTCACTCCCCAAGTGGCCGCAATGGCCAGAGCTGTGCCAATCTGAAGCCAGAAGCCTGGAGCTTTATCCTAATCTCCTGTGCCAGTGCAGGGTCCAAGGCTTTGGGCTGTCCATGACTTCCTTCCCAGGCCATAAACAGGGAGCTGGATGGGAAGTAGAGCTGCTGGGATCAGAACTGGCACCCATATGAGATCCTGGCGCATTGAAGGTGAGGACTTTTAGCAGCTAGGCTACCGGGCCTAGCCCACAAACTTCAATTTTTACCTCCCCAACCCATCTTTATTCATAGTCCCTCACAGCTGAAGGAGGCACTTACCTTATTCATCACCAGATATTTTGGTTTTGGTTCGTGTGTGTGTGAAATTTTTTCCAGATGTAATTCCATCTAGGAATTGACAAGCTCCTTGATGAGCAACGAACGTATCTCAGGGAAACACCGAAGACTCTGTAGCATTGTGTCTAGGGACTCACACTTGAGGTACTCAGCAGCACCATTTGGGGGAAACAAGGAATCATGTTTTATCCCCCCAAAAAGAGAGCCAGAGGGAACACTTATGAAACTTTCACATTTTATGTGTAAATGTGGGGATAGTCATGTACATTTCTGTAAAGCTATAACAGAATAGCCATGAAGTGTGGAATGCTTCCTTGTCATTTACTCTTTAGTTCATCTGTAATGTTCCTATGAGAAATATCATAGTAATGCTAAGTAATAGCTGAACAGGCACAGTGCAGTGCCTTGTAACAACAAGGTGGTTACTGAACAGTGAAACACTTCCATTCTTGGTTATTTAAAACGTGTGACCACAGCAGTAACCGTAAGCAGCAGACCACTGGTGTCACCTGCACTATCACTTTTCCCCTTTTATTAGTAATGAAGGGCTCTATTTTTCACCAGCTGTTAGCTACCTGCAATAAAGGCCTCTTTTCTTACCTTCCCTTATAGCCAGGTATATACAGGTGCACACATAATTAAATATGTATAAATAAAATACAATTTAAAAATTTTAATATTATTTTATGATATAGTTCCATAGGCTCTGGGATTTCCCTTCCCCTTCCTCTAAATCTCCATCCTTTGACCAATTTCCCTTGTATTATTGCAATAGTATAGTCTTTCATAAATAGTCATAAGTCCATCATTCTGCTATTATAGGTATCCTGATATTACGGGCATGGACAATGGCAGAGAGTCCAGCATCTTATTGTTAAGATGTACTTAACAGTTTCGTTGGAAGTCTATCTTTGATCTGGATGTAGAGATGTATACTGCATTGTATCCTCACATTTGAATGTGATAGTCTGTGTTACACAGTTACTGTACATCCCCTTAAATGAAAAGCCACAGAACAAAAACAGCAACAGAAAGAAAAATAGAAAATTCACAACATCATGAAGTTAAATAACATGCTACTGAATGACCAATGTGTCACTGAAGACATGGAAAAGAAAATCAAAAGCCTTCTTGAATAAAATAATGCTACTGTATGACCTCAGTGTCAATTAGGAAATTAATAATAAACAGAAGCTTCAGAATGGTGCCCATGCATGTACAGCCAACTAATCCTGACAAGAAAACTGAAAATTATCCAGGGAAAAAGCCCAGTATCTTCAACAAATGCTTTTGGGACAATTGGATGGCAGTATGAATAGGTAAAAAGCAAGACCACCCCCTATCACACACACACACCTGTTACCTTGTATAAAAATTAGCTCTAAATGGACAAAGGGCCCAAATTTGCATCTAGAAACCATCAAACTTTTAGAGGAAAACAAAGATAGGATTGCATATTCTCTGTGCCACTTATTCTTTACAAAAAAGAAGAAAATAAAATATGAGGGTATTTCAAAATGTTCCTGGAAAATGGAATTAAAAGTTTAATTCTGAAATCCATACATAATCTTTTCATGCTGTGCATTTCTATAAATTTTTGGAGGTAGTCATATTTTAGCAGTACTTCCATTATGTAGTAAGTTATGGTATCAGCTCCTGTTCCCTTTTGTTATGATTTCAGGACAGATGAAAATAGATACATTCTCTTCATGCAATGCAATAAATCTAGAAATTGATAAAAAGATAAATTAAGAAACCAAAGTTGTAGGGGAGAATCAAGATGGCGGACTAGGGTAAGGACACATTTAAACAGAGAAATATTAGCCAGTGTGAACAACAGAGGGCACTATCCAGGAAACAGGAGAGGACAGAACAACAGCAGAGGGGTACCTGGAGACTGAGAAACACAGGAAAGCAGTGGACACGGTGGCAAGGTGTTGAGTGACTGATATCCCAGCAGCATTCAACCAATGGCTATCTGAACACCACCAGCAACAAGGTGGGAAGGAACAGCTCCTGGGAGCTCAGGTGGTGAACTCAAGAAACTGCCTGTCCTGCTGGTCTGTTTGATTTGACCAGAAGCAGAGACAGAGCAGCAGATCCCAGACAAGCAGTGTGGGAACAGGGTTGATTTCACATCCCAGTCCGCACCCTAGAGTCGTATCATGTGCCATTTTTTTAAGGAAGCAAGGGCTATGGACAGTACTGCGCATGCACTAGGCTGGGAGTGAACTCATTTCTGGCTCAGTGAACTGCAACGTGACATCCAACAGGTTCCACCAAGATAGGTCTAGATAGCCCTCAGACCTGATGGCCAGCAGATCAAGAACTCTAGTAGTGGCAGATCAGGCACCATTTCTTATAGTGTGGCAAAGAATTTAAGACTGCAGGGACAATAGTGAGCAGCACATGCACTGAGCTCAGCGAGAACTCAATGAACTCAGTGCATTTCATTGGTCGCACAGGGAAAATAATACCAACTATGGCATCATATGGGTTAAAATAGGCCCGTGTGGCCCTCAGACCTAATGGCCAACTGGTTCCAGCAAGATCAGCACCACCAACAACCTACCTACATAGGAGACCTGGTGTCTCCCTAATCCTGGGACTTGCTGTAACCAGAAGTGGGAGAAAAGTTGTACAGACAATGGTGCAGCCTTAGCATGGTATCACAGGAGATTGAGACTGGTGAGCCAGGAGCCCTGGCTGCGGAGACCATGGTGGAAATCTGACATAAGAACCCAGACCTGGAATTTGCTGGAGGGAGTGGCACAAGTGATTGCAAACAAATAGCAATGTACCAACTATAATAACTAAAATTGAACTGTAGACCTGTGGGTGACAGAGCTTAGAAACCTGCCCCCAAGGAGACGGCTCTGCTAACCAGAAGTAGAATGACCAAGAGCAAAAGAAGAGACAGAGGCACAGTGAATATTACTGAAGACTCCCCTACAAAGGAGCAAAGCCCTTTGCCAACCTCAGAGTTAACTGAGGAAGACATCAAGAAGACGGGGGGATACAGAATTCAAAACACTTGTTATAAAACTTCTTAACAACGAGAAGCATGTAAAGCAGGCATTCAAGGATTTTAAGGAATATGTCACACTGGAAATAAATCAAATGCAAGCTGCTGTTAAGAAATGAAGCAAACTGAAAGTACAGTGGAGAGTCTCCAAAATAAAATGAATGAGGCAGAAGAAAAAATCTCAAAATTAGAAGATATTTCCTGTTACCGGGGGAAACAAACAAAAAGCTGGAAGCAGAGCTGGATCAGGCTAAAAAAAAAAAAGTATTCAAGAATAGAAAGACACCATTAAAAGGCAAAATATAAGAGTTATGGGAGTCACAGAAGGTGCAGAAAGAGAAGCTGGGTTTACAAATGTATTCAATGAAATAATAAGGGAAAGTTTCCCTAATGTAGAGAAAGAATTGGGAAACAAGATCCAGGAGGGGCACAGAACTCTCAACAGGCTTGACCAAAAGGGACAGTCACCTTTACACATGATGATCAAGTTCTCTTCAATTGGACATAAGGAAAAGATCCTTAAATGTGCACGTGAAAAAAATCAACTGACATATAAAGAAATGCCAATTAAACTCACAGGAGACCTCTCACAGGAAACTCTACAGGCCAGAAGAGAATAGAGCAACACATTCCAGATTCTAAAAGTAAAGAAATCAAAGCTGTGGAAAGGAGAGTACCTTGGATTTTGATCAGAGACAAAAATCAAACAGCCATTGCAGATAACCTGTAGAATAACAACAGCTAATGATTTATTGAGCTCACCCTTCTAACTAAATGATTTACATGAATTAACTACTAGTCTTTAAAATGACCCTTTGAAGTAGATATTATGCATGACCCTCATTTTATGGAAGAAAAAATGGAGCCAGATTAACTCACTGGCCAAAATCCAGGTGGCAGAGGCTGGGGTTAGAATTCTGATACTGCCAGCCTGCCTCAGCAGCTGGTAGGATCCACCTTGTATTACTCAGCTGCTGCATTATGAATGCTAATGGAAATGGGACTCAGGAAAGCTGCTGCTCACTCCTCATGTATTTTGTCACTCTTATCCCTCTTTCAGATAAGCCCATTTAAACACACAAATGTGTCATTGTTTTTCAAAATTGAAAGACATTCCATATATTCCTTAGGAAATTGTTTTTTTCTAAAATAACATTATATCATAGACATCCATTCAGGTCACAAAAACAGTGATCTGAATAAATCTTTCAATTGCTGCAAAATATTTGTTACAGATTATCTCACAATTTATTCAATCAACTACTAATAGAAGAATGTCAGGATTGTTTGCTCCTTTTCAGATATTTGTGCCTTTATTTTCTGTGAGTGATGAGAGTACTATCCCAAAGACTATAGTAATTCACATCCCATAAGCCATGGTGACAGGGCTCCCATTCCTGTTTATATCACATTGTTGCTTTTAAAATTTACTGATGTGACCATGAAAACTCAAGATATTGTTGCTTTAATTTTAATTTCTCCAAATCATCAAGAGATTCAGTATTTTTGCTTAAATATTTTTAGTAGACATTTTTATTATTCCTTTTTGTGAATTTTCTGTGCATATTTTTTGCTCATTTACATATTATGTTATCCATTAATGATCAAATGTTGTGTGTTTTTAATCTTCTCTCTTGACATATGGCATACTCTTATTGTAGAGCAGGTAACAATATGATAATAAATAAAATCTTTTAACCTATTTGATACTTTTTGAATTAAGTACCTTTCTTACATTGAGAGCCCTGCTTTCTTTTTCTTACCTGTTGTCTGCATCATATACTTTAAAAGTTTTATATTTTTATTGGTACAAGAGAGATATCAATTAAAATTTTTATTTAAACTGCTTTTGTATGTTTTTTATTTAAGAAAAATTGAGAGGCAGAGAGAGACAGACAGTGAGTGACAGCAACCTAGTGCTGCCATTTTCTGATTCACTTCCAATTCTTGTAGTCACAGGGTAAGGAACTGGGATATCAGGAACTGGAACTCAACTCAAGTTTCCCAGGTGGGTGGCAGGGATCCAATTGCTTTTTCTATCACCTACTTCCTGCTAGAGTCTCAAACTGCTTTTAAGTGGGCAGCTTAGTGTCATCACAATGTCATGCAACCATCTTCACTATCTATTTCCAAAAGTTTCCACAATCCCAAACAGAAATTGGCTGCACTGAACAATGAACTATCTACTTTCTGCATTCCTCTGGATTCTGTTCTTCAATCCACTTTCTATTCCAATAAATGTGCTCATTCTAGGTACCTCATACAAGTAGTATTGCATAATATTTTTTCCTTTTGTATCTGGCTTATTCTATTTAGCATAATGTTTTCAAAATTACCTGTCTTGTACTGGGTACCTTTGTATGACTGGGTAATACATTTAAATATATATACCTATACCTGCATTCATCTGTTAGGGACTTGAGTTGCTTCCACTTAGGCTATTCTAAATAATGCAATGGTTATTGGTGTTTGAATATCTGAATTCCAATTTTTCACGAAAAGTTTAGAGGTTAGCATGGTATCTGGGACTTATATTCAAGCGATAGTGTTCCAAACTCACCCTTCATTACAAGAATAGTTGACAATGGATCCAAATTTGGTATCTGTGTTTATATGTACCATTCCATTAAAGGGTGTTGGAGGAGTTCCACATGATTTTCCTAGGGGAAAGAAACAGAATTGGGAACAAATTATAGGTTCCAATTTACCTTTGATTATAAGGTTCAAACTAGACTTCACACTGAACAGTCTAAATTATTCTAATTGTTCCAAAGAATCAACCATCCTGAGAAAACTCATCATTGTACTTCAGAATGCAGCAGCTACAGAGCACCACTTACAAAGGGCTGCCATGCATCCCCCAGTAGGGTAAATATGACTTGAGAGTTGTACTCTCATCTTACCAGCCTCAAATTTCCCTTTGTCCTTTGTTAAACAAGCGTAATTTACTGTGTCCTACATAAAAATTTTCTTTGTTCCTCTATTTAATTTTTTCACGATTTAAGGCATCAAAGTTAATCTTCACTGAATGGAGATTCTCTTTCCAAATCTTTCCATAAGAGCATTTCCCCATGAAATGAATATCTAGTTGAGGCTTAGGAACTTCAATCAAAAGAAGGAGTGATAGGAGTGATCTGCAAGACCACCCTCCCTCGGAGCTCTTTGGAAATTACAGCTGCTTTGCCTCCAAAGTTAGAGCATGTTAATCAGGTCACACAGGTGCTTTTCCAGAGATGAAGTAGTTCTAAGAGCACAATCACTCACGTGTACAGTTGTCCTCTGCACTTGACCAGAGCAAGTTTTCAAGGCAGGTGATAGAGAAGGCATTCCCCCAGTACCCAGGGTGGCATTCATAAGTCAAGAGTGTCCCAACTGGAAATTCAGACTCATCAAGTGGAGGTGTAGCACTGGCAAATGGGAACTGTTCTGGGACTTTACAGTGACCTGAGAACAAACACATAGGAATATCAGCAGGTTGATATTCCTGCTCCACTTACCTCCATTCAGGTTGGTAGGACCACAGAAACAAAGGGACTTAGAATAATGTCAAAATATTTTTCCTCTGTACAAGTTCTCTTAGATGACACTTTCCAATTAGCATTTTTTTTTTTTTAAAATCTGGAAGACCACTTAGCTTTCTGTTCTTTCTGCTCTAATTTCATATGTCAGGCTTCTGTCTGAGTGACTAGATCCACTTAGTCACTTCATCATTTTTCTGTTGGTGTTGATGCACTTGTGTGTAGCAGGAAGTAATTGTCATCTTTTCCATCTGCTCCCCACTCAGGATGCCCACTGCAGGCTGCCTCTCCAGAGCTGAAGGACAGTTACCTTTTGTCATGTGCTGAGTGTTACATGTACCCAGAACATCAGAATGGAGACTTAGAATGATAGCATTTTGAAATATCACTGAGAACTCTATCCTGCTTTCCCATGTGAGTTTCAGGGATCCAGGTATTTGCATTGTTTTCCTTTGCCGTCCCAGGAGAATTAACAGGCAGCTGGATAAGAAGTGAATCAGCTAGGGCTCACACTGGATCTGGAATGCCAGCATTGCCACTGGCAGCTTAACCATCTTTGCTACAACACTAGCATCTGGGAGCCATATGTTTTAGCTAGGGTGTATAGTTTTAACATTTTAACTTGTTACAAAGTTAGGCCCACAAACACACATCCAATTCTTATTCTTAAAAACATGAATAATTGGGACTAGATAGCTGGAACACTTTTAAGGCACAGAAATGGGTACTGTCTGGCCATTAAGGCCATTTGGGAAATGAACCAGCAAATGGAATATTTCTGTGTCTTTCTATTTCTCACTCTATCTCTCTCTCTCTCTGGCTCTCTCTCTCCCTCTCTCTAACTTTGCATTTCAAATAAATAATAAAAAAAAGAAGAAATGGACACTGACCAGCAGACACATGAAGTTCACAGCGAGGAGCAGGACTGCTCCAAATCCCGTTTCCTTGACTGTCACTCGTGCAGCGGATGGTGCTATTCCCAATGAGCTTGAAGGCTGTCCATCTGTCAGGGTGGGAGTCACATGTATAAGATATTTCTTTTCCATAGGGAATATCTCCCAGTGGAGGTCCTGTGTGTTTCCCATTAAGGATAGCTGGAGGATTTGCACAAAAGATTTCTAGGAAGAAGACAAAAGATTAGGTTTCATTACAATTTCAAAATGTTAAGCTGCAATGGTTGTACATTTGTAGGGTGCTGTGATTGTGTTGCCCCTTCAACAATCTGTTTGGGCAGAAAGACAGTTGAAACTGGGAAATAAATGCTGGTCTGTGATGAAATAGAATTAAATGAAATGAAACATAAATCAATATTACAAAAGCCTGAAAGAAGCTTAAGCATCCTGAATTCTTCAGATAGTTGGGATTTCTGGATGGAATTTTAGAGTGCATTCCTTTAAAATAAATGAAACGCTTCTTGCATGTTAAAGTAAAAGTACTAATTAATTGCAAAAGCATTTTTGGAGCACCAAATGAATGTCAAGTACAACTGAAAGCACAAAGTGAGTATTATCTTTCATGTCTTTGATGTTGGTTTATCAGTGATTTAATTTCTTCTTGATAATGCCAGCCTGTGTTCCTTGAGATCCAAATGATTACAATAATGCCATCACAATGAAATTAAATGTTACTCTACACATTTCAAATGCCACCAAGAATGTCATGATTTGCGAGACTAGTCTCATTGAAGAAACACAAATTTATTCCTTTGATTATTTTTTTATTTGGAGACACTCCTTCCCCTTGCTAAGTTGATTTGGATTTGGTAAGAATATACTAAGAGAACTAGAAATAGTTATGGATAAGCAAAGCAAAAGTTTTACTAACATTTACACCAATAAGTGATGATAGGTGTATCTTCAGTTTTGTAACAATGCCCTTCTTTCCTTCATGCTTAATAAGTGTTATAGGAAAGTTAGAAATGTTACATAGTTGATGGGCCCAATGGCATGGCCTAGCAGCTAAAGTCCTCTCCTTGGATGCGCCGGGATGCCATATGGGTGCCGGTTATAATCCCGGCTGCTCCACTTCCCATCCAGCTCCCTGCCTGTGGCCTGGGAAAGCAGTTGAGGGTGGCCCAAAGCTTTGGGCCCCTGCACCCGTGTGGGAGACCCGAAAGAAGTTCCTGGATCCTGGCTTTTGATCGGCATAGCATTGGTCATTGCGCTCACTTGGGGAATGAATCAGTAAACAGAATATCTTCCTCTCTGTCTCTCCTCTCTGTATGTCTGACTTTCCAATAAATAAATAAATATTTAAAAAAATGTTACATAGTTGACTTCCAACTATGAAAGATGAAATTATGAGGTTTCATCTTATAAAACAGTATGAAAAATCCAAATATTTTTATACTTCAACTGTAAAATTTCAAAGTGAAGCATTCATTTAAGCAAAATTCTATCATGAACATGCATTTTTTTAAAACAGCAATGACCAGAGGATAGAACAACATCCTGTTTGCTTTACTGAAGAAAAGATTGGATATGTTGGTAATGTTGTATATTTAATATGCTATTTTACATATCCAGATATAAATATTTTATGTTCGTTAATATTTTATAGGATGACACCAAAACATTTGATGCTCAAGTTTGTTTTCCTTAGAAGCATTCCTCCTAAGGATTCTAACAAAGAGCAATTTCTATCAAAAGTAGACATAAACAGAGGGCAAACATCTATTGTTTCATGGGGAGAAACAAATTAAGAGAAGCAGATGCAGATCTGGACAGGCGCTGTTCTACTCACGTTCACACACTGGTACACTGCTGTTCCAAAGGCTTCTTGTTCCTAGCAAGACACAATGACTGACAGAACTGCCCTTTAAATGGAACCTGAAGAATAAAAGCAGTGATGACAGCACATCATTCCTCTTTTCTCTTTACTGAAGGATCTCAGCTGCCTTCCTGAGAAGGCCTACACATTAACAACTGGACTCGTAAGCAGCTTGGTTGGTTCCTCACAGAAACGAGGTCGGGAACCAGTTCATTTGGGGAAATGCACAGTTTTCAATGAGGCAGAAAGCAAAAACTGGTAAAGCTGAGTATCCAGAGAGACACAACACCTCAGGCAAAACAGAAGGAAACAGTGAAAAACACAGGCAAGCTTTGGAGTTTCAGGAGGTCACCTTTCCTTGAATGTCCTCTCAGAGTACCCACCCCTCAAAGAGGAAATGTGTTGCCATTCTAAATTTATCATTTATGTTCATATTATTTGACAGGATAGAGAATCTTTTGTCTTCTGGCTTTTTACTCAAATGTCTGCAACAACTAAGATGAAGTAAGGAACTAAGTTTGGGTCTCTGACACAGGTGACAGGGAACCAAGTACTGCCTCGCTGAGACTCAAATTCAGGCACATCTAGTAAGGGATATGGTCCTCCCCAAAAGTAGTCTTAACCATTGCCAACCCAGAACTTTATCTTCTGATGCAGGTTAGCTCTTCCTCTTTGAAGATAGTAGGTGAGAGAAAACTCTCTTGCTTTGGGCTGGAAAATCACCAGAAAAGGTATTAGAGACTGTGTGATTTCTGACACCGCATCTGGTATTGTTTCTGAAAAATACCCAAGGCATCCTTGTATTATTGAAGGGCCATGTCCTAGGAAAAAGGAGTTGAGAAGAGACTCTGGAATGAAATAATCCCAGAAGGAGGGGTATATTGTGAGGTCAGTGGTTTCCTGAGTTGTCTCCAGGTGTGCATTGAGTGACCAGGGTTTGATGTCAAAGAATTCTCAAACTAATCTGAGAACAAGTGCTGTATGATCAAGGTGCTATTTGCCTACGAGTGGTCTTGGGACGTAAAACTAAGGATTTTTGCTGTCTTATAGACTGATGATGTCACTTGAAATATGAACATCAGTCTTCATAATCTCTCTAATAAGTATATGTTCGGAATTTCTACCTGCACTTTCATTCCTATTCCAAATTCCACCATGAATCTGTTGTAAGGCTTTGGAAATAATCTTTGTACATACCTTCATCTTTTACTCAAAAGTTTTAATACCCTATTAGAATATTTACTTCTTACTTATCATCCATATGCTTAATGTTTCATGATATAGATTCAAGATTTGTTGTGGTTTTTCTATTCATTTTATTTTAGTATATATTCATGTTCCTTGTTATTCTTACCATACTTTTCTATCATTCCTTTACCTATTAGTCTGTTCTGCTCTTCTTTGCCACTAGATCAGTCCCCTTTGTGGATAAATCGCCATTATCTAGGGTTTCAACATCCAGTACTGAGTTCTAGATCTCTAAGTTGTGCCCCACTCACCCTTCATCACAAACAAAAGACACTGTTGCCCCAAGCTGCAGATTCAGTGGCAGTAACACATGGCCATTAGGGAGTTGGTCCAGGAAATGATCACATGATTTAACTAAAAGGAAAAAGAAAAAGAAAAACAGGAGTAAGACTATGGTGGGAAGGGCAAGGAGATTGATCTGGAAACTAGACAAGGGCCTAACTACCGGCACATGTTGGGGCTGCAGGGTCCCAGTCTCCCTGGGGGTTGCAACGCAGGGCAGCAGTTCCTCTGAGGTCATAGCCAGGCTCACAGCTGTAGATCACTTCCTGCCCAGGGAAAAAAGCATTGTTGTTGTTTGGAGTGCGTGTACCATGCAGGATTTCTGGAGGCAACTGACACACTGTGGAAAGGACAGATCCAGGGCATCTGTTAGTCAAGGGGAAATGTCTTCAGAACCCCCATATTTCCCAGGGTGTTAACAGAATCATACTTATTAGGGTTCAAGCATAACAGAGGGAGTCAAACAACTCTATATCCTCACTTCATGATTTAGAAATTAATCAGGAGGACATGTAACCAAAGGTAGAAAAAGACAAACTAGCTTTCCTCAGCACAGAGTTCCAATTGACTTGAAGTTCTCCAAGCACTGCAGTTCCTTATTTTACCTGTAGCCAGCCAGTAGAGTTGTTAGTACTGGTGCATTCTTCCCCTACATATTTCCTTAGAAAACAATCTAGTTTTTGGTTTCATTGTTTAGATAATGGCAAAGTTGTCTGGGCAGAAATCTAGCCAATGGATTTCCCTTTATCTGTCATTGCACTCCTGTGATGAAGGTACAGCTATATTCCACACTTCTATCTCCTTCTCTGTCATCCCAGCTGTTCTCTCAGTGCTTGCACAAGACTGACATAAACCGATAGAAGAGTTGTAGACTCTCTCCCTATGTCCAACTTCAATATCTACAAATCTACTGCTAAGCCAGCTATTCAGGATCCCCTAAATCAGACAACCCTTGTAATAAAAGAACATAGGACCTGGTATTTGACTCAAATCCATCTTCATTCCTATTCATTTTAATGGGTACGTATGGCACCAGAACCCATTAACAATAAACATACTTGGGTATAAATGTAGCTAGAGATGAATGGAAAGTCTGTTAGACTGAGATTACTTTCATTCTCAATTTCAAATATTTAGATTCTTTTAGTTGTTAAAGTGTATTTATTTTTGTTTGAAAGAGTTACAAAGAAAGGAGAGAGAGAGAGAAAGACAAAGAGATACTTTTCATCCATTGGTTCTCTCCCCAGATAGCCCATCTGGGCCAGACTGAAGCCAGGAGCCCAAACTTACGCTGGGTCTCTCACATGAATGCTGAGGCCCAGTCACTTAGGTGTTGTTTGTTGCTTTCCCAGGCACTGTAGCAGGGAGCTGGTCTGGAAGTAGAGCAGCTGAATCTTGAACTGGCACCCATATAGGATGCCAGCCCTGAAAGCAGTGGCTTTACTAGCTAGACCACAAAACCAGCCCTGACTTCAGCATCTTCTTTTAAAATTATTTACTTTCATTGGAAAGGCAGATTTACAGAGTAGAGGAGAGACACAGAGGATGATCTTCCATCCACTGACTCACTCCCCAAGTGGCCACAATGGCTATAGCTGAGCTGATCCAAAGCCAGGAACCAGGAGATTCCTCCAGGTCTCCCACATAAGTACAGGATCCCAAGGTACTGGGCTATTCTCCATTGCTTTCCCAGGCCACAAGCAGGGGGTTGGATAGGACATGGGACAGCTGGGACATGAACTGGCACCCACATGGGATCCCATTACATGCAAGGTGAGAATTTTAGCCACTAAGCTACTGCACTGGGCCCTAGCTTCAGCATCTTAACGATAAAATGTGGGAGGTGAGAGTTGGGTGTTTGGAATAGCAACTGAAGTCATGACTTCTGACACCCCTGTCACACGTTAGAGTGCTATATTTGAGTCTTACTCCTTCCACTTCATCCAGTTTGTTGCTAATGCTAACCTGGGGAAGAAGCAATTGATGGCTCAAACACTTGTTCATGCCACCCACATGGGAGATCTGTATTGAGTTCCTGTCTTCTGGCTTCCACCTGGCCCAGTCCTAGATGGTGTGGGCATCTAGAGGTTGAACCAACAGATGGAACATTTTTGTCTGTCTCTGTCATTTAACAAAATGAAAATAAATTAGCAAAAACTACTTTATAATGTGGGAGGTACTAATATAATGTCATATCTGTTTCAATGAATCAATTTTTATTTCACCAAGAGATGCTGATAGAAACATGGCAAGAATCAGAGTATTCAAGTTTCGGGGTCTGACATACTTTCCTTTTAAAATCCTGTAGGTGTAATTTAGTGGCATGTGACTTGTAGAATTTGTTAAACCTCTGAGTGATAAAGGTAACTTCACTGTCAAATGCATAAAAGAATAGCACTATTTCGAAGTGTGACAAAGAGTAAGCAAGATGTGTACAAAGGGCCTCTGGCACAAGTGACCGTAGAGAAAAGTCTCTGCCAGTTTTCAATATAGTTGAGAGATGTTGTAGCTGACACTCTGGCCCGAGAGTTGTTCATTATGAGGGTCATAAATATCCCCATTTCTTGGCTAAACATCTTAAAGATGTTTACACCTGAAGCCAGGGTTGTGTGCATCAGTTTAAGCTGCCACCTTTAACACTGGCATCCCATAGGTGATTCAACTTGGCATTGATTGTTTTAATTCTGATCCACTCCCATGCTAATATACCTGAGAAGGCAACAGAAATTGGACCAAGTGCTTGATCCCTGCCACCCACCAGAGAGACCCAGATTGAGTTCCTAGCTGCTAGCTTTGACCTAGTTCAGCCAAGCCATTGCAGCTATTTTGGAAGTGAACCAGCTAGGAAAGAACCCCAATCCCCTGCCACTCTGCCTTTCAAATATAGAAATAAATCTCTTTTGAAATGCAAGTATATCCTCCATTCTTAATTTCATTGACTTATCCAACCTGCTCACCCTGCAGCTCTCCCCGTAGAATTAACACTGAGCTCACCCGCAACAGCACACACCATACATAGCCTCTCCCAGGCCCCAGAGAGACTCACCCCTGGAGCAGAGTGGCAGCTCCGGCTCCCACTTGTTTAGGGCCTGGCACTGCACCTTGCTGGGTCCTTGCATGACAAAGCCAGGCTGACATTTCAATTCCACAATTTCATTTAAGGAGAACAAGCTCTTGTGCTCCGATACCATGACTGCATTTTCCACGTCTGGAGGTGCGCATTTATTAGGTACAATGCACTGAGGAGGGGGGCCGCTCCAGGTGCCAACCTGGTCATCCTGGCTGGTGCAATATATTGAGGGCTGCCCGATGAGTTCAAACTTGCTTTCTCCTTCTTTGTTAGTGTTGCAGCGATAGGTCACTACCATTCCATACTGAAAATCTTCGTTGTTAACATTCTGGAAGTTTCCATTAGCAATGGCTGGGGGTGGTGAACAAGGAATACCTGGGAAAAGAAGCAGTGTTTTGATTGCTTACAGCTGTATTTAATTATGAAATTTGGTAGCTTTTTGCTTTTAAGGAGAAACTCCAATTACTGCATAGTAAATGTTAATATTACAGCTGTTATCTTTGCTAATAGACATACATGATTTTCTATAATTGCAGGAACTAAATTATGTGTTTTTCTCTTATTGGTTAATGTTATTTCAATAACTATGTCCCTCTATAATTTACATATTTACTTCTCATTTTAAATGCAGATCTAATTGTTATTTCACCATTGTTGGTTCAGTTCTTTCTACATAGAAGGCATTTAGCTTTATTCTCTTCATTATGGTAAAGCATCTAAAGGCCTAGCATCTTATCAAATAAGTGAAAACAACAACTCTGCCAGAATGAATAACAAAGACAAATCACAAACACACAGTATTACATGTAAAAAGCACAGTAGTTACAGATACAGAAATACTAATAAGAGCTGCATTCCTGGATTAAAGACATGTTATACAGGTAAGGGTGTTCATCTAGATTTAATGCTAGCCTTCAAAACAATTGGTTTTGAAGTTGTTGATTTCCCCATACTGTCACCAAGCCAGGCCCTATATCTTTTTACATGCTTTGTTGCTTTGCAATTTCTCATGACCATATGCTTCCTAAAAGGTAGGAAGTTTCCCAAACAACTCACAGGGGACATGGAGTATCACTGTCCTGACGATGAACAAGAAGGAAGAGAGAAATGCTTGCACACACATAGGATGGAGACCCAGAGAAGTGGGGCTCCATTGTCTAACTTTATTTTACTCAAGAGAATGATCTTCAAACTGAGAAATGTCCAATCAAACAAAAAGGGAAGTATGGGACTATTTGAAATAAGTTCAAGACTGTATTTTAGAATAAATTGTATGTACATGAAGAAAATGCCATATGGATCTAGATGTTTGGGACACAGATTGATTATAAGAATATGATTGCATTGCTCAAAAGGAGACCTTTCCCAAGAAGAATAGAATTTAGTCTTTGCAATTCTAGGGTTCAACTCCAGGATTTGGTCAAAGAGACTTAAACTCACTTTCACAGATTGGTGGCTTTGTCTCCCACTTGACAGTCTTGCCTGAGAGAACACATTCATTAGATGCGTGACCAAGGAGTCGGTACCTAACAGCAAAACATGGAAAAGAATTATTCTGTACATATTTTACCAGTATTCCTACAACACACATTTGTGGCAAAGCTGAAACATTAAAATGCTGGAGGAGGCTAAAGCCTGGCCTAAACAACACCTCTTCTTTCCAGCTTTTCTCATTTGTCTGTCTTACCCTCTCACCATTGAAAGGGATATATCTCTCTCCAGCAAGTACTAGCCAATCCAGACCCGGATAGCCTCCAAGAGCAGGCAAAATCAGGTGTATTCAGAGTGGCCTGGCCATAGACAAGATGTTTCTTCTCCTTCAACTCATAGTCACCTTTAGTTTTTACTTTCTTGTCTGTTGTAGATTGTATTGGGCACCAAAATTAGACAATTCAAAAATTTTATCTGATAGGCAGAGTGACACATAAAAAGAAAGATATCTTTCATTGGTTGATCCAATTCCCAAATAGCTACAGCAGCTAGAAATGGGTTAGGCTGAGACCAGGAGCCCAGAACTCCATCTGGGTATTCTGGGGCCATCTTCTGCTGCCTTCCTAGGCAGATTTTCCGGGAGCTGAACTGGAAATAGACAAGACAGGACTTGAACTGGCACTTCAATATGGGATTTTGGCATTGCAGACAGAGACTTAATTCACTGCACTACAATGCAGGGCAATTTTTTATATTCCAGTTTGATAATTTTCTTCTTGAATTCTGTTTTTCCTCTCAAATTCTTGTTGCCACTTTTTGGGGTTTAAATGTGCACACCCATACATAAATGAACAGTGCTATGTCATATTGCTTGAGGCATGTTTTTTGTAGGGAACAAGTTTTGATAGTTGATTCTATTGAAAGCCTTGGTTTTCAACAAAAAATTACACTAAATTTACTGAAATAAATGATACATTTGCTTTTGCCTCATCACCATCCTGTTCACTGCCTCTTTCATTCATTTCACAAGATCCAATAATGAGGATGAAACAATAACTAATAATGATCTTCTTCAAACATGAGGGGTTCTATTTCTTGCAAAAATTTCTTCCTTTGCCTTCTCTTCCCTTCGTTACATGGTCCAGATAGGTTCAACTTCTTTCATTGTTTCAATCACTTGGAAGTTAACATTCTTTTTCCATCAGGAATTTCTTTTTCATACATATGCATGTTGTGTGTGTCCACAAAATATAGATTGAAGTCCTATTCCCTGAATATGACATTGTCTGAATATGACCTTAATCTGGAAGCAGGGTCTTTGCACATGTAATCAAGTTAAGATGACACCATTAGAGTGGGCTAATCCATTATGACTAATGTATTTGTAAGAAGCGAGAACTTGGAACAATAACTTGCACACAGCATGAGGTGAAAACATACACACATATTTTAAATGGCCATATGAACATTATTCTGTCACCTGCCAAGGATGGTCTGGGAGAACTAGGAGCTGAAAGAGGCAAGGAGGATTCTCTTTAGATGACTCTAATGAACTACAGGCCTGCTAACATCTTGATTTTGTATTTCTAGTTTCCAGAACCAAGCTCTGAAAATGTCTGTTATTTTATGCTATCTATTCAGTGCCTTAACAAATTCATAACACTGCCTTCAGGAAGATTAGTCTGCTTCATGAATTCCCTTTTACCCAACCATGCCTGATCTCCGTTAACACTGTTTCGGTGCTGTCATTTCACCCTCTACCATTTCCTTCTCTCCAACTCAGGAAATGCGCTTCTTGTCTGGAATATACTGCCTTTATTTCTAGCATGGGCACAAATTTTTCTCCTAACCTTGTGATGCCTTTATTCATTTCAATCAGGAGTTAAGCATCTATATTCAAGCCTTTTAAGACCAGATAATACTAGCTTAAGAGTCCTCTCTGTGACTAAAAGGAAACATTTTTGTATCAGGGCTTTCAAACCAAGGGCTTTTGCTGAAAACTCACCCTTTATTGCAAGTATAATTAATTCTGGACCCATATTTGATGTCTGTAATGACATGCACCATGCCATTCAAAGGTTCTGGAGGATTTTCACATGATTTTCCTATGAGGAAAGAACAGACTGTTGGAACCAGGCAGAGTAAAATGAGGGTTTTGTTTGTTTAGTATAAAATGCCTCCAGTCTATGCATTTAATAATTTCACAGATTTTGCCCTTTGAGAAAACTCATTCATCAGACAGCCTTCTAATCAGCCACCTTCTAAGTACCCCAAACTTCCCTCCAGATCTGTCTTACCTCCACCTTCCAACCTTTATCAAATGTGAAGGACATTGGTGGCTTTACAGACAGCCAGTAAGTTTTAACTGCTCTCAAAGCATTTCTTCTCACATAGTTATTCAAACAGAATATTCATTTAGGGCTGGTCCACAACTCCCATGTTTACATGCATGCATCAGAATGTTTTATTTTGAAAATATTTCTTGAATGCCTAGCTTGAAAACAGTGAAGATCCTACAGAGACAAGAGAGCTGTCACTCACGTTTGCAGGCATCTTCGGGCTGTGACCAGGTCAGGTTTTCTAAACACCTGATGGCGAACGACTTCCCCATGTACCCAGGGCGACACTCGTAGTTTAAAAAAGTCCCAACGGGAAACTCAAATTCATTGGTTTGGGTTTTCAACTCAGCAAATTGAAAATGGTCCGGGGCTTTACAGTGACCTAGAGAAGAAAAAAAGCAGGAACACGTGTGCATGAACAAAAGGGTAGCCAGTGCTTTGCCTTTCTTGTGAAATTTTATGCAAGGAGAAAGTGAGTTTTTTAGATATGGACTAATAATTTCCTAGTATTTTTTGTAGTGAAAATTCAATAAGCACAGACTCATCAGAAAATATATTACCCAGAAGACTTGTCTGCTATCTGGTTTTTCCAGTTACACCATTTAGTGTAAAGATAGCTCTGGTTCAGTTTTTTCACATTTTTAAAATTGTTATTTTAAATTTTGAATTTTATGGTACAATTCTGTAGAATCTGGGATCCTCTCTCTCCCCTCTCATTCCTACCCACTGACTGATTTTCCCCATATCATCACAATAGCATAGTCCTTCAGAAGCAGTTATAATTCCATCAGTCTGTTAAGTGTGCCCCGACATTGCCGACACAGACAATGTCAGACAGTCCATTGTCTAGACATGTCTAACAGTTTCACTGGGAGTTCATCTATTGAAAGTAGGGATGCATGTCACATTTTTTTAGGAACCTTAAAGTATGCCCCTGCTCAGATTCCCTCATGCTTGTCTGGTTTCCTTATAACTTCAGTGTATCAGAAGTCTATCAGCGGGTCCAGAGCATAGGTGAAAAACTCATTGTTTCCTGGTACAGGGAAGATATTACCAATTTTCTAGCTCTGATTCCCAAGCCAGCTCTTTCAATAAAGAGTAACCAGCAACTATCATCTCTTGATCATAATTGAACTTTTCTTATTTCCAAGATGTCTTTAAGGGAAATTCAACTACCTATAATGCTTGTTTCCTTTTGGTCTTACAGCTTGAATGCTAGCTCTACTAGCTTCCATGCATGGAGTCCAGATCATTATATATATATAAAAAAGCAAACACAAACAAACAAACAAAAACCAGAAAAGACCCCAGTGCAGTAGTCTAGTGGTTAAAGTCCCCAGCATGCACTGCACCAGGATCCCATATGGGTGCTGGTTCTGATCCTGGCAGCCCCTCTTCCCATCCAGCTCTCTACTTGTGTCCTGGGAAAGCAGTTGAGCATGGCCCAAAGCCTTGGAACCCTGCACAGGCCTTGGAGACCCAGAAGAGGCTCTGGGCTCCTGGCTTTGGATCAGTGTAGCTCTGGCTGTTGCAGCCACTTGGGGAGTGAATGAACGGGCAGAAGATCTTCCTCTCTGTTTCTTCTTCTCTCTGTATATTTGACTTTCTAATGAAAATAAAAGAAATCTTTTTAAAAAAGCATTATCTTAGGGCAACTCATACAGGATGCTGATGTGGCATGCCCCTATTCTGCAATATAACTTATTCAACTGGGTCTGTAATCTCAGAATAGGGTTCTGATTTAAATATATATATATATATGATAGAACTTGAACATTGCTTTTCTGCTAATTCAGAAAAGCTGGGTCAGGTTATCTGTGTTTTTAAAAACCATAGTGTTGTGCCCAGCATGATAGTATAGCAGTTAAAGTCCTCGCCTTGAACATACCAGGATCCCATATAGGTGCCGGTTCTAATCCTGGCGGCTCCACTCCCCATCTACTACCCTGCTTGTGGCCTAGGAAAGCAGTCGCAGTCGAGAATGCCCAAAGCTTTGGGACCCTGCACTGCTATGGGAGACCTGCAAGAGGCTCCTAGCTTCGGATTGGCTCAACTCCAGCCATTTCAGCCACTTGGGGAGTGAACCATCGGACAGATGATCTTCCTCTGTCTCTCCTCCTCTCTGTATATCTGGCTTTCCAATAAAAATAAATAAATTCCTTAAAAAAAACATAGTGTTGAAAAAGAATGTGAGAACAAAAAATGAATTCTCTGTTCCTTTTAGAATTGCTCTTCTCAGATTTCCCCATTGGACATTTTTTATATCATGCATAGGGTCACTTGTACAAATTCTCCTCTCTGTTTTCACCTCCTGAATGTGGGTGTCTTGGTGGGGGAATGTGTCTTAGTCAATTTTCTCCAGAACCTATAAATATACACTCTCTTTATTTTGCATTCTCTCTTTATTTTTCTCTGTATCAAAGGGGGAAATTCTTCAAGGGCAAAAGCAAATAAGCTTCATTTTTAATTTAGAACTTAGTCCAAAGAGGCCAAATGAATCCCTGGTTTGTTGACAATGTGGCCAAATTTTCAGACAATACACTGGGGTCTCTGGCCATATAGGTTAGTACAAGTGATTTTGTCTGGCATTCTACTGTGATGGCCTTGCATCCTCCTACAACCTGTGAAGATGGTTAATGTATACGGGTTAAGACTCATGGAAACTTAGTTTCAATTTCTATAATTTGCAAGAATATTATTTCTTATTCTAAGAACCTCCCTACCATCTACCACCCTATCCTGTTTATCATCACCTCTTCCCAGCAGCAAAGATCATTAGAAACTTTTGTGCTGATTTCTCCTAGAATTGTTTATTACTGGCTTGGTATTTGTATCATTTGGTATTTGTATCATGACTAAATGCCACCCTGTAGTTACAGGAATGGAGAAGTGGTAGGTCTGGGATAAGGAGAATCATACACTCACCTGGAAGTTCACAGCGAGGGGCAGGACTGCTCCAAACCCCATTTCCTTGACTGTCATTCACGCAGTAGATGGTGCTCTCGCCAATGAGGACGAGGGTCAGCCCTTTGTCGGGGTGGGGGTCACATGTGTAAGTTACTGCTTTTCCAAAGGGAAAGAGTTCTGAAGGTTTTCCTGTGTGTCTCCCGTTAAGGATGGCTGGAGGACTTGGACAAAAGATTTCTGGAAAGAAGGTGGGTTTCATTAAGAGATTTCACCAGGGAGATTCTGCAGTCATGAGGTGTTATGATTAGTGTCAAATAAATAAATAAATAAATAAGTAAATCTAAAGAGAAACATGTACCCATTAGGCTTAGAATGAAATGGACTGAAAGAAATGAAGTCTCAATCAAAGTTGTTGTAAAAGTACAAAAGAAATGTGACTGAATCTTCCAGAACATTGTTAATTTTTAAAAATTAAATATCAAAACTTTAAAGGAGAAATAACCACTATAAAGGATGATACATTCTTCCAACATCTATTAATTGAGCACTTATCTGTCTGAGCTATTCAACAAGGCCCTGGCATGAGGTAGTCTTTGTCCTTCAGAGAATTTACATTATTGGACAAGGTTTCTAAACTGCATTTCATTTATACAAATTACCTGAAGCCTTGCCTTCACAATTTATTTATACTGGTCATCAATCTCAATGATGACAATTACAATGACTTTAAATAGACACAGTCAATGTAAAACAAACATGGATTCAGATGTGTTTGGTTTTCAAGATTTCTGGGTCTGTTCATGACTTACTTTCTCCTAGTCCCTACCAGATTTCAAATTGTTCTTTCTGTTTTCTCAGTATCCATTTAGGATAATCCCTTCCTTATTTCTAATTGATGTGCATAATTAGGCTTGGAATTTGGAAGAAGTAGTTTTAAAGCAGTAAGCCTTGTGAAAAGACAGATAAAGAGTAGGAATATTGACTAATAGCTGAGCTCACATGGCATGACACTGTAATAGCCACTTCTCATATTGCTTCAAGGAAGGAAGGAAGGAAAGGAAAAGGTAAGACAAAGAAATTTGTCCAAGTTTCATATTTTCTCAACTCTTCTGCCTTTGCTGTCAAACCACATAAGATGTGTCAAATAGAGCACGTAATTCCATCTGACAGACTAAGGTGATGTCTCCAAGCCAGGAAGTATACACAGTGAATCACAACAAAGCCTTATTAAAATAACCCACTTCCAACAGTCATACAGAATAGGAAACAGAAGAAGCAAAAGCAAGGTAGGTCATAGATTAAAATACTGAACTAGTCAAGTGGAGAGAGTGGCCTGAAATGTTATTTCTTCTACTTACGCTCACACACAGGAACACTGCTATTCCAATGGCTTTCCATCCCAACTAAGACACAATGACTGGAAGAACTGCCCCTTAGTCTGAACCTACAGAAGAAAATGGCCATGAATAGACAAGCTGTTTTTTGTCAAAGTGCTATTCATTTTGCAGTCTGAAGCTCAGGCATAGAACTCAGGAGTTTGAGAATCTGAAGCCAGCAGGTGTCATTTTGGGAAAATTGCAGTCTACCCTGAAGGAACAACACAGAATGGTAAAGCACAGCAATTTGGTCTCACAGAAGTCCTTGCTTGCCCCCAAACAAGGTAGACCTGATTAAACTGCCATCTCCTCTACTCTGGACCTTAACTTCTCATCCCATAATGAATCTAGTAAACTTGCAGCATCCTGAGCTCAGGGACTTTGCTGTCTGTGCTTGATAGTTTCCAGGCAGAGGCGCACACTCTGTGTGTGAGATTCACAAGAGTGAGCCCGTGGCTGGTTTCTAAGCATGTGATGTGTCACTGGATTGTTCAAAAGCTTGTTCTTGCACTTTCACTGCAATCAAAAAGTTAACTGAAGTAATTCTTACATAATCTCTGGTTGTTGGTGTAAGTAAGCTTTTTGTCACATATCACTCTTTTTTTCATAGTTGATTTTTTTTTCACATAAGGTGCTATCTGTATTTGTATGATTATTATACATATGAAATACACATAATATGCTATTTGACTTTGAACTTGCCATTTAATACATGTTGTAACTTTTCCTTCAGATCTCACATGTTCTATATGTCTTTCACTTTTACTATAAACCCATAAAAAATTTAATCTCCCTGAATATTTGCTTTATTTATTTCACTCTGTTTATTTGAAAGGCAGATGAGAAAGAGAGAGAGAGAGAGAGAGAGAGACAGAGAGACAGAGAGACAGAGAGACAGAGAGATAGAAAATGAATTGCCTGAAACAGCCAGGCTGAAGCCAGGCAGGATCTCCGTCAGGGTCTCCCATGTGGGTAGCGAAAGCTCAAGTGCTTGAGCCATCACCTGTTGCTTCTCAGGGTGTGCATTAACAAGAATCTGGGTTACAGTCAGAGAAGGAACTCAATTCCCAGCACTCAGATATGGGATGTGAGTGTCACAGCAGTGGGTTAACCTTCTGCTTCTCAATGATTGTCTCTGAGTATTTTTTTAAAGCTGTAATGATCCTCCCTTGTTGACAAACCTCTGACCTTAATTTCAATGCCCTGGTGGTCAAGAAAGTCCACACTCACCCTTCCCCACAAACAAAGGACACTTTGGCTCCAAGCTGCAGATTAAATGGAAGTAGCACACGACCATTAGGGAGTTGATCCAGGAAATCATCACAGGATTTTACTAAGAGGAAAAGAAAAACAAGGAGAAGTGACAGTGGTACATGGAGAATAAAAACACCAGCTAAAAATGGTAGGTGAGAGTTGTGTGCACCTGCACATATAGGGGCTATGGGGCTCCAGGTTCCCTGTGGTGTGCAGTGCAGGGCAGCAGCTCCTCTGAGGTCATAGCCAGGCTCACAGCTGTAGATCACTTCCTGCCCAGGGGAAAACATGTCCTTGTTGCTTTGGGTGTGTTCACCATGCAGGATTTTTGGAGGTGGTTGACACACTGTGGAAAGTGAACCAAAGTACAATTAATCGTGTGAAAGTAACTTCTCAGAGAATGATAGCTATAACTCTTTATGTAAAAAGAAAATCTGGTAGATTAACACTCTTATTTTATTGATGACAAATAAATACACACATACACAAAATGAGGGTGTCTGTAAAATTCATGGAAGTGATAACGTAGCACTGGATCAGAATCCTTAACTCATTGATTTCCATTTGAAGTACCAGTATACATCGAACAGTACATGGCAGATGCTACTTTATAGAATGTTTCATTTCTGCTTCTGCAGTTAAAAAAAAAAACATGTATGGTTGCCAAAGCATCAGGTCTTGATACTTCTCTTCAAGGGAGGCATCACCAATGTACTGCTCCATAGCTGAGGCAGTAAGGAGTGCCCATGTCTGTGTCAGCTAACAGATTCTCCTATTCCTACAATACCCTGTGCAACACACAGGTTTGTACATTTATTCCCATCTCTTCAGTAAGGTCCTCTCTCAGTGACTGTCTAGTTCAGGTTGGTGGGGGAATCTCAGTCTCCTTGCATGCTCTGTAGAACAAGGTGCCCCTCAGCCATCTATTTCGTGGAGTGAGAAGGTGGGCAACCACTGAACAAACTCTTTTGAACACCTACAGTCATTAGACGCACAGTCACTGAATGTGGAATGTTGTACTGAGTCTGTCTTTTTACAGAGTCGATTTGAACTCCATGAATCAGTATGTCTTTGGGTCTCAAGAAAATGGCCTAAAACTATTGTAAAATGAAAACCCATTTTATTTTTGCTTTGAGCAAGTTAGTTCCTTTCTCTGGACTTTTTCTGCCCAGTATAAAATGGGAGATTGGCTTGGAATAAATGAGCTCTTGGGGAGCTTATAAATATTCTGATGCTATTGAATCAATTTTCAGGGCCCAGCATGGTAGCCTAGTGGCAAAAGTCCTTGCCTTGCATGCACCGGGATCCCATATGGACATCAGTTTGTATCCCAGCTGCTCCACTTCCTGTCCAGCTCCCTGTTTGTGGCCTGGGAAAGCAGTTGAAGATGCCCCAAAACTTTAGCCCCATGTGGAAAATCTGGAAGAAGTTGCTGAATCCTGGCTTTGGATTGGCTCAACTCTGGTCATTGTGGCCAATTGGGGAATGAACCAGCCGATGGAAGATCTTTCTCTCTGTCTCTCCTTATCTCTGTAAATCTGACTGTCCAATAAAACGAAATAGGTCTTTAAAAAGGGGGGTGGGACTCCATTTTCAGCACACAATGCTGCAGCATTTCCCTTGACAAGCACTGGCATGGGATATTCAAGTGCTGCACTAGTTGATTGGCAGCCAATCCCTCCTACCCGCTGCCCTGCCCTGCCACTTCACATTATACACTCCCTTTTGACTGCTAGAGCTGCAAACCTGAAAATTACAATTGCTTGTCTTCCTAGGCAGCTGGGTTCTGGTTCACTCTACCAGTTATAAGCACATTACAGAACATTAAAGGGTAGACAGATAACAAAAGTCATTCTATTTTAGGGGGCAGCTTGGGCAGGTGCAGTGTTGGTGGCTCTCAACAGCAGTGTTAGCTCTAGCAGTGTCAGTGACTTTGGCTTTAAACACAGCAGCTACATTCTGGCACCTTAGTAGTGGCATTTCAGCCATGAATGTAGGCTACCATGCTCTAGTAATGGAGAAGCAGCAGTTCAGGCAACATTGCTTTCCTCCATTCGCTCTTCCTGCCCTGCCGATACCTATATAGCTTATGACCTGCATGAAACACCTCATTTCTCGTAGGATCTAGGGTGGCTCAGGTTTCCTGTTGGTACAGTTCAGGCTTTGAAGTTTCGCAGATTGGAGGTGCAGCCTGCACTACAGGTCAGTGTCAGTTTCATCAAAGTACTTACCCTAAGACTCATTTTCTCTGTATAACATGGATTTAGGAGTGAAACAAACACATGCTCTGTATTTTAGTCCCTGTCCAGAGGGCCTATTCATTGCATTTGTGTATTCACAATTATTATGCTTATGGCTAAGATGCTGGAGGTGGGAGACGGACATTTGGCAGCAGATTTTCTATCAGAATCTCAAGCAAACACATTTCTTGCTCACATTCGGCTTTGCTTCTCAATTTGAACACATGTTTACACAGACACAGACACACACATACACAATGCATAAATGCACATAAACTCCTTGATTTTATATTCTCTCCCAAGAAACTTTACTCACCCAACCTGTTCACCTCCCCAGAACAAACATTGAATTTGCCTGCAACAACTCACCCTTCCCAGGCCCCAGAGAGACTCACCAATGGTGCAGAGTGGCAGCTCCGGCTCCCACTTGTTTAGGGCCTGGCACCGCACTTTACTGGGTCCTTGCATGACAAAGCCAGGCTGACATTTCAATTCCACAATTTCATTTAAGGAGAACAAGCTCTTGTGCTCCGATACCATGACTGCATTTTCCACGTCTGGAGGTGTGCATTTATTAGGTACAATGCACTGAGGAGGGGGGCCGCTCCAGGTGCCAACCTGGTCATCCTGGCTGGTGCAATATATTGAGGGCTGCCCGATGAGTTCAAACTTGCTTTCTCCTTCTTTGTTAGTGTTGCAGCGATAGGTCACTACCATTCCATATTGAAAATCTTCGTTGTTAACATTCTGGAAGTTTCCATTGGCAATGGCTGGGGGTGGTGAACAAAGAATTCCTGGGAAAGGGAAAAGCAGGTTTAAGTTTGTTTTTGTTTATTCAAAAGACAAGCAACAGAGAGAGAAAGAGATCTTCCATGCCCGAATACCCACAGTAGTCAGGCCAAAGCCAGGAGCCATGAACTCTGTGGGTGGCAGGTAACCAGCTACCTGGGCCATCATCTGCTGCCTCCCACGATGTGTATTAGCAGGAAACTGAATAGGAAGCCAAAATGATTCAAAATTTTAGATGGAATACAAACAGCCAAGAACTGCCAAGTAAATGTTGAAAAAGGTACATAATTAGAAGCTATCAAATTAAACCAGTGGGACAGAAACTTGTCTGGAATGAGACTAATGCATAACATCACCTAACCTATGACTGTAGTGTTACTGCATTGCATTATGAAGCAAATAGTGTTTCAAACCAATGGTATTCATCATTGTTCACCCTCAGTACATCACAGTGCTGGCTCCTCCATAAATTCATGAAACTTGATGAATACCGATTTCAGAAGTTGTTACTGGTTTCGCAAGTAGAAAGATTGATTATTATGCTAAGTGTGGTGGAGCCACACAATTCCAAGTCAACATGTAAAACTAAGGTTGGAAGGCTTATATGCATTTAAAAGTTCAGATTTAGAAAGGTTATTGCCAGGATGAGGAAATGGTTTCCAAGAACACGTTTGTGAGCATGACAGCTTCTTCATTTATCTGAGGACAGAGTGCACAAAAGGAATGCAATGAATATTTCTATAATTCCAAGGGAAAACCAGACTTTATCAATGAAAATAATAAGAAATAATTCAACTCACTCTCACAGATGGGCATTTTAGTATCCCAGGAGACACCATTATCTGACAGAAGGCATTCTGCTGAGGAGGAACCAATGAGGCGATATCTAGAAGCAAAGAATAAGGGACATTATCATCTAAATACACAGGTACCCTGCCTGCTTACATGGCTACTTCCAAGGGATCACAATCTTGGAGAGTTCCGAAGATCTTCTACATTCCTAATGCTATCACTTCCATTCATTGGAAATCTTCCTTTGGACTTACTGATTTTCTTCTTTGTGACTTTTCAACTGATGAGATTTTTCTTCACAACTCAAACAATGCAATTTTGTATAACCTAAGGTAAATTATAGTTATTTCCTACAAATCTCACTTAAAAAAAAAAAGCTATCCAAACTTCTTGAGTGCAGACAAAATCTCACGTACCTACTCACATTCACATGTATATTCCCACTGTAGGCATTTCTTACGCCTTGCGTTAGTGTGTGAATTCATGGGCAGATGGATGCGTTTATGTACATTTGAAACAGTCATGACATGTATCTCACCTGAGGTCACATACATATTTTCTTAGAGTGTTACCTAAGTTTGCCATTTTAGAGGGGGCGGTAGTAATACACACAGGTACTGTGTTTTTAATTTCCAATTCCAGTTGTTTATTGCTGGTATATAAGAAAGGACATCTCTGTAGGTTTATATATGCATAGGTTTCAGTACCCACTACTACAGTAAGAACTACAGCAACTGCTCTGCAAGGATCTGTGAACAGTCCTTTGGGGATCACACTCACCTTGTTCCTTTTCATTCCTGATGTTCTGCCCCTATTCTTAATCTCTGAAAGGAAGTACAAGCAAAAGCAATTTCTGATGAGCTAGAACTTAAAGCTGGGAATTGGAATTTTCCCTTCAGTGGGAGACTGAATACAGCTTGAGGGGAAGGTGGAATCAAAGGAAAGTCTATTTAGGAGGGGAAAAAATTTTGAAATCCACACAGCGTTTTTTTTTTTTTCACTTGCCTAAGATGGTCTGTGACTACCAGGAGTTGGCAGAGGCAAGGAAGATCCTAGAAGATCAAAAGCACAGTCCTGCCGACCCCTTGATTTGGACTTCCAAAGCTCCAAGAGTTTTTGTCATTTGAAGCCATCCACATTGTGGTGCTTGCATAGAGCAACCCTAGGAAACTCGCAGTGCTGTGGTCAGGGACATGTCTCCCCAGGGCTGCTGAAACCTCCCTTTCTCCTGGAGGTGCCGACTCTGCGTTCATGCCCTTGCGTGCTCTGACTTTCCCCTCCCCTCATTTCCTTCCCTCCCACCCAGGAAATACCTTATGTGTCTGGAATGCACTCTGTCCTAGCTTCCAGCAAGGATGCAGTTTTTTTTTTTTCTCCTAACCTGTGATAACTTAAATAATTTCAATCAGGAGTTAAACACTATCTATGCACAAGCTTTTTTTAAAGAACAGGTGGTATTAGCCTAGCAGTACACTGTAAATTATCACTAAAAAGGAGCATTTCTGTATCAGGGCTGTCCTCAAACCAAGAGCTGTTGCTTCCAACTCACCCTTCATTACAAGAATAATTAATTCTGGACCCATATTTGATGTCTGTGATGACATGCACCATGCCATTCTTAGGATCTGGAGGATTTTCACATGATTTTCCTATGAGGAAGGAACAGAATGTTGGAACCAGGCAGAAAAATACGATCCTTTTTTTTTTCTTCTGTAAGTATGCAGTATCCCCACCTGTCTGTTGCTTACTTAAAAGCCTAAGCAGCTGTGATGACTTCAAAAAATTTTACCACCTTGTGTATCTCACTAGACAGTGTTAGGACTAGGCACTAGTTAGTACCACTTTCCAAAAGATCTCCCTCCTGTTCTGTCTCATCCTTACACTGTTCCTCCCAGAAAAATGTTCAGTGTCATTTATGACCGAAGTGTCATACTCTGTATTTCAAAGGTCTAAGAGTCTGGAATTTTTCTTATTTATTATTGTTATAAATGGGGGTTTTGCTCCCATCATGCCTTGTGATGGTCATTTCTGATTAGATGAGCCTACAGTAAAAGCCTCAGGAACTCAAAACACAAGGGAAACATGATCTACAAGAATAACATACATTACTGCCTTGGACAAAGTGATTACGTCAAATGTGTCTTGTAAAATTTGAATAAATTGAACCAGATCTTACAAATATGTGACCTGCAGAAAGGAGTTTCCATCCAGAGCTACTCAGTTACTCACGTTGACATTTGCCTTCTGCGCCTGTCCAGACCAAGTTTTCTTCACAGGTGATAAGGAACTGCCTTTTAATATAACCAGGACGGCATTCATACTTCAGAGATGTCCCAATGGGAAACTCAGAGGCATCCATTGGACTTGTAGGCCTGGCGAAGGGAAGCCACTGTGGGGTCTCACATTGACCTTGAGATCAACATCACAGCAACGTTAGAGTTAACAGAGAATTTTCTTTTCCATTTTCCCTTTCTCTCCAACAGTATATATGTATGTGATCCAAGTAGAATGGAACACTTTCATACTGGCAAAAATGATGGATTGCTTTAGTCACCGCCTGAGTAAAGGAGCTTTCTAAAACTCTTTCATCAGTATCCACATGTTGAAAAGTCTCCACTGCTTTGAAGACAATTAAGCTTTATTGCAGGGTACTTCGAAAAGTTCATGGAAATGCATATTATGAGAAAACTCTGCATGGATTTTGAACACTTTTGGCCAAAATAGACTTATCCTTTGATTCATTTTCCCTACAAACTTTTGGAAATTGTATAGTCTTTCACTGAAGGGGAAATTCCAATTCACAGCTTCAAGTTCTGGTTTGTCAGAAACTGCTTTTGCTTGTGCTTCTTCGATGTCAAACTCACGGACCATCTTATCCTGGAACAAGACCCACCCATGCATTTCATGATCCACCTTCCCTCCCGGTGGCCCACTCCCATCCAGTGGGACTGTATGACCTTCTTCTCAGGGCCCTTAGTAACAGCATTGGTGGAAGTCTATTGTCAAGGGGGAAAACAGCCAAGACTCAGCAGCCAATTCTACACTTAACTTTAGGCAAGCAAATGTTTCCTGTTTCATGTTTTGAATTAAATAATAGACTTAGATACCTCTTCTTCAGGTTTTGTAGGTTGGAAGAATCTTAAAAATGCCACTCAGAAAAAAAAAACATTTTAGAATTGGGCCCGGTGGTGTGGCCTAGTGGTTAAAGTCCTCACCTTGAATGTGCCGGGATCCCATATGGGCACCAATTCTAATCCTGGCAGCTCTACTTCCCATCCAGCGACCCGCTTGAGGCCTGGGAAAGCAGTTGAGGAAGGCCCAAAGCCTTGGAACACTACGCCCGTGTGGGAGACCTGGAGGGAGTTCTTGGCTCCTGGCTTTGGATTGGTGCAGTACCGGCTGTTGCAGTCCCTTGGGGAGTGAATCATCAGATGGAAGATCTTCCTCTCTGTCTGTCCTCCTCTCTGTATATCTGACTTTGCAATAAAAAATACAATAAATCTTTAAAAAATATATTGTAGATAGTGACTTTTAGGGGTTTCTTATTCTACCAAATATTGAGTTGTGTGAAAGTATTCCATTTTACATTTTTCTATTTCTCCTTCCACTTCTACTTCATATTACATGTTCTGAGTTCAATTTATTCAATCATCATGCTTTTAATTTCTGAGTTTGCTGGCAAATTAATTGCCTAACATCATATTAGTCTCTAGCAGTAAAGTTTTGTCTTAATTGGCTTTTCCCCACTGTATTTGTTAAGACAAATGTGAAACAGTATGGTATCTTTAAAAGCTGTAACATTCAATAGTTTTTAAATGTAAAATAATGACACAGTGTCTCACAAAGTTGCTTTAAAGACAATTTTTACAGCTTATTTGCCAAGTAAGCTTTCTTTTGGTGGTTTGTTTTTACTTAGTATGTTTTTTAATTTTTAAAAATATTCCTCCTTTCTATTGTAAACACATACACCAGTTCTTATGCATGAATTACATAGCAATTAAAGCTATGTCGTCTATGAAAATCTATGTAGAAAGGTGTGATAGGCTAAGTAATGGCCTCCCAAATATATCCATGTCTTAATCCCTGGGGTCTATGAATGTTTCCTTTAAAGTAAAGGAGTTTTGCAGATGTGACTAGAAATCTTGAGATGAGCAGGTTGCCATGGATTATCTGGTAGATCCTGATATTATCACAAGGGGCCTTACTGTAAGGAGCCAGGAGGGTCAAAGCAGACAGAAGGTAACTACTTGGAGGCGCTACTCTGCTGGCATTGATGGTAGGGGGACAAAGCTACAAGCCAATGGCTGTAGCAGCCTCTGCAAGCAAAAAGAGCTAGGAAACCCATTCTCCCGTGCAGCCCCCAGATGCAGCAGAGCCCTACTGATGCATTTTGACTTTGGCTCTAGTACTGCAAGAGAACACATCTCTGTGGTTTTAAGCCATCGAGTTTGTGATCATTTATTATTAGCAACAGAAGACAAACACAAGTAATAAAATGGTATATACTCACAGCATCTCTAGATTTGTACAGACATGACTTTTAACTCTAGCTAGCTGAGAGGCCATAGTTGAATTATTTGATGTCTCAAGCCTCAGCTTCAGCTTCACAAAGGGGAAGATAATTCTTACATGGCAGGCTTGACAAGTGGATCACAGTAGCAAGTACAAAGCATCCAGCGCCATGCTACATACAGGCGGCACCCAGTAAGTTCTCCTTAGCACTGTCATTCATCGAAAAGGAAACATGCTAACAGATTCAAATATTCTGCTAGCGTGAGCATGCTCATTCTGTTTCCAAGAACTAATTTTCTGTCCAACCTGGCAGAAAATGAGCCCATTTTGTCAGGAAAGCATTGGAGTTCAGTGACTGCTGACCTGAGAGCTCCTCTGAGCGTGTCCCAGATTCAGCCAAGGACCTCATGCACCTGCAGACATCAGGATTCTAGCGCATACCTCTTTATCTGTTGAGAATGGCTTCATTCAGAATGGGAGAGCAACTCTGCACTGCCTGTGTAAGCAAGGGACGATGTTCCAGGGAAGCTCATATTTCTTGTTTATTTTTCTCCACTATCAGACAGGCTGTTTGTCCTGTGATCACACATCGTCTTAATTAAACCCACAGTTCATAGCAAGGGCACGCATGCCTGTGCTTCTTGCTTCATCTTTTGCCATCTTATTCTCCTGTCTGGGACAGTCCTGGGTGATGCTCTTCCAACTTCATTCCAACTTTTCTTCCTCCAGGTCTGTGCTAAAGTGCCACTTCCTTATTGGAGTCTTTTCTGACCTTCTTGGGGGATTTTGAATCCAAACTACTTTCCTCTTCTTCACACCATGGTAATTTCTAATCATAACCTTTTCTTTTCCTTTTATGTCAGGACTGTTTAATTACTACAATTTATGATAATACACCTTTAAATTTGTGTGCTTTGAAACTATCTTTCTTAATAGACATTAGACATGAATTATATGGTTTATTTTTGCTTTGGTCTCTCTAAATTTATGCCCAGCCCAGGTATTTAGCACCAGCATTCAGTGCATATTTGTTGTAATGAACAAGTAAATGATAAATTGTCTATAAAATCTTAATCACAAAGAGTCTAGAATACCTTCCCCAAAATCCTTGGAATTGATTTTTTCTTTAAAGTCACAGTAATTTTGTAGATACCAGCACTGTGAAAGTCACTGAATTAAACGGAAAGAAGCTCCACTGGCAAAACTCAGGTGCTGTGGGAGTAGATGTTATTCCTTCACCTTGTCCCTGCTGAGCTTGTGGGATGAGCATGATCTGGTGTTTGTCTCATCTATGGACTATCGCATAATTTGATGACTTAACACATACACATACCATGAAATCATTTTAGAAATAGCACTTTCAAGAATTTAAATTTATGAATTATATATGTGTACCATTATGATAATTATATCTGTAAACATAAAACAGAAAGCCTCTTGACATTGCTTCTTTACACAGCAAGGATAGGGTAATTCTCATGGGGACCAGCGGAGGGCGCCAGAGTCCACTCCTTTTAAAATGATGGCCCAGTAACACATCATTTTGTGACTTTCATGATCCAGAACATGTTCCTCTTCTGTGAAGGTTCCCGGTAAGCCTGAGAGAAATGTATACTGCTGATGCTAGATGAAACAATTGACACTAGTCGATGACATCCAGCTGACTGATGGCACCATTGAGTTCAAGTGTGACCTTACCGGTTGTCTACTCCACCTGCCATTTCTGATAGAAGGCTATTGCAATCTCCAGCTCTAACAGCGGACTCCTTTCCTTTTTCCTGCAGTTCTGTCATGCCTCACATATACTGATGTTCTGTCTTTGTTTCATACACATTGTGTGTCTTCCTAAAGGACTGACTCTTTAAGCGTCTCTTTATCCCTGATGGCTTCCCTTGTTCTGAGGTCCGTTATGTCTGAAATTAATGACTCTTATTTTCTTTAGATTAATATGACTCTGATATATTTTTCTCCATTCAGTTGCCTTTTAATAAACAAGGTTCTTTATATCTCAAGTGGTTTATTATAGACAGCATAGACTTGGTTCTGACAATCACTATCTTTTAATTGGAATAATTAGAACATTGGAACTCCTAGTAATTATCAACATAGTTGGCTTGAGCACTGCCATATTTATTATGATTTTCTATTTTTTACCCTATTTTTTGCTTCTATCTTTGTAATCTATTCTTTTTCCTTTGTGTTTTTAATTGAACATGCTACAGGGTTCTATTTTTCGTAATTAATTAGCAGATCAGTTCTACTTCTCTTTTCTGCCTTTCGGTGATTGCCCTAAAGTTTGTAATATGCCTATATAACTAATCAAAGTCCATTTTAGAGGAACACATTATGATCTCATAGATAGTGCAATTATAGCAAGAAGATCTTCATACTTCTGTTATCTTTTGTGTAGAAATAAATATCCCTTTGGATTATTGTGTACAACCCTGTTTCTGGGCTTACTCTTTAAACACTGCTAAAGCCATGCCTCTTGTGCTCAGCCTTTCCCATCACTGGACCTGAAATTTCTTTCTTCCCAATTGTGCTGTAAACTTGGGCTCTTCTGCATGACCTCCTAGTCATAGTTTCTAAAGCTCTGCATGGGGGTTTTCAGATTACAAAACTCTGTCATATGCGCTGCTTCATCTGATGTTCAAAAGCGACTTCTCCATGCAACCTGCCAATTGTGTTTATTTTATGCAAGTGGACTCTGAAAGTCAGTGCTGTGTGTTGCCTTGAAGAGTAGAAACACTCGTGCTCCCAATGTCAGTAAGTTACCTGAGCTGGAAAGTCAAAATTCTGGCCTCCTAATAATTAAGGAGAGTGCATCATAAAGCCCTGCCTCCTACTTCTACGCTCCTACAGCTTGTAGGTGTTGCTTTCTCCGATATGTCTTTTTCAGTTTCAAAGTGGTGCGCTGGAGACATCCCAGCAGCAATTACTTTATTAAAATTACCTTCACATCCAAATTACGTTTAGTGTAGGCTGTTTCACACTTGAGGGCTATTATGATAATCTCATTATTGTTGTTGTTATTATTGCAGTTAATGGCGATTGGGATTGTTTATAGCAGTAACTTAATAAACACCAGCAAACTATCACCAAGTGCCCATAAGGAAGGAGGTACTGCTAAACCCTGACAACATATTGCTGTGTTTCTTTGGCATGGTTTGTGTCTACAATGAAAATTATGCCTTCATCACATCTCTTCCCTTAGCGGGTTACTTTCTGATGTCCAAGGAAATAAAATATTCATAATCACTTCAGTGAAAACCCATTTTTCCGTATTCTCTGACAAGGATCAAGGAAACTAGTGTGTGCCAACAGATGTAGCAGTGGAGAAGAAACCCATGGCTAGGGAAAGGCTCCAGGCTGTCACTCCCACGGACTGGTGACAGGGAGCGATTTCAGAGGCAGTCAGAAGAGTGACAGGAGGGTTAGACTGAAGATGCTTACTAATTTCTGGGGAAGGAAGTGAAGACATAGCCTGAAAATCCCCCTGCTAGCTACGGATGAGCTTTACTCTGCACTCAACACGTGGCGAGATGCGGTGTGTAAGCGACTCTGCGGTCCTTCCCGCCTGCAGCCAGACCCCACTGCACCTTGTGCTTGTGCCTGCTCCAGGCCCCAGACTCCTGGAGTCTCAACATCCAAGTTCAATTAAGTGTATGTTGTTATTGGCTGCACTTGTGGTTGCGGAGTGAGTCCAGGGAGGGCAGGTAATTACACTCTAAGGAGGAGTGGGAGTGTTTATCCTAACACCCTTGGAACCATGGGCAAAGGCAGTGGTCCAGGATGGGGTAGAAAATAAATGACATGTGCCATGATAGGCACTTGACATGTTTTATGCCCTTAAGGTAGTGGCACTGATGCGCAAGGGGATACATTTCATTTAAGGATGAGGAAACCGACAGGTGCGGTAACTTCTCTCCCAATGAGGTTTTTGAGGTTAAACGCAGTTTTCTTTTAATTACCAAACCCCATTTCCTTCGCTAGGGTCAGCAGCACGCTGGGCCGCAGCGGGTCCCAGGCAGTGAGATTTTAAAGCCACAGCTGGCCACGCTGCACGCTGAGCCTCTGGAGTCTTTGCAGCCACGAACTCTCTCCCAGAGGCTACCGTCTCTGTCACCCAGTCGCGCGAGGATTCTGCACACTAAATGCGGGTCCAGCACTGCGGCGCCTCCCGCCTGCCCACCAGCCCGGAGCCCCGCGACCCTTGCCCGCCCGCGTCTCACCCCAGGTCGCCGGCAGCGCCAGCAGCAGCACCGCAGCCGCCAAAAGGGCTCCTCCGCTGCAGCAGGACGGATGAGGTGAAGGGCTCCGCGCGGAAGCGGCTCCCATGCTCTCCAAGCGCTACTACGGGCGGAGCATTCACCAAGTCGATGGAAGGCCAGGGAGCGCGTGGTGGAGCCGGGAGGCGGTAGCTGGGCCCTGCGCCCGGGATCTGGAAAGGGCCGAGGGTTCCGCGGAACAAAGCTTTCGACCACAGCTTCCCCTTAATAAGCACCGTGCTGTTTACTCCGCATTTGCATTGTTTCTAGGGAGACTGACGCTCTGAGATTGCCTTAGAGACTCAGGTGCAGGCGCAAAATCAGACCCTTGCCTCCATCTCTCAGCTGAGCTCCACTTGAGGATCCGCGGGTCACAACAAAGGCGGTGCTGTCCAGGCAGGAATCCGTGTGGGCAGATGTGCAGCTGAACTGCCCGGTATGCAGGGCTTGGGGACGCGCTCTCGGAGGAGGCTTCTGCTCGGTGGAGGCACAGATTTCAAAGGTTCCTGAAAGGGCACGACCCAGCACTTGTACAGTGTTAAAATAGAAGCCTCTGCAAGCGAGATTCAAATAGTGTGGATGGTGCAGTGGTGCAGTGGTGGATGGGGGGACAGGAAGAAGTCGTTTGCCATCAACCTATTGACATAAAATGCTGGCTTTACCTGGATTGATGACAGAAAAGCTTAACAAAGACACTGGAGATGGAATTGGGCAGATTTGTTCATGCAGTGGATTTCAATTACTTTGATTGTTAAAGATGGTGCCAGAAAGGAAAAGGAGGCAAGCTTAGAAATGAATAGAGGCTCTGCTTTTTTAATTTAATTTAAATTTTTTTTTAATTTTTAATGATGATTATATGGTTGACCAGGGAGGGAAGGAGTGAGGGTTAGGGAAAAGTGGATGAAATCATTGTTTCCAAATTCTCTATTTCTTCTTGTCTCTGGGGGAATGGGAGAGTTAAAGGGGGAATCCACTAGCCTCCCAACTGTCCCAGTACCCAAGGATGGAAAACCAACCCAATGTCAATCCAGGGTCCTGATGCAGAGCGTGTTCTGAGGGTTCTGACCAGGTGGTTTGGATAGTTCTGAAAAGCTGTTGATTTCACCAATTCAGGGGTGAGGCTGCCTCATCCCTGGGACTCACGAACCTGGCACCCACCCAGCAGGCAAACCTTGGGAACCAGGCCAGGCGACCCAAGCCCCACTGGGTTCCCCACTGGATCCCCCACCTCTGGGGCTCATGAACCCAACACACTCACCTCATAGGCAGGCCCCAGGACTTGGGCCAGGTGACCCGGCCCCACCAGAACTCCTACCCCCAGGGCTCATGAACTTGGCACCCACTGAGCAAGGGGGCCCCAGGACCCAGGCCAGGTGACCTGAGCCCCACCAGATCACCTGCAATTGCGGCTCACGAACCCTGCTCCCACAGACCCCACTGTGGCATGGCTTGCCTCACCTCAGCATTCCCACTGTGAGCTGGCTGGTGTTGTGGCCTGACCTGGCTCCTCCTGCAACCCTATCCTGGTTCTCAAATCTGCCAGTGGGTGTTGTGAACTAGCTCAGCCCGGCCTGTCCCCAGATCTGAGCCACATGTAGGCTGGTGGATACTATAACCTGGCATGGTCAGAGCTGCTTCTTGACTTGGTTCTTGTGTTCACCTGCATGGACTGTGTCCTTACAAAGGAATTTCCCAGGGTCCTCTGTTGGTTTTCCTCCCGGTGGCAGATTTTGCGCACAACAGTGGGTGCTTGGCACAGGTTGATTTTGTCAATCTCTTGTCCTAGCAGGAAAGGTGGCTTTGATCAGCCAGCTCACACTCATTCTGGTTCTCACTGATGTGTATTGTCCTAGCCACACCTGGTCTGGCACTACTTTTTAAAAGATTTATTTTTATTGGAAAGGCAGGTTTATAGAGAGAAGGGGAGATAGAGAGAAGGATCTTCCTTCTGCTGGTTCACTCCTCAAGTGGTCACAGTGGCTGGAGTAGAGCTGATCCAAAGCCAGGAGCCAGGAGCTTCTTCTGGAAGGGACACGTGAGGGTGGAGGAGAGATGAATGGTGTAGCGGGTATTTTAGTAAATGTGTTCATTCCACTGTACTCTACGGAAGTGTGACTTGTGGAGGAGTACAGATGTCCAAGGCAGAGACATTCTCTGCTCATGCATCTTCACGTAAGGAGATCCACGTGTATGCAGTTTGGAGCACCTGTGCCATTAGAGTGCCCAGCCCTGTCTTACCCAAACATTCTGGAACACTGCCTGGCTTCATCCAGCCCTCTTATTGAGTCTAAAATTCTCCCCTTACTTACTAAGAAAGGACCATCAGCCAAAGGTCTAGTATGTTTTGCATTTTTCACTAATCTCCTTTAGCATCTCTATGGAGATTTAATTGTAAGAAATCTGTACTTTGATTAGGTCATTCATCACCTTTCCATTTCAGTACATCCAATACCGTTCCTCAGGGAGCCGAGCCTCTTCTTTCAAGTCATTCACATGGCTATGGAAAAGGGGTGAGAAGAAAATGTCTTGTGTCATATTCTGTCTTCTGGCCACACCCTCCTGTCACCTGCTCTCAATCATTCCTTGAAGCTTGAACCAACTCCTGAGCATCTGTTCTGCCATTACTCCTGTGACAGTCCTCATTGATTTGTGTATTCACGGCTGTGGCATTTTCAAATGCCTGCTTTTTTAGTTGCCTGACATCTGGTTATGATCATGCCCTGCACTGTGTTTTCCAAGCTACGTCCATATCCATATCCTGGAACCTGTCACTACAACTGCGTTCCTTATATAATCCCAACTATCCCATTCCCCAACTACAATCCTACACTTTGAGTTCACTCTCTTATATTCTGGATCCAAAACTCTTTGCATCTCCCAGTACCTGTAGCCCATGTATCCAGTTACCACTTCTCAGTCTCTCAACTCCTTCATCTTCTATTATTATTATTATTATTATTATTATTATTATTATTATTATTGAAGAGGCAGAGATGGATAGACATAGCTTCCACTTTTTGGTTCATTCATTCAATGCCTGTAAGGGCTGGGACTAGAGCCAGGAACCAGGAGCCAGAAGCCAGGAACTCAACTGAGATTTCTGCTTCATGGTTGTCAGTAACCCAGCTGCCTGAGCCATCATCTGCTATCTCCCAGGGACTGCACTGACAAGAACCTTGAGGCAGGAACTGAGCCCAGGCACTACAACATGGACAAGCTCTAATGTGGAACCTAGGTGAAAGATTTTCATTGCTAGGTCAAACGCTTATGCACACCCCTCTATGTGCTTCACCTTCATCCTCATCATGTTAAATGCCATCTTCCTTCAGGATAGTCATTATCTTGCACACATCCTCAGCTCTCTCATTCTTACACTATTTTCTAAAGATTTATTTTTTTATTATTTTTTCATTGGAAAGGTGGATATACAGAGAAGAGAGACAGAGAGGAAGATCTTCCGTCCGATGATTCACTCCCCAAGTGAGCGCAACGGCCGATACTATGCCGATCCGAAGCCAGGAGCCTCTTCCGGGTCTCCCACGCGGGTGCAGGTTCCCAAAGCTTTGGGCCATCCTCGACTGCTTTCCCAGGCCACAGGCAGGGAGCTGGAAGGGAAGCGGGGCTGCCGGGATTAGAACCGGCGCCCATATGGGATCCTGGGCGTGCAAGGCGAGGACCTTTAACCACTTGCGCCACCGCACCGGGCCCTTACACTATTTTTTAGACAAAACAGCAATCTTAGTTACATCCAGTTCTTTGGTATGATACCCCTAGACCTATGAAACAGAATGTGGCTCAAGAAAAAAACATGTGGACAATGACCAGTTTTACTTCAACAACACCTCATTTCAAGTGTACCATCGTCATTCTGTCTGGTGCTCCATTGCTATTTATCTAATTTACTTATTCTTGCTTTTCCCTGAAGGAATGTTTAAGAATTTTTTTTTGGCACTGAATGCTCACACTGCCTCCATTCTTGATCTCTGTTTACAACTTTGTCCCCCCCCCCTTTTTTTGTTTTACTGAGAAAACAGAAGCAATCAAAAAGAACTTCTACAATCTTCTATCACCACTCCCCCTCCATGCCCCCATATACCTATACCTGTATTTGGCTGATACAGCTGTTCATCTCATTAGAATGATGGTGCATTCACGCCCTTATCCAAGAATAACCTCTGAACTCATGAACTGGATTCAGTATGCTCTTATATGCCAAAAGAGATCACTGCAAAAATTCTCCTCTCTCCAGCATCACTTATTCCCTCTGTTCTTCTGGATCTACCATTGCCATGGAAACAAGCCATATCTTCTAATATGATTAATGTCCCTTTCACTTGGGCAGCTCTTGATATGAGTCTCTGTGCAAATGGCTGGCCGTCTCCTGACATGCCTGAATTCTATTGCTCAAATGTTATCTTTGCAATTAAGACTTCCTGGGGCCACTGTTTAAAATGATACATTCATGCAGAACTTCCTTTCCCCTTCCCCTGGGTTATGGTTAGCATATTTCTTAATTCCATTGCCACCTGACAACATGCCTGTCTACCCACTGGAGTACAAGCTACATGAGGAGGCATCGGTCTGACACTCACCACATGTGATCTGATCAGTGCTTAGCACACAGTGGGTTTACCTGAGCATTTAGTGAATAAATGAATGGCTGTAATGGTGGACACAGCTGAGGTCAAACATTTTTTCAGATACTTTGGTGGTGCAGAAGTTTAGTTTGAGACTGAAACATGTATGGTGTGGGAAGAATTTGAATGAAGGGATGCAGTGGATATCTCTTATTTTAAATGGGTGTTTTTCTCTGAAATTTGTTCCTAGACTTTTCCCTTGGGAAACACTCTTTGCTGTGGTTCAGTGTGGGTCAAGCCCACTGTGGTTTCTTGGCCTCAGTTCAAATAACATTTTGGAGCAGATAGGCCTTTGTTGTAGGGGTGCCCTCTGAACTGTAGGATGTTTCATGGTCCACTTGTGAGATGCCAGTCCCTTCTCTTCTGTCAGCCATTAGCAATCAAATATGTCTCTAGATGATGCCAGCTGTTCTTTGGGGAACACAACTGCCATATTTGAAAATGACTGAGATGGGCTCCAAAATTAACCACAGTTCCATGACAGAGCAGGCAACTCAGTCCTTGTCATCTACTCATGTCACTGTACTAATCATTGATTCATTGGGGGAATGGGACCCTGTTTGGAGAAATGAGCTGCTAAAGTGACTTTTTAAAGGAAATACTAGACAAGAAAGCTCTTTGTGCTGAAATGCTGAGCTGATAGCTGTGAATTTAACACAGTCAACAAATACTTTGCTAGTTTTTAGGAAGTGCCTGTCAAACAATGAAGTCGTCAAGGGAAAGGAGAGCAAGAGATAGAGTAGATTAAGGGCATGGTTTGACTATTTAATTCTTATTTGACATATGATAAGTTCACTCTTGGCCTTTTACAATGTCTTGTGCTGTAACATTAGAATCTGGTCTAAGCCATTGTGAGATGGATTTCTGTCACTTGCAGCTGAATAGGCTCTGGCTTGAGAAGGTTGTGGGTGGAAGGAGCTAGAGATGGGAGGGGGTATCACTGATGAAGTAGTGAACTGGAAGAGACAGATGGGAGGGAGAAAAGAAGTATGGTGCATGCAGCAGGCAATCATGGAGGTCAAAGGAAAGGAAGCTTGGAGAACTGTCCTCCAGTGTTTTCACATCTGCTCAGAGAAGGAGGAACAAAGGCAGAATGGAGTACGTGAGTTGACATGAGTGAATAGGTAATGTTGGGAATTGAAAATGGTGCTGTCAAAGAATAAAAGGGCTGAACAGTGCTCCCTTTGTAGGTGGACATTTCAAAGAATTGAAAGCAATATCTGGAGGGGTGTCTGCATGACCATGATCACAGCAGCCTCATACACAGGACCAAGAGGCAGAAGCAACACAAGGGTCTTTTAGTGGACCAAAGGATAAGCCCAATGTGCAGTTACATGCAATGAACAATTATTGAGTCTCAGCAAGCAAGGGCATCCTGTCACATGCTACAGCATAAATGAAAAACTTTGTACTGAGTGAAATAAACCAGCCACAGATAAATACTGTGTGATTTGACTTATAAATAATTCTCATAAACAGAAAACAGAATGATGGTTTTCAGAACTTGGGAAAGTTGTTATTTAATGTATGTAGTTTTAGTATGACAATATCAAGTTTATTATATTAAATGATGTTAAACAATTCTGGAGATGTGTTGCACAACTATGTGAATGTGTATTTAACCCCACTGAACTGTAACATTTTATGCTTTAAAAATGCAAGGTGATAGATGGTATGTATTTTCTATCACATAAAAAAAGGTAGATGATGATTGCATACTTAGTCTAGGAGAAGGTAGAGAGGGTGAATTTGTGACTACCAGTGAAAAAGTTTTAATTTTACACATAAGTTTGTGCTGGAACAAACTTAGCAGCTGGATCTCAGACACAATAGAGGAGGAAAAGATGGCTAGGGGAAGGTGTTGGGTGGAAAACCCTAAGAGAAAATCTTGAAGGCAAGGAAATTTAACTTTTTGGTTGAGAGTAAGGCTATAATGAACAAGTGGTGGGATCCAGAATAAATATTACATTATGAAGACTGAAAACCCCATGACTGTTGTTGTCATTTAAGACTTGGCTCCAGAAAAAAAAATCATGTAAGGCAATTTTAATGAATATAATTTATTTGAATGGCTAATATGCACATTGTTAAATGATACTTTACAAGCAAGTGGAACTTATGACAAAACTGCTAAGGAAACATCCAAAGCTTAAATTTTATGTCAAATCTTTAGAATTTAAACTTAACTTCCATAATTTCACAAAGCTTGTGCAAATCAGAATTACTGAGTGATCGTAGAAAGGCAAAGTGTATATTGTGAGGAAACTCAGAGCAAGTGGAAATACAAATGAAATGTTTGGTGATTTTGGAGAAGGAAGCTGCTATTAGAATCCAAGCACACTTCCCGGTAAGAGTGTGGCTCCATACAGGCAACGCCTCACACTTGATTTAAATTGCAACCACATTATAAGTCAAAGCCTATGGTAGTAGTAAGCATGTTTTTTACGAAAAGAAGAAGACTCTATATTTGAGGAGATCCTTTTTCCATGTCTTCCTTCAGAAAGTGACACGTCTAGAGCCATAGAATTTGCCAATTGCTGGCTTCAGGTGGAACACTTCAGAAAGTCCTTGAAGAACACATGGCAGTGAAACCAGACTTCCCCCTCTACTATGAAGCCAACTCCTTCTGTTTTGCTTGAGAAAAGGTGCATATGGCAGTTATAGCTTATGAATGATTTCAACAATGCTGAGACCACACAGAGTTGCTATTAGCAAGGTTTCTTCCCAGTGTTCAGCTGGATTTCAAGCATGTAGTTTACAGAAATAGATCATTTGTGTTCAGGAGGCAGCATCAGTAGCAGTGGTGCAGCTCCAGGTTTAAACAATGAGATTTTTAACGTGCTCTCTATGTGCTATCATCCAATGAAATACTGAGTTTATTAGATGTCCTTATAGTAGGAGGTCCTTCTTCAAATATGATGATCTGGAACAAATAATGAGTATAATTTATGTTGATGACTGTTAATGAAACTACTTATGAAGGTATATAAGCAACATTTTCATATTTGTGCCTTCATTCAGTACTTGTGTATCTAAAAGCTTGCCTCTCAAGCCCTCTCTGGTCTGGATTGCAGATCTGGCTGACATCATATCCCTTGTTCTTCCCCTTCCTTTGTATCACAATAAGTAACCTTTTCTTCCTTAACGGCCACAGGAGTGTTCTAGAGCCTTGTTTAAGGTTTCTACTCTTAGTCAAGTCAGTTCTAAGATGAAAGAGATTAAGATAACTTTATTCTTATAGATCACATGGGAGAAATCCATTTGAAGTCAAAGCTGAGTTTGAATTCCACTTTTGCCAAGTATTAGTCTTGAAATTTTGCTCAAGCTGTGGTTTTCCCATCTTGGATATTATATCTGCATCTTGGAATTATCTGGGGGATCTTGTCCTCCTTTCAAAATGCCAGTGAGGACTAAGTGAGATGAGATATTAAAGAGCCTTGGTACAATGATTTGGCACAATGAACCCCATGATGTTTTTCCTTGTCTTCTCCTTTAAATCCTTGTGGAACTTGACCACCTCACTCTACTTCCTATCATTCAGTCTTCCGTCTGAATACATTCATTTAGTATATTCTGCTTTTCCCCTACACCTCTAACATCTCCATTCTAGTCTCTAAGCCAAGTTCATCATCTTCATGTTTCCATTATTAAAAAAAATTTCTCCTTGACTTTACCTTTTGCCCTTATTATCACTCAACTGATCTGATCATCTTTTTTTTTTTTTAATAAAGACTCCTTGAAAGAGCTCTCTGTAGTTGACACCTGCAATTTCTGTTCTTTGATTCTCTTGAGCTGACTCTAACCAGGCTCCTATATCCCTCCTCTATGCTGAATGATTCTTATTACACAGTTTAGCGAAACATTTTGTGCTGGTGAATCCAGTGGTCAGTTTTCACTACTCATCTTTCTTGCCCTGTTGACAGTATTTGAAACAGTTGCTTCTTCACTCCTCCTTAATTTAGCTTGCACTTGACTGCTGGTGCTCTGCACTCAGGGGTTTTCTCCTGTACCAGCAGCTGTGGCTCCTTTCCTTTGCTGGCCCTGCATGACTTCTAATGTAGAAGAACCCAGGCTCAGTACTTGGACCTTTTTCTCCTATCTAGCTTCTGTCTCCCCATTAGCTCAGTGTCATTGTTAGGTATAGCCATGTGCTGGCAAGGCTCCATAGTGTCTCCAGCCTGGACCTATTTCTTGAAATTCAGGCTTTGTATCAGTCACCTTTTTGACACTTTGACTTGGATATCTGTTAAGCATCTCAACTTCTCCATCATCCAAGCCTTTTCCCTCCAACCCTGCTCTTTATGTACTTGATCAAGGCATTTCTGTTCTTCCACTTGATCTGACCAAACCCCCCTGGCATTATCAATGGGACTCTTTTGTTCAGATTCTAGTATAACACTGATGGGTCTACTTGTCACTCTTCTGAAACTATCTACAGAATCTGACCCCTTCTCTTCAACTTGGTGGTAGCCACACATGATTTCTTGCCTAGATTATTGCAATTCACTCTTCACTCCCCTCAACACACCCCATCTCCTATCCTTTGCTTCCTGTATTCACTTATCCTAGCAATTAAGATAGTTGTGATGCTTCTCTATTAAAATCTCCTAATGTTTTCCAGCTCAGGACTGAAACCCAGCTCAACTCAACACACTGACCTAGCATGACCTGTATATGATTATCTCCTTCTCACTATCCCTTCTTTCTTTATCTAAGTTCATCTCCACCACTGTCTTCCATAGTCATCCTGCTGGAGGACACTCTAACCTCATTCTGTACCTCCAACACAGCAAGTGTACACTGTGTTTGCTCTCTGCACATCCTATTCTTTCTTCCTGGAATATTGTTTCCCCCAAACCTACATAGTTGAATCCTTACTTCCCTCTGATCAGTGCCATTTTCTTAGTAAGGACTTCCTGGCATCCCCCTTGTTCCTGCTATCCCTCTGGCCTATACTCTTTCTTTTCCAGTGCTTAGCATCTTCTTTTCTACTTTAATCATTTTGCTCTTTAGTCAAGTATTTTTTGAATGGATTTAGGAAAATTGAAACATTATTTTAGCAAGGAATATTAAGCAAATTAGCAATCACTATCCATGAATACCAAAGATTTACATAATACTCAGAAGCACATATACTTAGTACTTTGCTTTTCATAAGGACACAATGGAGGTAGTATTGACAAATTAATAAAAGCAATTCAATTTCAGTAGGTACCATTCAGTCTTCTGATTAGCTTGCTGGGTTGTATGGATCAACAGGATATGCTTCTTGGTTTTCTAAATGAGCAGCTGCGTCTTGAGGGTTTTTGTTTGTGTAATAATTGCTAAAAGAGAGAAGAGAGAAAAAGTAAAATCTTTATTTATTGATTGCAGTTACTTTATTAAGACTTAAGAGTTGTTTCCCTTTCATAATTCCCTATAGCAGGTAATTTTCATAGTTGAGTTGATTTTGTTATTTTAAGGATCTCATGAGGTAAACTAGAATTCAACTATTTAAGGAAGGCACAGAAAAATAACAAAACAGTAACTTGGTAGGCTTGAAGTGTCCAAGTAAACAGACTGGGGGGACTTTACCTCATTACTGTAAAAACTAACAACTACAAGGTGAAGGACAAAATTCAAAAAGAAGCTTTTATTTTAGGATGTGATCAAAACTTTACCTTTTAGAGACATAGACTTCCAGATGAACTTAAAAGAACCATTTTTTAAAAAAGATTTATTTATTTTTATTGGGAAGTCAGATTTACATAGAGAAGGAGAGACAGAAAGTTCTCCCATCCACTGGTTCATTCCCCAAGTGGCTGCAAAGGCCAGAGCTGAGCCAATCCAAAGCCAGGAGCTTCTTCTGGGTCTCTGACACAGGTGCAGGGTCCCAAGGCTTTGGGCCGTCCTCAACTGCTTTCCCAGGCCACAAGTGGGACGTTGGATAGGTTGTGGAACAGCCGGGACATGAACTGGTGCCTATATGGGATCCTGGCTCAGCACTTTAGCCATTAGGTTACTGCACTAGGTCCCACTTAAAAGGAACTTTTTATATAAGATGTTTAACTCAAAATTCTTATAGTCACACATCACTAAAACTTTTAAGTGTTTTCAAAAGAATGTTCTCATTTTCTCTTTGATGATATACCTTGATGATGTACCTACATGACTGTGCTTATAATACAACATTGTCAAAACTAGTGAAAATAATAAAACCTAATTTATACAATCATGTAGAATTCTAAAATATCCTAAGATTACTATGGAAGAAGGATTACAATTAAGGGTACTCCAGGTATGCCATTAACCACCTATTTGAAAGATCATTTTATTACAGACATATTTAGAACTTTCAAAATGGTCATATTAGATTAAGGTGAGATTTAGGTTTTGTTAAGTTATCTTAGATGACCAGAAGAAACTATATCATTTTTTCAACTGTTTTGATTACTTTCAAAATATTTAACTTTGTCACTAGGCATTTTTACATTTTTTAATATTTTTTAATTTATTTGAAAGGAAGAATTGGAGAGAGAGGAGGAGAGAGACAGAAAAAGAAATTTTTCATCCATTGGCTCACTTCCCAAATGGCCACAATGGCTGGGACTCAGCCAGGCTGAAACCAGATCTCCCATGTGAGTACTGGTGTTCAGGTACATGGGTTCTGCTGCTATCCAGGTGCATCATCATGGAACTGCATCAGAAGAGCACAGCCAGGGCTCTAACAACTGACCATCTGGGATGCTAGTGTCACAGGTGGAGACTTAACCTGCTGCAACATGCTGGTCCCACTAGACATTCATTTTAAACAGATGAGTTAGTCATACATTTATAATAAATATTTAAGGAAGTTCAAATGCCTATGTCAGTGAATCAGAAATTAAGTTGGAAAATGGTAATTTTCCCAACCTGCAGGACATGACACTCAAACCCGAGGGTGGTCTGGGAATGCCGAGCTGCTAGCCTCCAGGCTGCTGGCTCAAGAAACACACGGACACATGTACTTGGTGGAAAGCAGTGCCTCCTGCTCTTTATTTATCCTCGGAGTAAAATAAAGAGCAGGAGGCACTGCTTTCCACCATATATATATATATATGGTGTATATATATATATACATATATATATGGTGTGTATATATATATATGGATATGTATATATATATGTATATATATATACACCATATATATATATGGATATATATGGATATATGGATATATATATGGATATATATAGATATGTATATGATATATATGGTATATATATATATATATATGGAGTAAAATATATATATATATATACCTTCTTCTCTACTGGAGGATGGAAAGGGGAGGGGTTTCCTGGAAGTAATTATCTTCATTGAAGCAGGGAAGGAACTAATCATCTATACTGAAACAGGGGAGGAACTATTTCAACAGGAACAAGGGTGTTCTATTCCGCTTGCTTTACACAGGATGGCCTAATATCCCACTTGCTGTGGCCCTGCTTGCCCAAGGTAGGCTTTGCAATGCAACAGATTGTCAGGAAGGCCAAGTCTAAGGCCCATAAGTCTGTGGCTCCTAACAGGTAATAAAAGTGAGTGAAATATAGGAATTTAAGTTAACAACACTCTGAATTTTTGTCTGTTTAAGCTTTTAAATACATGATTAGGATATAATCATTTTAACAAATAGTAACCAAACCAAAATATATGAGTTAGTTGAACTTGTAGGCATTTGCCATATTTGCAACACAAATTTAGCGATTTTGCTTTTAGTTAAACATCCTACACATGCAATACTCTGATAGAAGTCTTAGTGGCATGAAGGAAAGAGATAGAGACCACATTTTCTATTTATTTAAATTTCCAATTACTCTTTACTAAAATTATCTTCTAGCTTCCTTTGAGGAAGGCTATGCAAATAGCACCCTCTTCTTTCTTTATTTATTTTTTTGTTCTGAGATCTTTGCTCTCTTGAATTCTGCAAAGCTCTCCTAGTTTTCCTCCTACTTCTATTTCTGCTCCCCCTTCTTTCAACCCCCATTTTACCTTTTCTGTGCCTTTTGGTCTTAAGGCATCTGCAGTGGGTTAAGCATCACCTACTTGAGTCCAGGCCCCTATCCTGAGTCCTGTATCATGGGTGCTTCACACTAACAGTTCAGAACTGAGCTGTCCCTTTACGGAGCTGCCCCTCTGCTCCCTGGGTGAATCACTGGGTCTAGCCAGTCACCTTCATGTGAGTCCTTCTGTGTGCCGCTTCTCCTATATGCAGCAAATCACCACGTCCTGGGAATCCTGTCCTCTTAAAGCAAAGATATCTCCTGCATCTGTTTCATCCTCTTGATTCCCATCCCTGTTGGTTGAGAGCCCTGTCTGGCCTCTGCTTTCAAACATGCAAATCTGACCACCTGAGCACCTTGCTTTAGACTCTACAGAATAAACTACAGCTCCTTGTCAGGAACAAGAGTCTTAGGATGATCAGGCACCTGCTGACCTTTTCCGATTTCCCTAATGTCTGCTAAATGGACACATCAGTGACATGAAAAGCCCTATATGAAAAAGTAAATCTTGTTCTTGCTCTGAGTGAGGAAGAGGTTACAGTGTGAACAACCTTATAACCTATCTACGCACAAAAAAGCAAGTAGAAGGAAATTTTAAAATAGAGGAGAAAAATTGAACTATCTCACAAAATCATTGTAATACTATGATTATTAATAGAGCATCTCTGGTTCATAGAGGTAGGCAGATCAGTTTGAACAAAATCTATTTCCATATCTCTGTTAGATGACTTGAACAAATAGAAAGGTGTATCATCTTTCAGAATGAGAAACATAGGAAAGATGCCAATTTCTTATTAACATATAATTTTAATATAATCATAATATTTCTGCTATTAGGGAATGATGGATGATTCTAAAATGCACTTATAAGGAATAACACAAAATAATTATTTAAAATAATATAGTGATGGAGTAATAGAGATTACCATATCTAGACATGGGGATACAATGCAATATGCATCCCTGCTTCCGAATCAAAGATGGACTCCCAATGAAACTGTTAGAAATGTGTAGGCAGTGGGATGCTGGGCTGTCTGACATTGTACCACCAATGTAGGGGCACATTTAAATAACAGACTGATGGAATCATTACTCCTTATGAAGGATGATACTATTGTAGCAACTTGGGGAAAATCAGGGGGTAGGATTTGGGAGGGATGGGAATTCCAGTCTGTATAAAATTGTACCATAAAATTCAAACAGTCAAAATAAATATTTAACCAAAAAATTAGAGTGGGAATTCTTGTCCTACCAGATATTAATGGCAAAAAAATTATATATTATATATTATTATATATATTATATATTATTATAGTGGAAGAATAAGCAGATCAATGAAGTATAAATATTAAAATTTGATATATGATGAGGCAAGAACAAACTTTCTAAGAGGTTCTTCAATGATATTTACTAAGCATTAAATGCCTGTACATGCATCCTTGTTAAGTAGAAAATTATTCTAAGGAAATAAGTAGATAGAGGACAAATTTTATCCAAAGGTATTCCTCATCATCTTCATCTTCACTACCAAAATAAATGCGGAAGCAACGTAGTCTTTGCACTGGAGAATTACATATCACTTAATATAACTTAGTTCGTCACTTTCTGATCCTTCTTATGAGTCCTGCACTACTTGGTTATCACATTGCAGTGTTCATTTCATGCAATTTGTGCCTTTTTGTATTTTGGTCAAACATGCATTTGAACTTACCGTTCTCTGTGTTTTGATATCATGAATAAGGCAACACTAATCAAGAAGATAAGAAACATGGAGCCTGCAATAATACCTATTGGGAAAAAAAAAAGAGCAAATATCAATTGCAAGAGAACTGTGGCCTAAGCTGCTTTGAACTGATTCTGGGGCAAATGTTAAATGACATTTATACTTAAACATTCTCAGCCACAAATACTGAAGTCCTGAATGGATCATATTTGGGCTTATTGTTATTCTTATTTGATCCAATCTCTGTTTAATCAATTCCAGCCAACTTTCTATTAAAATTTTCTCTTTCAGTTTTGTTTCAGACATTCTTATTACTGCAGTGAAATTAACAGCAGAAGAATTACAGCATTTTGCATAACTACATCTAACTCTTACTGAAACCTGTCTTTCTGTGACAGAATAAACTGGCCTATTTTGATAGCAGTAGAGCATGTAAAATACCAAGATTTAATCAAAAACAACAATTTAAAAACTAGGAATAGTTGGTTCTTTAAATTGTTCATCTGTCTGCTAATGGGAAATTTTGTAATGTGAGGTACACATTAAAATTTTCTTAAAACACCAGAAAATAAAAGTTCCTGTGAGGCAAACTGAAAAAATTAACAGGTAGAATATAGCACCTTTAACATTTTTGACTGTCTTTAGTTTTTAAAACATTTTATTAATATAAAAGAGCAGATTTCATGTATTGCTTAGGTACAATTCTTAGAAGAAAACAGTATTTCCCTCCTGCAATTTTTCTCTCCCTCAGCCCCTTTTCTTCCTTCATTTTTCCTTTAATTTCTGAAAAAGCATAATTTCAGTCCATCCTATACTCATAGACTTAGCATACCATTAACAATAACATTCAGCAACTAGTTGTACAAAACATCCTAAGAGCTTCAAATTTCTAAATTAACTTACCACCAAGAAGAGGAACACGTGGAGCAACTGCGTCTAAAGAGAAGACAAAATCATTGAAAAGCTCAGTCTGGCAGCAAAATTACACAGCGTCCTTCTACGCCTATTTGAAAGATCCTGGAAACCTGAGTTATCATTCTTTTCTCATGTAACAATTCAGTGGGTTCTGTTCCCACCTGCACATTAATAAGGCAAATTATGGGAATTTACCACTGAGAAAATGCCAACATAATAATCTTCCAAATCAGAATTAGCATCATAGTCAGTGGTTCCATGGGTTCTTTTGCAAATATTAGATTCTCTAAAAGGTTACTTTAACATATTTTCAGAGCTCTCTGTCAAATGGTCAAGCACTTACAAATCAAAATTCACCAAAGAGGTAAATCTCTGTGGTAAAATGTAAGGTGATCTTTTTTTATTTTTGCACCTTTCAGTTCTTGCTCATACCTTTTTCTTTTTTATTTATTCCCCTTGCCATACGAAAGCTGTGCTTTTTCTAGAACAGGCCATCAACTTCAAGCTCATCAATTATTGTACCACTTAGTCACAATCATCTATGTCATTAAAAATCCACAAACTGTGGAGCCCTGCTTGCTTTCTCTCCCCATCAGTCAGGTCCAAGTTGCAGGGAAGCCCTCTGTACTTACAGGATCTGCAAACAGCTAGGGGAGGGTTCCACTGGTGATCGTCTTGGCACTGGCTCTGAGGACTGCCTTCCAGGGTATACCCATCTTTACACTTCGGACTTACAATGGCTCCATATTGATACATCTTCCCAGACTCCACCCCCTTCTGGATTCCATCTGTGTCCTCTGGGAAGCTACAGTTTACTTCTGAAATTAAAGAATCGAGTTAAAGTAGAGCCATATGTTGTCCTTTTACCAAGAAAGCAGAGACTTTCCTGCATGGGAAGGTTTCTGATACCAGGGGATTTTGTCCTTAATAACCAAGGATTCAATGACATCAGACAACATCCTAGACGCATTTTTAGTGGCAGCTGCCTCTCTCATATTTATCATTTATTTATTTATTAGTATCCCCTGAATAATACAGCTTCCTAGAGAAATGATGAGGGCTGAATAGATAATGATATGTTTTCTGAACTGCTGTCCTGAATTACTGCCACTGGTCTTACTCCAGTTCTTCATAATTTCACACACACATTCCTATTTCTCTTCCATATTTTCAGTGTAGGAGTCAAAAATGTGAGATCTTGGATTTGAATGATGACTCTAGTGCGTCCTTGCTGTGTGATTTGTGTAGGTCACAAGTGTTTCCCTGGCAATGGGATTCCTCCATAAAACAGGGAGGATAATGGCATTAACCTCCTGTGGACTTCATGAGGACTAAGGAGGTAACGCATGGATAATGCTGTGTACCACGGCTGGCACCGAGTAAACACAGATCAACAGATACTGGGAGCGAATGCATTGCTTATTTTTCATCTACATTGTTTATGACAATGAGAATGACTTCTAAATTTTTTCTTTTGTAAAATTGTCCCTATATACATAGCCACAGCTTACAGGAAATATAATCAAAATATCATTGTACTTTTTATCAGTATTTTGTCAAATGCACATTTATCATAATGGCTACCACAGTATAAATAGAGGTTTCTACTTTAGTTGTTTACTTTGCAAAACTACTTCAACATTCTAAATATAAATGATTACATAAATGATTCTGTACCAGATAGTTAATAGCCTAAGTCATTCTTCTTATTTTGAAATGTTTAATTTTTAATTAAAACATTTTATAATGAAACAATTTACCATTAGACCACCAATGACTATCTTTCAATGAAATAACAAATTGAAGGAAAACTTTAAAACTACATGATTAGGTTAACAGATGCAGAAAAAGTACCTTTTTCAATTCTACTTGTTTGAATTGAATTCAGTTAAATGAACTTAATTGAATAATCTGATTATTACATTTCTTTGTTTTATGTTGAAAACAAGCTCACCTAACTGGATATATCAAATTAGGACAAACTTGATATAAAAAGAAGAGCAAAAAACCAGACAATGTACCTTTACAATATGGGACAGGGTGGCTCCATGTTCCTTCATGGGTGCAAAGAAGGTGCGCCTCTCCCACCAGCAGGTAACCTTGGTCACAGCTGTATGTGATTGATTTTCCCGGGGGAAATCGAGTTATATTTTCACCATTATGATTCCCATTGAGGATTTTAGATGCAGGCTGACATCCTAAGGAAGCTTGAGACCAATAAGAAAGGATCTTTAATTAAACACAGAGGAATATCTAGCCAATACTACTAGTAGTGATACAGAAGAGCAACTAATTGGCATCTAGACACACTCATTCCTTCCAGCCAGATGGACAATACATATAGAGAGGTGCATTTCTGAACTATATCAGGTATGATCTGAAGAAAAGTGTCAAAATTAAGATACTAAAACGCTGATGACTGTGGTCTACGATGGGAGTCTGAGCAACAAGATTCTCTTCTTTCTCCTTTAAATAGCTGACAGACTGCATTTGAGGGTCACACATTCAAATGTCTCCCAGAGCTGGAATTGGAAGATTCCACATAAGACAAATAAGAGAGCCCCATCCTCCTAAACCTGGTAGCTACTGCTCAGCTCACATTGCCAGTGGCTTGTGGGGAAGCAAGCGGGCCCTCACTGTTCACAGGTTTATTATTTAGCTTGGGCCATTTACTTTCACATAAATGAAAACCACCGTACCAGCCAAAGCAAACCATTTTGGGCAGTGCAGTTCAATCCTCGGGTCACCAACAGGCAGCCTGTATCATAAATGGTCATTCACAGGAATAAGACTGCCAACTGATAACTAAAATATCACACACACACACACACACACACACACTCTCTCTCTCTCTCCAATGGGTTTAAAAGCTAACTTAAGCCTCCAGAACAACCAAAACTCCCTTTCTGGCTGAAATCACAGCCTTCAAAATTTATTTATCAAGCAATATTACTTCAGACATTTGCCCCATAATGAACCTGTGTATTTTCCAATTTAAAAATTCATTAGAGGAGAGGAGATAAGGGAAATCCTAGGGCCTAGGGATCTGTATCATAAAATGATAATAATAAAAAGAAGTAAAATTTATAAAAATAAAGTGAAAAAAAATTCATTAGAATACTATATTTGGAGACTCTGACAGTTTGGAAGCTGAACATTGCTGTTCTTTTATGTACTATGGCTCAACACATTGCAAGATGAAAAGGAAATGTTCACATAAGAAGATAAAAGGCAGAGCTCCATAGACAATACTTTGGACTTTCATTGCTTTTCTTCAGGCAGAAGAAAATTTAAATTTCGTACAACCTCCCACATTTTATCCCTTAAAAGATCTTACCCTTCTTAATACAAGCTGGTATGCCTGGGACCCAAGTGTTAGTATGACACGTAAGCAAGTGACTGCCATTCAGGATGAAGCCAGGATTGCAGGCAATGCTTACTGTGTCACCATTGTAATATTTAGAGACAATTTTACTGAGTTTGTATCCATTTCTGACTTCTGGGTCGGGACAATGAGGATCGTGGAGGCACTGTGGGGCAGGGCTGCTCCAGGACCCCTGTCCTTCAGGATTACTGTTGCACTGCAAAGTTTTCTGGCCCAGAAGATTGAAGCCTTCGTAACATTGATAAGACACTTCATCGCCATAGTGAAATTGTTTTGTCTTCCTGCTGGTGTATTTCCCGTTCATAATCTCAGGTGGAGGTGGACAGAGAATCACTGTGGAAGAGATACAAGGAATTCCAATTCAGCTCGTACATCCCATCCAAGGGGACAGTCTTTATTTAGGTACAGTGGCACCATGCAATTGCATATACCTCACCTAACTAGAAAGTTATTCCAATTTTGGAACCTAGATTGTGCTTTTAAAGATGTAGCTATATTAAACATAGTTACATTAAATGTAGTTACATGCATAACAGATACTCATTCTAAAGCAAATCAGAAAAAGTACAGTAAAAGAATACAGCTATGTATCCATGACCCCAAAATCTGCTGTTTGTACTGGCCAATGCCCAGTCCCTACTTGCCAGTATTGTTTTCCAGCATCAGTGCTGACTCAACACTGAACTTTTCCTCATGCACTGAAAAGGACCCATGGATGGTTAAGACAGTTGCAGTAGACAGCTTTTCAGGGGCTGCTGTCTGACCCCTACCACCACTGTGCAGTGCTTTTCTAACCTACCTTCACAGAGGGGGATCTTTTGGAACCAGACTCCATTCTCAACATCCTGACATTTCTGGTAAGTGTGCCCAGCCAAATGGTACCTAAGCAGAAACAGATTATGATGTATTTTTCTTTTCCCATACCGTGTTTTTACAACCTAGTTTCTTCAAATCACAAATACATTCCTCCAAGAAAGCAAACTGCATCATACTTGGAAGTCACTAATAGGTAAGGACTGAGAAGTCAGAGATGCAGGTTAGGGACATCAGACTCCCCCACCTCCCCATTCTCTGTGAGTGTAACGATGAGGACCCTCCAAAAGGAGGCTGATAGTGGAGTTCATGCACAGCCCTGGGGGAGGCGCCTCGTGTTTCAGAATGGATCTGCTCAGACTCACCCCTGTTGACAGGACGTGTTAACTAGTTCCACAAGTGCATCATCTGGAAGCTGTTGAATATCTCTCATGGGCTGGCATGCCTCTAGAAGGACAAAGTTGGAATTACTTCTAGATGCTTCCTAACCAAGGGAAAGACCATTCTGGGACTGAAAGTACCCTTCACCCCATGGGACAGAAGGACTCCTACTTCCCAAAAGCATACAGTGAATGGATTTGTTTCCCACAAGCAAGTAACCAGGGTCAGCAGTGTAGTCTACAGTCATCTCACAAAGAGGACCATGTTTCCACCTGTATGCCACCTGTGGGGGAAGAAAAGACCCAACCCTGCTGCCAACATAAGTGCCAGCACAGAGAGATTCCAACTCAAACATGACCATAGACATCTGCAACTGAGAGATTCTTGTTCAATCATCGATGTAATTCTATTCTTTCAAAGAAATTAAGCCTCTTTAGAAAAAAGATCCTTCCATTAGCTACCCTGAGTATGTTCCAGAGACAAACTGCCACTTACACAAACAACACATTCAAAACATTCAGAACATTCTACTACAAGGTAGAAGAAACGCAGGAGTCATCTCTTCTGCCCCCACCCTTGCCTTTTTCTATGACTTTAACATCAGATGGAAAATAAGAAACAAGAGGAGGAAAGGCAGCACCTGTCTTCCCCTCATTGGAGTTTTTACCTTTTTCACAAACTGGTATTTCAGGATCCCAAACGTTATTAGCTTTGCAACGAATCTGCCCACTGCCCTTCATTGTAAATCCAGTTTGACACTGAAATGTCACAGTGTCATTGTAGGAATACGGGGCTTCCTTGCCAGATATCATGTGCGCATTTGCCACACTGATGTGCGAACACTGGATATCAGGGATGGACAGGCGGCAGAGAGGAGCAGGGCCAGTCCAGGTGCCTCTCTTTTGATCATCACTTGTGCAGCGAATGGTGGGCTCCCCAATGAGGTCAAATTGTATTCCTGCCTCAGGCCCAGGGTTACATGTATACGTGACCGTGGTTCCATATGGAATATCTCCTGAGAGACTCCCTGTGTGCCTCCCATTGTCGATGGCAGGAGGTGGAGGGCAGGTGATCTCTGCAGAAGGAAAAGATGCTGTAGAATTCTGTTGCTGCGTTAGACCCCAAAGAACACAAACAGAGCTGATCATGACCTGTGTTTTTTAGTAGGGTTTGGGTGAGTTTACATGCTGTGAATTATGCCAAAACTCACTACATATGCTGAATTCTGTCTATTACAGGAATAGAATATCTTTAATGAAAATAAACATTCTGGAGCCAGTTTTGTGGCTGCTACTTACAATGTTAAGCTGCCACTTACAATGCCAGCATCTTATATAGATCCCTGCTGCTCCACTTCCCATCTAGCTTCCTGCTAATGATCTAGAAAAAGAAGTGGAAGATGGCCCCAGTGTTTGGGTCAGTGATGCCCACATGGGAGACCTGGGATGAAGCTTTTATCTTTGGCTTGTGTCAACCCTGGTCAGGTACAACCATCTGGGAAGTGCACCAGTGACAGAACTCTCTCTCTCTCTCTCTCTCTGCCCCTCTCTCTCCTGCCTTTCAAATAAATAATGTTTAAAATGTAAATAATGCTTAAAATGTTTTTAAAAATGGAAACATGCTAATCAACATGATATAAGGCAGTAGGGCCTAACAGTCAATTGCTAATTAAAAAGGATTACTTTAAAGCATCCAATTAGGGAATAAAAGGCACCAGAGATAAAATTATGCTCTTTGAATACAATTTTGGGGCTGAAGTGAGATGAGCATTTTGGGAGTTAGCTAACTATATATGTATATATATATATTTTTTTAAGATTTATTTATTTTTATTACAAAGTCTGGTATACAGAGAGGAAGAGAGATAGAGAGGAAGATCTTTCGTCCCATGATTCACTCTCCAAGTGAGCCCAATGGCCGATCCAAAGCCAGGAGCCAGGAACTTCCTTCCGGGTCTCCCACACAGGTACAGGGTCCCAAAGCATTGGGCCTTCCTCGACTGCTTTCCCAGGCCAGAAGCAGGGAGCTGGATGGGAAGTGGAGCTACCGGGATTAGAACCGGCGCCCATATGGGATCTCGGCGCATTCAAGGCGGGGACTTTAGCCACTAGGCCACGCTGCCGGTCCCGAATGTATATTGTTGATTGAGCCTGCTTCATGCCAGTTAGTTTTATCTTTCAAAAAGAAGGGGTAGTAATATTCAGTTTTAATTGCTTTGATGTCTGGAGGCTTGTGCTAGCTTTACCAATGACTGCTGTTCAAAGAAATGGCATCACTGTCCAAGGATATACAGTTAACTAAAAGAAATAGAACCTGGCTTCAAATCTGATACCATTCCCCAATCTCTCACTAAACCATCACAGACCCCAAATTAAGTGCAGGAGCTCATATATTATAACTATCATTAGTCTCATAATCCCTAAATCAAAAAGGAGAATCAGTGTATACTGTACATTTAATTTGTGAAAGTAGAAAAGAGTGACAAAAAAAAAAAAGGTATAGGGAAACTATGCCCTCTGTCGACAAGGTTAATGGAATCTGAGACTCTAATTTCTCATATAAATCTTGCTGGATATGCACAGATCTCATATTATTTTAATTCCTCTGTCATTTTTGCTACTCACCTTTACAAAGACGAATTTCCATAAACCAAGGAATTTTACCTTGACACTTCTGATAGACGCTCTCACTTAGCCGGTACCTAGAGATAAAGAGTCATTTGGCCATCTGGTGACCAGTAGCCGAAGCAAGAGCTCTTGGCTGCAAAGCAGGCTCACCACTTTCAGGACAGGAAGCAATAGGAGCAGAGGTACAGCCAGTCTCATCACCGCCCATCCATGGCAGTCAAGTGTTCTGTTTGCAACAGCTTTCACTCACCCTTCATCACAAGAAGAGTCAACATCTGGTATAATAATCATACTCTGGGGCTTTTTAAAGAGTTGCTGTCCAATAGGTTCACATTTTGCCACTAAGAAAAGAGACAAGGTTGAGAAATTAACTCAAGGCAAACTTGAAATCAGCAAAGCAATTGCATATGCGGATGAATACCTTTACACTGGGGAGCACTGGGTGTCCACTCCCCTACAGGTGTGCAGTGGATGGATTCTTTTCCCACTAGCTCATAGCCGGGATCACAGTTGTATTTTATAGATGTTCCAGGGTCAAAGCGGGCCAAGCGCTTATATTCACTATGCCCATGAAGGATTTTAGGAGGGGGTGGGCATTCTAAGGGAAAGGAAAAACAAAACCAGGGAAAACATTCATGAAGTAAATGGTGACAGAAAGAAAACAACTACAGACATGGCCAACAATGCTACAAGTACCCTCTGGTTTTAACTGAACAGTACAGAGAGCATCACGTGGCCCCACTCTGAATAGTTTCAGGTGAGTTTTTCTCAGTCTTTGGTCCTTTCCTGCACCTAGGCCCTGCAGGTTCCCTTCAACTCCCAGTTGGTGCTGTGACTCTTGTCTTTTGTGTCCCCACCATGGAAGATTCTGGCACACCCCTGGGAGGAGAGCTCTGATGAGGTCTCTTTTAAAAAAATCACTGTTTGATAGCTTTTCAGCCTTTTGGGGCTAAGATCAAATGCAAAAATCACTGTTTAGACCAACAGGCATTTTTCTCTCCATATCTTTTATTTCTCAAAGTAGCAGGCAACTTGGTGATCCCTAATATTCTCCCCCATGCATAGCTCCACAACAAAATGAAGTGTGTGTGTGTATTTGGGAGTAGGGGGAGGATGTTGTTAAGGGAGTCCTCCATGGAACGCTCACTATTCGGTATGCATGCGGGGAATAACAACTAGGAAAAGCCATCTGTAAAGCCGTAACCTCTTCCAAGGTAGGATCAGTACTACATTTCTGAGTTCTGGAACACCTACCCTTTTCACAGACTGGTATCGGTGGCTCCCATGTGCCCTGGGCATTGCAGCGGACTCGTGGGCTGCCCTTCAAGGTGAAGTCAGATATGCAAGCAAACACCACAGTATCATTATAGGAAAATTGGTCTTTCTGCACAGTTAACATTTGGCCTCTTGAAACTTCTGGAAATGGACACTGGATGGTGGCAGTATCAAGCACACAGCGTGGGGCAGGGCCACTCCAAGTTCCAGTATCATGACTATCAGTGGTGCAACGGATGGTGGGCTCCCCAGTCAGGATGAAGTTCACTCCTTTCTCTGGGCCTGGGTCACAAGTGTAAGTGACCGTGGTTCCATACCGAACGGTGGCTGAAAAGCTGCCGGAGTGTCTTCCATTGAGAATAGGAGGAGGCTTTGGGCAAAAAACTTCTAGAGAAATGACAAGAACACAGATGTGCTGTAGGTGAAGGAAGCTTTGATTTATTGATACCACCCTCCATGCCCAAGTCCAAGGTTAGCAATCTTTCAGTCCATAATGAATCAATCAAGGCAACTAATGCAAGCTGATCTAAAAGTATGATTTAGCAGCTTCATTCCTGAGTGATTCCACTCTGCTGACCCTTTGGTTTCTTTCACCAAAAGTCACAACTTTCTTCATGCAACTTAGAAATTCTGTGATCTGTATTTCTGGCACTGACTCATTTCTCTTAGCCTAATGATCTCCAGTCCTGTCCATGTTGTCACAAATGTCAGGAAGCTAATATACAGAGTATAAAAATTGTGTGAGTATTGTTAATATTGTTAATATTGTTTCACTGGACCACACCATGCAACACTACACCCTCTTTTCCTTATGTTATGATCATCGTCATCAGACCTTCAGTCTGCAATATTTTAATATGTGAGATTTCAAGAAAAAGTATGTGCATGGACATATGTTGTATCAACATTTGAAGTAAATGTGCCAAAACATTGAAAGTTGTAAAAGAAAGAAGAAAAAGAGAAAGTCTACTTTGCTTTTTGAGAAGGAAAAGTCTAGGACCTCACTTAGCCAGAGGAAACAAAACATAAATAGGTCACCAAAGGGCGCCTTAATGAAAATGGTCTCTCAAAGTTCCCAAGCAATTCTTGAACCTATAAGAGTTTCTACAGTAACACCTGCACCAAGGTTTTTAGTCAGCTCAGAACATGGGATTCTCTGGGTCTCTGACAAAATCACAATGGCCTTTCCTACCTTCGCATACTGGCATCTTGGTCCAAACAGCTTGCTGTCCAGCAATCACACACTGACTATATGGCGAGCCTTTTAATCGATACCTGGAGACAGAGGTTTGCCACTTAGAACAGTTAGGAAGGGTGCGTGAAAGGACAGCTCCTTCTGAAACATACACAGCAAGCATCCTTGATGTGTGCCAGTTCTTTTGATCAGCACAGTCTCTTAGCACCTCACACTATACTGCCCATACATCTGCACAGGGGAGCGCTCAGCAGGCACTTTCACACCATGCAAATACAATCCGAGCAAATTAACTCTCATAAGTCCTCTGGACACTCACCCTTCATTGCAAGAAATGTTCACAATCGCACCGGCCAGAAGGCTTGGAGGCTGTTTGATATAACCATTGCGTAACCCTCGGGGAGGTTCACATCGTGCCTCTAAATGAACAATCACAGAAGAGAAAAACATGAAAACCAACAGAGCAGTGCAAGTCCCTAAAACAGATGGCTAATTTAGAGTACCTTTACATTTGGGAGTATCAGCACTCCATTCTCCCGAAGACAAACAGTCAATGGTCTTGTCTCCAACAAGCAAGTAACCGGGCTCACAGCTGTAAGTCACAGATGATCCTGAGGCAATGGGGCCAGCATTCTCCCCTGTGTGATGTCCGTTGGGGATCATGGGCAGTGGTGGACAGTCTATAGGAATATCTTTATACACACACATCAGGGAAAATTTCATCAGATAATAGTTAGATACTTCCTTAACAATTCAGGTGCTGGTTTAGGACAGCACTGCAAACCCATGCTACATAATCTGTGGTAGCCAATCACCACTAACTGTCAAGTCAGCCTTTTACAGACCAAACAGATGCTGCCATTTTGTACATTCATTAGTATGCTTTTATTCTCACTTTTATTAATGCTATATGAATTACATTACAAAAAGTTCCATTTTCATACTCGATTATTAAGTCTATTCTCTGCTCCCAAATTAGCATATTATCATTTACAAGTTTTCCTTCCAGGACCATTAGTGGAGTTCTGTGGGACTCGTGTGTGATATACACACACACATATATATTGAGGGTAACTGAGATACATTATTCTATACCTTGCTTCCTTTTCTTATACAGTGCATATGTCCATAATATCTTTATACAGATTTAACCACATCTCTATAAAAGCTTCATTGCTTTCTACAGTCACTTCATTTATGACTATCTTAGTATCTTTTACTGTCAACTAACGGGATTATATTTCAAAACCAAAAGCTTTTCAGCTTGTTAATCCACTTAAAATCACTCAATACTGTTCTTTTAAAAATTGCATTTATTTATCTACTTATTTATTTATTGGAAAGGCAGATTTACAGAGAGAAGAAGAGACAGAAAGATCTTCTATCAACTGATTAACTATCTAAATGACAGCAAGGTTCAAAACTGAGTAGCTCCAAAGCCAGGTGTCAGGAACCTCTTCTGGGTCTCCCACATGGGGGCAGGGTACCAGGGTACAGGCCATCCTGTACTGCATTTGTAGGCCACAGGCAGAGAGCTAGTTGGGAAGTGGAATAGCTGGGACATGAACCTCAAAGTGGAGGATTAGCCTGTTGAGCCACCAGGCTGGCATAATACTGTTCTTTATTAATAAAACATATGCCTGATTTTTATGACATATCTTTTGTCAAATGTTAGCAATCTTTATAATGATGTCATTGAAATTCAGACTCAGATTTTTGCCACACACATAAACCTATTCGAACAAGGAAATAAGGAATTTGCAGGAGTCCTGGTTTTCATTTGCTTTAGAATGTGATGGCTCATGGCACAAGACATAGGGAGCAGATCCTCTTCCATGCCAGCCTCCACCAACAGCTGTTTATTAATGAATTTTTAACTCCTTTGTGTACACTTTGGTATTAGACCACTCATTTCTTCTCATTGTTACATAACTAATATGCACAATATAAAACTACACAGTTCCCACAACTGATTTCAATGCGTGTAAAAATATTGTTCCACTCTGTAATTAAGGGAAATTCAATTGCAGTTTCCCCTTATACCTAATGGATGCAGTTCGAATGAAGCTTTATTCCTCCACAACTCAGGGAAAAAAAAAAAAAAGGAAACAGAAGACTACAGTTTGCACCTTTTCCCTGGCTTTCTCCCTCCACCCCCAGTACTCACACCACCACACTGTTCTGGCTTAGGAGGTTATAGGATAGTGTGTAGGGAAGCCAGAACACAACGTATCCACTCCCGTTATCTTTGGTACTCACCGCTCTCACACTTTGGCAGTGGCGTTGGGCCCCACTCTTTATTTTGTTGACACCAAACAGATTTGCTTCCTTTCATAGTGAGGTTGCCTTTACAGGTAAATGTCACAGAATCACCGTGTATATATGGTGGCTTGGTTCCTTGTATTATGTATCCTCCAGGCACTTTGGGATCAGGGCATATGACACGTTTATTGTAATATTCACACACAGGAGGAGCTTTATTCCAGACTGCCTTATTGTCTTCTCTTACACAAGCAAGGGTTTTTTCTCCAATGAGGCGGAAAGGGAACATACAAGAGTATTTCACTACAGTGTGCAGACTGACTGGTCTAGAATGTTCACTCCTTCGACCATTGCTGATAGGAGGAAGAGGCTCACAAAAAGGCCCTGTGAAGCAGAAAAGAAGCTCATGGGCAACCTGATCAGGACAATAAAATGAGTAAAATTTAGATAAACGGTTGAAATGTAAATCATACCACATCTCTAGGAAGTTTTAGAAATTTGCAAATATCTTACTTATAGTCCCATGTCCCTATTCCCAAGACCCTCAATTTTTATCTCTCTTGAGCCTTAGTAAGTAAATCAATATGAATCTTCTTGATCACAATATCTACAAGATCAAAATTTATTCAACTATTTTAAGTCCAATCAAGTTAAACAATACAGAGCAAATATAGAAAAATGAAAATGACACATTTATGACATGCCAATTACATGTGGGGAGGTGTCACAGATTAATGAAAAACTTGGGCTCAATAGAACTGGTTTCAACTCCCCACTGTCATCCAATAGCTGTGTGACATCAGGCAAGTTTCACCCTCTGTAAGCCTCAACTTCCAAGTTCATGATATTATTCAAGTTACTTCATAATGTGAGAATCCAGAGAGACAAAAAATGTAAAAGAAATTAGTAGAATACTTTTATTTATTTGAAAGACAGATACAGATACACAAATACATATGTGCACGCACGCGCACACACACACAAATTTCCCATCTATTGCTTCATTTCCCAAATGCCTACAACAGCTAGAGCCATCCCAAATCCAGGAACCAGAAACCCAATCCAGGTCCTCTAGGTGGATGGCAGGGACTGAACTACTTGACCCATCTACAGACTCTCAGGAGGTGCATAAGTAGGAAGCTAGAATCCGGAGCAGAGCTGGAATTATGACTCAGCCACTCTGAGATGGGATATGAGGATCCAAGGTGGTGACTCAACCACATTGCCCAAGCCCCCACACATTAATGTCTGTTACAGTTGCACAACTGGAGCCCCAAGTGGTGTGAAAATATCTGATGCGGCCACTAATAATGCCACAGCTTCACTACGGGTCATCTGTCACCCTTTCATGCTGAACTCCTTTGAAAAACCATAGGAAGTGAGCAGAACTTTTAAATTATAGCCTTGTATTCTTAATGGCTGTGAGGGATATTCATTTTGTGGTCCCTTTGGTGTATGCATACCTTTTCTGGATAGTTTCAAAAAAGAGAAAATTGCCATCCTCTAGATTGGATTAAAAATGGCATAGGAAAATCCAAGCAAACTTTTTCAGCACTTCACTGTTATATTTGGTTTTAGTAGGGACACTTTCAAAAGCCTTTATGTTTATAAATACAGACTATGTGGAGTAATATATTGTCAACTAAACAAACATGAATACTTCTGGTCTCCATTCTAGAATGTACAGAAGAGAGGCAGATACATGCTCAAGGCATACAACGATAAACGTGTCATATTAATGTACAGACAGTCACCAGTGATCAAGAGGCAAGGTCTGTATTTGATGGCTTTTGCTTTCCATTCATGTTCACAAGCAGGAAATGTGTTAATCCTGAGTACTCCTCTGCCTTCCGGGGCACACTGTATGTAAGGTTTGCCATTTACCCGGAACTTTAAAGTGCAAGTGGGTAGCAAATCTTCATTAGAACAAACCAATTCTTGGTTATATGAAATAAATAAGTTTTCTAAAATATATGATTTTCATAGAATCAGTATTTTTAAGCATTTCTGGCTTAAGGAAAAAGCCAAAGACTGCTTGTGACTCATTTAGTCTATATGATGACTTCAGGTTTGGTGAAAGCCTTCACAATGGAATTCTTTTACCAAAAAAAAAAACCGTTTTTTTTTTTCACTTTAGCATACAAAATTCCAAGATTATCATTACTTGCTTGAAGAAGTAAGCCTCAGTTCCCAGAGGAAGAAAAAAATCAAACTTCATTCTCTAAGTTCATCCCAATTCCTCTTCTTGAACCCCAAATCATTCCTTCAGAGCCGGTTTTACTGATTTTTTTTTTTTAAAGAATAACAGAGAGGAAAAGATCAGAAAGCAAAACATGAATTCTCTTTAGAGATCATGTTTTGCATTAAGAAGCTATGGATCCTAGTGATACAGGTCCTGTCGCCCCACACATATTCCTGCAGCACAAACTGAGAAAAGCTCTGCATTAAGCAAGACATTCAGGAGATGAACCATATGGCCCATGAAAAGTTTTTTTTTGGAATGGCCACATACAATTTCACTTGTAGAGGTGAGGAAAGAGTTGGGTTTCTTTTAGGAGGAACAAGACTTCAGGAAGCTTCACATTTACAGGCTGCAGGCTCCAGGTTCCGAAGCACACATCCTTGAGAAAGTTAGTTCCATAAAGGTACAGACACTTGGAAAGGCACCCTTATCCATTTTGTTATCACTAGCCTGGTGGAGTTACCACGGTAATAGGCACCCTGAGGAAAGAATAGGGCCAGAGACATTTTCTGTGTAAAAACAAGAACTTTCTCTTTTTCGGGTAGGGAGGTTTGGTTAGGAAGGGTTTGGGATGAAGGAGCTCATGTCAGCCCTCCTAAGTGAATGCAGAGACTCCATTAGTGGAGGGGGGCAACATGCATAAACATGCAACCATTTCCCCATCTTGATCTATGACAGGACATATTATACTTGCTGGCTATATTTCATCTAGTTTGGCAGAAAAGTCTGAGACACTCTCATCAATAGCGTAAGCATAGAACCTTTTTTTAAAAAAAATATTTATTTATTGGGCCTGGCACAGTAGCCTAGCAGCTAAAGTCCTCACCTTGCACACACTGGGATCCCATATGAGTGCTGGTTTGCATCTGAATGGCCACACTTCCCATCCAGCTTCCTGCTTGTGGCCTGAGAAAGCAGTTGAGGATGGCCTAGAGACCTAGGACCCTGCACCCATGTGGGAGACCCAGGAGAGGCTCTTTGGGTCCGGCCATTGTGGCCACCTGGGGAGTGAATCAGCAGATGAAAGATCTTTCTGTCTCTCCTCCTCTATGTGTATCTGACTTTCCAATAAAAAGAAATCTTTAAAACAATTATGTACCTATTTGAAAAAGTGAAAGAGATATATTTTCCATTTGTTGGTTCACTCTCCAGATGACCACAATGGCCAGGGCTGGGCCAGGCCAGATTCAGGAGCTATGAACTTCATCTGAGTCTCTCACATAGGTGACAAGGGTCCAAACACTCAGGCCATCTTCACTGCTTTCCCAGACCACCAGTAAAGAGGTGGCTTAGAAGTAGCGCAGCTAGGACATAAACTAACACCAATATGGGATGCTAGTATTGTAGCTAGAGGCTTTCCTCACTGTGCCACAACAATGGCTCTGAAAACTGGAAGTCAGTTTTTGCCACTCAAATCAATCAGCTCATTCTTTTCCTCAAAACAAAATTGCTGAGAAGCCTGAACTTTATGAAAGAAGCTCTCAAGGTTTTTCTTAGGGGCTCTTAGGGTTTTAAAAAGTCAGACACCTCTCCAGAAGAGAGGGGGAAGTGTGGGATGGGGGTGGTTAGAAACCCACCCTGACTAAGCTTTCTTCCAAAATGACTGCATTTATATTTTTAAAAAAGATTGATTTATTTGTATTAGAAAGACACATCAGATTTACGGAAAAAAGGAGAAACAGTTCTTCCAGCTGCTGCTTCACTCCTTGGTTAAAACACCATTTGCGATCCTTTGTGTAGTAGATGAATCATCAATGAGCCGAGATCCAGAGTTGCTATCTCCTAACTCTACTTTTCAGAAAAGCCCCATTGAGAATTGGCAATGAGCAGAACATCAGGTATAACAAACAAACAAAAAAGATTGTAAAGATTAAGGACTAAAAAGATTCAACAATCTAAAGGCGAATGAAATCTCACCCCTGGTCAGTAGCAGTGCAGATCTAAAACTAAAATAGCCACCCAAACTTTCTCTTCTAGGAGCTCTCTCTTTTGGGCAATCCTATGGACTGTTAATCATAACGAGTTGTCTGTGGAACAGATCAAGTTGATTCCTTTCTGCTAATGTATTTTAAAGGGTAGATGGCAATCACTCAGGTCATTTTTGGAAAACCAAGGGTTTCTGGTTGGAACTACTGCTAAGACACCTTGGGACAACTCATTCTCCATTACAAAGAACATATAACTTGATCCAAACACAACACCTAAAAGTGTAAGCATGGAAGCAGAAGTTCTGGACTCATACATGATTTACCTAGGAGGAAACACCAAACTGAAGTAAACAGGATTTGGAGGATTTCTTGTGTTTTATATAAACCTTAACCTGATTGGACTTCATGATAAGCCTATTTACATTTACTCAAAGAAACTTTTGACATTTACAAAGCATATGCCTTCCAAAGGATCAGTCAACTCTAGAATGCTGTTTGTTTAAAGTCCACAGTTATACTTCTGAGACTGGATGTGTACTTTACTTGTGGACAGTTATACTTCACCATTTCCATTTCCCCTTTTACATTCTGTCAGTTCATGCCATAATCTGCCAAGTCTCTTGGTTTTGAAAAACTCCAAAGGCATAATGTTGTTTCTGTAATTAATTCACCCTCTACTACAGATCCTTCATTGAATTAGTCACCAAGTTTAAGACCGGAATCTGAAAATGTTTCCCAAATCAACTATTTTGTAGCTTCTCTAATCTCTCATCTGATTATTGAATGACATATCTCTCTTTATGTCTGACTTTCCCAGGCCTCTTACGCCTTGTATACTACTACACAGATTGTCTTTCTGAGGCACAAATGTAGTCAAGCTGCCCCAAGTATTTAAAAATATACAACACCTTGCCATTATTTACTAGGAAAAAATAATGAATGGCCTTTCATAATTAAGCTACATCTGCCTAACCTATTACTATTCCTCACCCTACACCCTATACTCCAACCACATAGATTTTTTTCTATTAACTTAAGACATGATTTTTTTTTAATATATATATCTGTGCCTTTGTATATGCACAAACATCTTTTATGCAGGAAGCCTAGATTTCTGTAATTCTTCCTAAATCATCTATGTTATTTACTTCTCAACAATCTCCCAGTTCTTTTTCTCTATCAGTTAAATAAATGATGACAAAGTACAATTTAAG